TTTTGGCACATGTAGGTTGTTTTGCTGGTGGTGACTGTCACGTGTAGGTTGTGTTAATGGTGGTGGATGGCACGTGTAGGTTGTGTTTATGGTGGTGGGTGGTACGTGTAGGTTGTGTTGATGGTGGTGAATGTCACGTGTAGGTTGTGTTGATGGTGGTTGATGGCACGCGTAGGTTGTGTTGATGGTGGTGGATGGCACGTGTATGTTGTTTTGATGGTGGTGGGTGGCACATGTAGGTTGTGTTGATGGTGATGGATGGCACGTGTATGTTGTGTTGATGGTGGCGGATGGCACATGTAGGTTGTGTTGATGGTAATGGATGGCACATGTAGGTTGTGTTGATGGTAATGGATGGCCCGTTTAGGTTGTGTTGATGGTGGTGGATGGCACGTGTAGGTTGTGTTGATGGTAATGGATGGCACGTGTAGGTTGTGTTGATGTTAGTGGATGGCACGTGTAGGGTGTGTTTATGGTGGTGAATGGCACGTGTAGGTTGTGTTGACGGTAGTCTATGGCAGGTGTAGGTTGTGTTTATGGTGGTGGATGGCACGTGTAGGTTGTGTTGATGGTCGTGGATGGCACGTGTAGATCGTATTAATGGTGGCGGGTGGCACGTGTAGATCGTGTTAATGGTGGTGGGTGGCACGTGCAGGTTGTGTTGACGATGGTGGGTGGCCTGTGCAGGTTGTGTTGATGGTGGTGGGTGGCACGTGTAGATCGTGTTAATGGTGGATGGCACGTGTAGGTTCTGTTGATGGTGGTGGATGGCACGTGTAGGTAGTTTTGATGGTGGTGGGTGTCACGTGTATGTTGTGTTGATGGTGGTGGATGGCACGTGTAGGTTGTGTTGATGGTGGTGGATGGCACTTGTAGATTGTGTTGATGGCATTGGATGGCACGTCTATGTTGTGTTTATGGTGGTGGGTGGTACTTGTAGGTTGTGTTGATGGTGTGTGGCACAAGTGGGTTGTTTTGCTGGTGGTGACTGTCACGTGTAGGTTGTGTTTATGGTGGTGGGTGGCACGTGTAGGTTGTTTTGATGGTGGTGGGTGGCACATGTAGGTCGTGTTGACGGTGGTGAATGCCACGTATAGATTGTGTTGATGGTGGTGAATGGCACGTGTAGGTCGTGTTGACGGTGGTGAATGGCACGTGTAGGTCGTGTTGACGGTGGTGGATGGCACGTGTAGATCGTGTTAATGGTGGTGGGTGGCACGTGTAGGTTGTGTTGATGGTGGTGGATGGCACGTGTAGGTTTTGTTTATGGTGGTGGATGGCACGTGTAGGTCGTGTTGATGGTGGTGGGTGGCACTTGTAGATCGTGTTGATGGTGGTGGGTGGCACGTGCACGTTGTGTTGATGGTGGTGGGTGGCCTGTGCAGGTTGTGTTGATGGTGGTGAGTGGCACGTGTAGATCGTGTTGATGTTGGGGGGTGTCACGTGTAGATCGTGTTGATGGTGGTGGGTGGCACGTGTAGATCGTGTTGATGGTGGTGGGTGGCACGTGCAAGTTGTGTTGACGATGGTGGGTGGCCTGTGCAGGTTGTGTTGATGGTGGTGGGTGGCACGTGTAGATCGTGTTGATGGTAGTGGGTATAGACAGTACGTAGCCAAAGACGCTAATCGAAAGTGTGGGGGAGCGACAATAAACTCAACACAAAAAGTAGTTCCGGTGATGGTATTTGAGTAGTGATGGGACAGGATTGTAATGATGGAATGTAGATGGCGGCAGTGGTTGTGGTGGTGATTGTGATGACACGTGGCTGGTGATATTAGCGTGGTTGGCTTCGTACGGTGCGAAAGAAGTTCAAAATACACATATGGTGATCGGACAGGGTGATGGGATCTGGGTCCTGATGTTGATGCCGGTGATGGGACAGGGTGGTGGCCGTGGTGATGAAGGCGACGATGGTGGACGTGGTTGGAGGTGAGATGCAGAACGTCACCTATCGAGCACGTGACGCTGCATTTGTTTTCCCGAGACGGTCACGTGACCGAGCCGCTCTAAATTTAGACGAGGTCGCTAGTGACGTCACCGACGCGCACGGACTTTGAAGAGCGCGCAAGTGACGTCACAATGCACTTTGAAGCGAGGGAGGCGTGGCGCAAAGCGGGTGGCGCCTTCTCCGATTGGTGGCCGAGATTAATATCACTCTATCGCCCGATTTAGTTCGTGTGGAGCGGTGGCGCGGTGGTTAGCGCACTCACTACCTCACGAAATAGACCCGAGTTGGATTCCTGGCCACGGCTAACACGGTGGCGGCGAGCGATATATCTGAAGTCTCTCTGCTGTTCACCTTCGCTGACGAGCGTAGTGGAGTATGGTCAAATGACCCACCTACGACCGACGGGGCTTGGGGAGGCCTTCGTCCAGCAGCGGATTGACAAAAACGGTCCGACTAACGTTGATATATTTATTTATTTAGGAGAAGCCCACCGAGTCTCAAGACGCGTTTTCAGGAAGTCTCTGGGTTGTTTCTCCCAGCCAGTCATGCCGAGTTACTGACTCCCCCCCCACCTCACTCCCCTCATCCTCCCGTCGTCATGGTAGCGGGAGCTGCTGAGTGGCTGCTGCGTTTCCATGGCAACCGGGCGCGCCTGCACACCCCCTCGCGGAAATGCGGCATCCTCTTACCGGTGGGGCGGGGGGAGCGACAAAGTCGGGGATGTCCGAGGGGGGAGGGGCGGGACACGGAGGGGGAGGGGCGGGGCACGATGGGGTGAGGGGCGGGGCACAGAGGGGGGTGAGGCACGATGGGGGGGGTGTGTCCGAGGGGCGCGAGGGGCGGGGTACGGGGGGGAGGTGGGTAGGGTGGGGGGCAGGGAAAGGTGGGGGTGGTTAATTGTAGTGGAATCAATAGTGGGGGTTGGCGCGTGGCGACACCCATCCCCCCACACCTCCCACCCCCGGGGGGGGGGGGGGGTCTCGGGTGACCTTGAAATCAGGGGGTCACTGAAGAGCGTGGTCCTCTCGTGGACAGCACGCGGCTGCTGTACAGAGAGAGAGAGAGAGGAAGAGGGACGGGAGTGGTGGGCTGGGGGGGGGGGGGGTTCTGACGAGAGGCGCCTCGCGTCTCCCCTCGCGTCTCCCCTCGCGTCTCCCCCTAACCCACGGCCCCGTCGGCCTCACGCTCTCACAGCGGCGGGAGCCTCGTTCATGACCAGGCAGAGGGAGCAAAGCGACACCGCGCTTGGCGGGTCTCTCATCAGCAGGGGCCAGGCTCGCCTGCACTGCCGCCGCGATGCACGCGGGTTGTTGACCGGCGCCGGTCAATTCGAACGAGCGGAACCGAGTGAAGTGACGGACACAGAGGCCGCGCAGTTCGCCTACGGTGACTGTCTCTATTGTGACTTTATTATTGTTATTGTTGTTCTTGTCATTGTACTAATTAAGAGAGCAGACGGAGGCAGAACGAGAGAGGAGGAAGCGTTACGCGGTTTCTACACGACACTTGAAAATGGTAATTAATTAATTCTAGGTTTGAAGCTTTCGTGACTGCAAGGATTCATACGCTTTGTTTTTTTTCGGTAAAGTCACGTAGGTATTACCTAAAGTCACGTAGGTATTACCGAAAAAACCAAAGAGTATGGTAATTAATTAATTTGGCGGCCCCAAATTACAATTCGATTAATTGCAACAATTCAGGCACACGATTCGATTAAATCATCGATCAATTTTCTTCGAACGGCAATCGCCCCGTCTGTATTGTCTGTCTCGTTAGTTCAGACAAAGTCAAACGAGACAGAACACGCGACAGAGCCAGTTACAATCAAATAATGGGTGGGGGGAGAGGGCTGTGTGAGGGAGGGGGATCGTGAATCGTTAAGTGCCCCGTGCTCTGGGTTCATGCAACGATGCAGGAAGGGGCGGAGGGGATGGGGAGTGGGGGGCAGGCGGGGAAATTGACCCCCACCTTCCCCCCACTTTCAAACAATTATTAAAATAGATTTTTTTGGGTGGATGACAGTGGGTTAATCAAGCTCTACATCACAACAACATCATCATCATCGCGTAACAGCAGATGCCAGTGTGTGTGTGTCTTTGTAGCTGTGTGTGTCAAAGTGCGTTTGTGCGTATCTGTATCTCTGTGAAAGTACGTCTGTGTATCTGCGTTGCATGTGCTGATTGTTTAACTTCTTTCGCACCGTACGTAGCCAACCGTGCTAATCGGAGGTGCGATGTGTTGTTGCGTCCGTGTCTTTGTATCTGGAAAGGCTACACAGGGGATGTTTGTCTTTGCTGTGTGTGAATGTGCATCTGTGTTTGTGTGTGAATGTTTGTTTTGTGTGTGTATGACGGGGCTAAACGGGCGCGGCACGGCCTAGAGAAGAGATGGAGCCGATGCGGTACAGGAGGACATGGAGCTGAGTGGACTTGCCGATGACCGATACCAGCGGTGTCAAGATCGGCCTCTGTGGTCGAGGAGGCTCGTGAAGGACGCTGCTACTGGGCAGTTGGAGGCAGTCGCCCTCCAGCAGTGGACGGCGGAGGAGCAACGCTCACAACAACGAGCCGAGAGCGCTGGGCGGCAAACTCGCAGCGAACTGTCACAGTAGGGATCACAGGTGGTGCATCTGCCAGCCACCTCTGCACGAGTACATTTGAAGGTCGCACTCATTACACACAAAGTGCTTGCCACAAACGAACCACAATGCGCTGCCGATCTCGTCAGGGAAGATAAACCATCACCACGCGAACTCCGCTCATCCTAACAGCGGCGTTTTTTGGCTCAGCCATCGACCAAAGGCGGTCACCGCATCACGCACTTGCGGATGCGCTTCTGTGGCCGTCTGGAACGCTCTTCCTTCCGATATTCTGAAGCCACCGGAGCTACGCACTTTTGAATCATCATCTAGATTGAAAACTCTTTTCTTTCGAACTGCTTTTTGTGTTTAGTTTGTTAGCGCGGTTGACTACGTACGGTGCAAAAGAAGTTCAACGTACATACACCTCAAGTCAGTCAACGCATAACACCTGGGTCTGTCCCGTGACCTCCACCAACGAGCCTTCGACATTTCATGTGACGGCCTCAAGGTGCACCTAGCCTGGCACAAGCAATATAACCGCGGATGGCGGTTGTTGTTGTTGTTGCACGGAAGCGGTGGTGCAGCGCTGAGTTTCACTTCGTTACGACCCGGGCTCACTCACCAGTGCCGAATATTCGAACCGGTCCCGGGCCACCCCTAGGTCGCCTCATCATTAAATGAGTACCTGGTGCGGTGTGTAAATATCAGCACTGGGGAGACAAAGGCGGCGCGGCGTAGTGCTGACCATAGACCCCCCCCCCCCCTCCTCTTGTGCCGCGCCGTGCCCTTATAGGTGCTACTCACTAACAGCACTTGCCCTGTCAAAGGCTACCTGGGGGGCTGGGGGGGTCGTTGTCTCTGTGCCTCGTCTGCACGAGCACGCGGTCGCATTTCATCTTAACACGAGCGTCGATACGGCGACGACGCGGCTGGCGCGCAAGTGAAAGTCACTTTGCGTCTCATTCGGGAAGAGTCGCGCGCGCGTGTATCGGGTGTCGGGCCCGCATCACAAACAGCGGCTTATCACGCCACCGAACTGCGCCAGTTTGTGGGACGTGGTGGTGGTGGTGGTGCTGGAGGGTGGGGGGGGGGAATTGATTGGTGTGAGTGGATGGGTAGGGGAGGGGGTGATGGTCGGAATTAAACGCGAGCCAATGAACGCCACGTGGAGTTTCGATGAGAGGTGGCCTCTCCGTTGCGCGACTCTACGTCTCGGGCACGCGGTGGGGCCCGGTTGGCTCGACTCCGAGAGGGGCAAGTTCCAGTCACAATTCACACTCGGAGGAAATGGCGGCCCCTAATTAATTAAATAGCGCTAAATCACCTTGTCAATTAAGCTGTAGTAAAGTAATCGAGCACTCGGGTTTCACCGAAGCTTGCGCTTGGCCGGTTCGCGGGGTGCGGTTACGGGCCCGCTGATTGTTCCCTCGTGCGACGAGCCTGCTCACGTCACGTGACCCAGCTTTCACACGCGCATACGGATCCGTTAATTGCTGCTATTGTTGTTGCTGTTGTTGTGATTCTTGGTCTATATTTGCTTTGACGCGACTGTGAGTTCGAGGCTCCTCGTCGCGGGGCTGGAACGGAACGACGGGGACTGGAACGAGACGAGAAGAACCGAAGGGGGAAAGAGTGGGGGGTGTGGGGGGGGGTGTAGGGAACAGAGACAGGGGAACGTCGATGTGAGCGCTACATCGAGAGAAAAAAACATAGAGAATAGAAATATGAATTTTGATTTGAATATAGGAAAACGGGAACAGAAAAGGGGAACAGCAAGAGAACAGCAAAATGAATTAGAGGAACGTACGGACAAAGGGACACAAATAACAGGTAGAGGAACAGTGAGACACCCAGAGAGGAACAGAGACGTGGACACAGAGAGACAGGGCAGGGAGCACAGGGAACCCGAGATGCATGCCCAGAGCGGAACACAGAGGAACAACACCGTGAGCACGATCAGAGAGATGAACAGAGATAGGGGATCACTCGGAGAGATCAACAGCGACACGGAGTCATTCTGCGTCTCTCTCTCTCACACACCAACACCGGTACACACATCACATCACACATCACCACCATAAAGCACGTAACATTACCCCGCCCATCACTCACCCGCATCACTGCGAGGGGCGCTGTCTCAGTGCCGAGTCGTGCCTAGCGTCAGCGCCGCTTTTCCTACAAATGAATAATAATAATAACCATCAATTAACACGCACGCGTGATTGTGTGAACGTACGCGGCCATTAATTGAGATGTGCATCACGTGCTCGTTAACTCATTACAGGAGATGTGTTAATGTAATATTGTATCGCGTTTCTGCACTTTTTCCATTTCTTTGGTAATGCCGTTGTTTTTGCCATGATTTCTCTTTGGTTGTCTCTGCTCTGATCTCAATTTGTTTAATCGCTGTCCTCATTGCTTTCGTCAACCTGGTGACCAGGTCACTCTTGACATGAGATTCTATCTTGGTCTCTTGAGTTCTTCTCACCTGAATATACAAAATCATCTTAAGACTTTTAACTCGCGACACACCAGACATGTATTTGCATTGGGCTTCACTTGTCAACAGTACATATGTAAATACATCCAGTTGCCGTGAAAATATTGGTAGACATTTTTGGCAGATTATATTTTTTACATCAACATGTTTTTGGCGTCCATTTTATATAATTTACAGCCATCTTGATTTGTGCCACGTGGCACCCACAATTTGCGACTTGTTGACATATCTCCTCTGGCCTTGTCGGGAAACAGATTGCTTACGGTTGAGATATTGAGCCTCAGTTTATATGCGGTAGCGATAAAGTTTTATATACTTTATAAAATAGACGCTTGCCAAAGACAGGCTATACAATTCAAAATGTCCACCAAATGTTTGGTGCTGATATTTACCTCTAAGTCCGGCTAGTAAAATCCAATAGCCATAATACCTCGCAACAGCGTAGTCAGTTTTAATATATCTGCATATATATTACAACACTACTTTTTGTGTTGAACCAGGGCCCCATCGTGAACGTTGATTGCAAATAACATCTGGCCACCAGCAGTGCTTGTTTAGCAAGCCTGACACTGTGAGGGGGAGACCGGACAGTGAGGGGGAGACCGGACAGTGAGGGAGAGACCGGACAGTGAGGGAGAGACCGGACAGTGAGGGGGAGACCGGACAGTGAGGGGGAGACCGGACAGTGAGGGGGAGACCGGACAGTGAGGGAGAGACCGGACAGTGAGGGAGAGACCGGACAGTGAGGGGGGGACCGGACAGTGAGAGGGGGATCGGACAGTGAGGGGGAGACCGGACAGTGAGGGGGGGACCGGACAGTGAGGGGGAGACCGGACAGTGAGGGAGAGACCGGACAGTGAGAGGGGGCCGGACAGTGAGGGGGGGACCGGACAGTGAGGGGGAGACCGGACAGTGAGAGGGGGCCGGACAGTGAGGGGGAGACCGGACAGTGAGGGGGAGGCTGGATAGGGGTAGGACAAGCAGAGGAAGAGAGGGGACACGAGTGGCTGCGGAGAGGAGGAAACGGAGAACACGGCAGTCGGAAGTTACCGGCGAGCAGCAACAACAACCCTGCTGATGAGAGCCAGAGAGTCTGAACCGGCCCACACTTTGATTACTTGCCAAACAAATGCGGCTAGTTAATAATGGTCTGGAAATCCGATTGGCTGATGATGGACTGAAGCATGACCAAATATCTTGAGACGAGGAAGTCGGTTAAACTTATTTATTTACTCGATTATCAGGCGTCACCCACAATGCATCGATAACGCCATCGTACATTTCGTCAGCGTCGAGGTTTTTGATCACCGCGGTAAGCGCCTGGGGAACTCGTGCTGCCACAGGGTCATCATCTGCTCGTGGGATCACCGGGTCATGCAGAGAGAGTGGCGGCCACGGGGTCACAGGAGGGAGGGAGCGATCAGGGGTCAAAAGGGGTCACAGGGGGTCAAACAGGGGTCACGGGGGAGGAGACGAGAATTAATTTGGAAGCAGGCCTCCTTGCGACTCCACGCACGACCGGGGAACAACATTCACTCCAACGAGGTGAAACCTCGTGACTACCACAGCAGCGACGAGCTGAAAATGTCAGACGCGCAGAGCCGCTGTACAACGTACATGGCTGTAGCGACGCGAACGTCCTGTGGACGAACAGCTGCGACACCGGACCCCTCACGTACGCGTGGGCTTGGCCCCGGATTTATGGGTGTCCTTTGTGAACGCGCACTGGGCGTGCATTTGCGCTGTGTTCGTGTGAGTGGCTATGCTTTGACCCCTATGGTTTTTGGGTGTCCTTTGTAAAATATGCATGCGTGGGTGTGGCTCTCGCATGTTTGTGGGTATGGCCTTTCAACCTTCACCCCCCCTACCTGCCGTGTTTTCTTTGGGGTGTCCTTTGTTTGTATGGCTTTGGCCCTTGTATATGTTAGGCGTCCTTTGTAAAGGTGCACACTTTACTTTGTTCCCTCTCCAGCATGGGGAGGGAGGTGTCCTTGGGACAAGCGGCTCACTGGCAAACCCCCTCTCTCCCTATCCCCCTCTCTTTTTTACGATCAGAGGAAGCAACAAGATGCTCGGTTTAGTCGGCACTTTGCTTCGTTCATCATTTCGTTTTTTTCCCATTGCTTTGCTTTATGTGCTCCCCCCCCCCTGTTTAAATTAAATATTTTACGTGTTTTACTATTGTGCAACAACATCAATCTGTGCTACTTTCATAGACACAACGATCAACATGAAGAAGCACACTCTGCTCCTCCTTCTTACCCCCTCCCTATCTCTCTACCCTCTCTCTCTCTCTACCCCCTCTCTCTACCCCCTCTCTCCCTACTCTCTCTCTATGTTCCCCCTGTTTTCTATGTAATAAAAAACTACGACAAGTGCTGCATCTGCACCTAGCCCTCCTCGCAGTCCTACGGCCTCCGACGGGTAGCTCATATCCGCATGCAGAGCTCGCCGTCTTCTGCGACCGAGCACACGGCCTCCTCCAGCGCCCACTGCTCCTTGAAGGCCAGCACAGCGTGGGTCAGCTGCACATGGCGGAACTCCAGCCACACCCTGGCTCTGACCAGAGCTTGAAAGATGTCCAGGCTGCTGGCCGAGCGTTTCCCCTCCACGGCCACCTTCCTCTCCCTGTATATGGCGAGCTTGGCGTAGCTGATGAGTACGTTAACTAGCCCCTGAAGATGTTGGGATCCATCACCCTGCGGGTGTCCAAAGATGAGGACCGTCGGGGAGAAGTGGAGGCTGAACCCTAGGAGGATGTTTCCAAGGACCTTGAACAGCGAGTCCAGGCTCTTGCACTCCACGTATTGGTGCGCCACCGTCTCCACTTTACCGCAGAACTGGCACTCCGGGGACGTGTCGGTGAAGCGCGCCAAGGAGGCATTGGTGGTGACGGTGCCATGGGCGATTCTCCAGCTGAGGTCGCCGACGCAATTGTACGTCGGGCTGGAGTAGAGTTGCCTCCAGCGAGGCCTCTCCGGAGAGATGCAGGGAAGGACTTTCCTCCAGGCATGGTCCTTGTGGCTCCTCAGGGTGTCCTGTTGGTGAAACCGGACCATGTAGGTGTAGAGCACCTTCCTCTTGACGTTTGCGAAGGTCACCTCCGGCAGGCCTTCCAGCGGGCACAGGTCATGATCTGCCTTCGTTTGTCGGCAGTGGCGACGCAGTGGCACGATTGAGAGCTCCGGTAGAGGGAGACCGAGAGGGGCCTCGTCATCCCCAATGCCGATGGGGGGCGTTGTCCCGCTGCCGCTGAGAAGGCCCCGTTGGGTTCGGCCAGGATCCGGGCAGCCACCCGGAGTGACTGCAGCCCCCCTGTCTTTGCGGACATCTCGGCCGGTCCGAGCCACCGGCTCCGTGTTCCGGGCTCCACCAGATCTCCCATCCTGGTGAGCCGCGCGTTGGCGAGGCGCCTCTCCATGCCGAGGATGGTGGTGGTGAATGGCAGCTTTGTCTGTGGGTTCCTGAGGATCGGTTCGAAGACTAAATCCTCGGCCGATCGCGGCTGGTCTAGCCTCCTGAGGCCCTGCAGGTCCATGTAGAATAGTTGCTTGGAGCACTGCAGACCCCCCAGCTGTTTCAGGAGGAAGGAGGCCGTGACGCTCCAGGCCGGTGCAGGGGCGGCGTGCAGGAACTTTTGCGCTGCCTGCAGTCGGAAGGTGGCCAGCTGACTCCGCACGCACACCGGCCCGTGACCGCCCTCGTCCAGTGGCAGGGCCAGGACCCCAGCCGCGACCCGATGTCCTCCGCCCGACCAGAAAAAGTCGAGGACTCGCTTCTGAAGCACGTTGACGAGGCTCATGGGGGGGGGGGGTGCAGGGAGAAGAGTCGGTGCCATAGCATGGACGTCACCAGCTGGTTCACCGCCAACGTCTTTGTTCCTGAAGGTGAGGAACTTGCACAGGCGACTCTAGGTGCCCAGCCGCTCCTTCACCTTCTCCTTCAGCTCGACCCAGTTCCTCTGCGGTGGTTCCTCCTCTGGTCCCAGGAACACCCCCAGGTGGTGCAGCGATGTTGTGCTCCAATTGATGGCTTTTGCCTTTTCGGGACACTGGGTCATGTCCCATGCGCCAACCAGCAGCCTGCTGCACTTTTGCCAGTTCATTTTTTATGAGGCCTTCGAAAATACCTCCTGGCACTCGTGCAGCATCCAGGGAGCGCAGGATGAGGAGGACATTGTCGGCGTATGTCGTGAGGACCAATTTGACACTTAGTTCAAACTCTCCTTCTCTCTTCCACACTCCCTCTCTCCCACTCCTCTCCCTCCCACTCTCCCATTCCTCACTCTCCCTCCTCTCCCTCTCTCCCCACTCTTCCTCCCTCTCTCCCACTCTCCCTCTCTCCCCACTCATCTCTCTCTCCTCCCTCTCTCCCACTCATCACTCTCCCCTCTCTCTTGCTTCCTCTGTTCCACTCTCCCTCCATCTCTCCTCACTCTCCCACTCCTCACTCTCCCTCCCCCTTCTCTCCCACTCCCCCTACCTCTCTCCCTCCCTCTCCCCCCTCTCTCCCACTCTCCCCTCATCCCTTCCCCCCCTTCCCTCCGGCCTCGTGCGCCTCTCACCGGCCCCGTTGGCGAGCCTCTTCCTGGCCACCTGCCTGCGCTCGTACACCAGGATGGCGCCTGTGAGCAGCACCACTTCTGCCACAATGCCCAGGAAGGGCCACAGCGCGGCCAGGCGGGCCCTGACGCGCAGCGACACCTGCCCGGACCCCCACGCGGGGCCCTCATCCGTGACCCCCCCCTCCTCCTCCTCCTCCTCCGCCACACCGGCAGCGAGCCGCGCGGCCACAGTCGCGTTGCACACGTACAGCCCCGAGTCCCGACTCGACACGAGTGGGGGGCCCAGGCGAAGCTCCGAGCGGCGCCCCCCATTCAACACCACCACCACGGCGCGGCCCTGACACGGGGGGGGGGGGGAGTTGGGGGGAGGGGCGGGGGCGGGGGTGAAACCCGCGGCATTAATTTCTGACCGGTAAATGCTTCTGCTCCCTGCACACCACATCCAGACTTCGTCCGCCCACACTCCGACCTTACCTCCGATGGCTCCGATATCGCACGACCGATTTTGTCCTCCAGACAGTCTCGTCCCTTCACCTGATGAAGGCCGCTTGTGTTGTGGCCGAAACGTCATGAGAATATTATTGTGTTATTTTATTTTATCAATTTATTATTTTATTCTCATTCTACGTGACTTGACCGAAAGAACCAAAGAAGATGAATCCTTGCAGTCACGAAAGCTTTAAATCGAAAAGTCAAGTGGCGTGGTTCAAGCGAGCCCGAGCCTGCTGATGAGACACCGAGCGCCGAAACCGGTCCATGGGCTTGGTTGTGTTGAACCAAAGGTGCTGAAATGATTTACTTCCAGAAGGCCGAGTGGCTGATGGAATGTGTAAGAAAAATACAACGCTCGTATTTTGTATTGTGGAGACACGGGGGGGGGGGGGGGGGGGTGGTCTATGTGTCAGGGTTGACTCCCGTGACCCGCGGAGTGAGTGACGTGACCCCTGGGTCTCTCACCGTCTCCGCGTCTCCCGTACCCGAGTCCTCACCAACCTCCCCCCCGTCCCGCACAGAGCCGATCACCTGGGACGAGGGATGGAGGAAGGGAGGGAGGGAGGATACATGAGGGAATGTACGAGGCGTCCACCTGCAGGTTACCAACCTGCAGGTGGGTAACCTGCAGGTTACCCACCTGCAGGTTTTCCACCTGCAGGTTGCCCACCTACAGGTTACCCACCTACAGGTTGCCCACCTGCAGGTTACCCACCTGCAGGTTACCCACCTACAGGTTACCCACCTACAGGTTACCCACCTGCAGGTTACTCACCTGCAGGTTACCCACCTGCATGGTGCCGTCGTGCTGCTGGTGGTGCCAGGTCCACGTGGCGGGGGGTGGGTAGGTGCGCGCGTCACAGCGCAGGGACACGGAGCCCCCCTCGTCCGCGCTCTCCGATGCGCGAGGCGCCTCCACCACCAACGGCGCTGGAGGGGGAGCGGGGGGAGTGCAGTCAGCGTCGTCGTTGTCATCATCGTCGTCGTCGTCATCGTCGTTGTCGTCATCGTCGTTGTCGTCATCATCGTCGTCGTCATCGTCGTCGTCATCGTCGTTGTCGTCATCGTCGTTGTCGTCATCATCATCGTCGTCGTCGTCATCGTCGTTGTCGTCATCATCATCGTCACTGTCGTCACCGTCGTCATCGTCATCGTCGTTGTCGTCATAATCATCGTCACCGTCGTCGTCATCGTCGTTGTCGTCATCGTCATAGTCGTTGTCGTCATCGTCATCGTCGCCGTCATCATCGTCGTCGTCATCATCGTCGTTGTCGTCATCATCATCGTCGTCGTCATCATCGTCATTGTTGTCATCATCGTCGCCGTCGTCATCGTCGTCATCGTTGTTGTCGTCATCATTGTCGTTGTCGTCATCGTCAAGACAGGGGCGAGGAGGGGTCCAAACATAATTTCCATGTAGGGCCCTCAATGGGCCAAAACATGAGCTGCGTGAAGGGTCAACGTGCCAGAGGTCAGTGTGTTAGAGGTCAAGAGGTCAGGATGTCGGCGTGACCGAGGTCAGAGTTCGGCGCGTCAGAGGTGAGCGCGTCAGCGTTCGGCATCCGTTGGGGGGTGAGGGGCACTGTGTCGTCAGAGTTTGCGAGGTGTTAGGGGTCACGGGGTCACTGGGTCATGGGGAGTGGGGGGGTCACCATTGACGGCGATGGAGCTGTTGACGGGTGGCTCGGTGTGGAAGGCGCACGTGTAGAGGCCCGAGGCACTGTAGTGCGTCACCTCGATGCTGCGGCGAGACACGGAGCACGGGAATTGCAGGGGCTTCGCCTTTACCTCCTGACTGAGCTAACGGGAGACAGATGATGAACGGCGCGGCGCCTTCGGACTGCCGCCACGCCGTTTGTGCGTTCCCGTACAGTGCCAATTATTGTTGCGCACTCCGCGTCCGACGTTCCACCGGGTACCCGTTCCCGGGTCCTGACAAAACGGTTCCCGGCTGGCACGGTAAGCGGTTTCAAACCGCGTCAAAAAGAATGAGATTCACAGCTCATCGGATTCCTGCAGCATAAAGACTCCATTCCGTATTCCACCGGCGTCCCACGCCTCTCGCACGCCCCCCGGCACGCCGGGGCGAGCGACATCTCGTGGCATTCACGCCACGTGCAGCTCGAGTCGCTGCTGCGCCCTCGGGGCCCCGGGATGGATGAACGGGGGTCGGGCAGCGAGGTCTCTGGAGAGCGGTGGCGCAGCGGTGAGGTCACCCGCGCCACGTGCGTTCAACTTCTTTCGCGCCGGACGTAAGCCGGACCCTGCCCATCGCGGCGAACGACCACGGCGGTGATGATGTGGGCAGGGGAGCGACCAAGACGACCACACACACTCACCACTACTCACCACACTCCTCACCACACTCATAACACTACTCACCACTACTCACCACACACACCACTACTCACCACACTCCTCACCACACACACCACTACTCACCACACTCCTCACCACACACACACCACTCCTCACCACTACTCACCACACACACCACTACTCACCACACTCCTCACCACACACACACCACTACTCACCACACTCCTCACCACTTACACCACTACTCACCACACACACGACTACTCACCACACTCCTCACCACACACACACCACTCCTCACCACTACTCACCACACTCCTCACCACTACTCACCACACTCCTCACCACTACTCACCACACACACACCACACTACTCACCAATACTCACCACTTCTCACCACACACACCACTACTCACCACACTACCACCACTACTCACCACACTCCTCACCACTCCTCACGACACACACACCACTCCTCACCACACGCACACCACTCCTCACCACTACTCACCACACACACACCACTCCTCGCCACTACTCACCACACACACACCACTACTCACCACACTCCTCACCACTTACACCACTACTCACCACACACACGACTACTCACCACACTCCTCACCACACACACACCACTCCTCACCACTACTCACCACACTCCTCACCACTACTCACCACACTCCTCACCACTACTCACCACACACACACCACACTACTCACCAATACTCACCACTTCTCACCACACACACCACTACTCACCACACTACCACCACTACTCACCACACTCCTCACCACTCCTCACGACACACACACCACTCCTCACCACACGCACACCACTCCTCACCACACGCACGCCACCACTCATCACACGCACCACTCCTCACCACACACACTCACCACACTCCTCACCACTACTCACCACACACACACACCACTCCTCACCACTACTCACCACACACACACCACTCCTCGCCACTACTCACCACACACACACCACTCCTCACCACACACACACCACTCCTCACAACACACACACCACTACTCACCACACACCACTCCTCACCACACTCACACCACTACTCACCACACACACACACCACTACTCACACCACTCCTCACCACACACACCACTCCTCACCACACACCACTACTCACCACACTCCTCACCACACACACACACACCACTCCTCACCACACACACACCACTCCTCACCACACACACACCACTACTCACCACACACACCACTCCTCACCACACACACCACTCCTCACCACACACACACACCCCTCCTCACCACACACACACCACACACACCACTCCTCACCACTCCTCACCACACACACCACTCCTCACCACACACACACCACTCCTCACCACACACACCACTACTCACCACACTCATCACCACTCCTCACCATACACACACCACTCCTCACCACACACACCACTACTCACCACACTCCTCACCACTCCTCACCACACACACACCACTCCTCACCACTCCTCACCACACACACACACCACTCCTCACCACTCCTCACCACACACACACCACTCCTCACCAGTCCTCACCACACACACACCACTCCTCACCACACACACACACACCACTCCTCACCACACACCACTCCTCACCACTCCTCACCACACACACACACCACTCCTCACCACACACACACCACTCCTCACCACTCCTCACCACACACACACACCACTCCTCACCACTCCTCACCACACACACCACTCCTCACCACTCCTCACCACACACACACACCCCTCCTCACCACTCCTCACCACACTCACACCACTCCTCACCAGTCCTCACCACACACACACACCACTCCTCACCACACACACACACACCACTCCTCACCACACACCACTCCTCACCACACACACACCACTCCTCACCACACACACACCACTCCTCACCACTCCTCACCACTCCTCACCACACACACCACTCCTCACCACTCCTCACCACACACACACCACTCCTCACCACTCCTCACCACACACACACACACCACTCCTCACCACACACACCACTCCTCACCAAACACACACCACTCCTCACCACACTCACACCACTCCACACCACTCCTCACAACACACACCACTCCTCACCACTCCTCACCACACACACCACACACACACACCCCTCCAACACCACTCCTCACCACACACACACCACTCACACCACTCCTCACCACTCACCACTCCTCACCACACTCACACCATTCGTGACCCGCGTCCCTGTAATTGGATTTGAAGGGAGGAGAGAAAAAACTTTTGAATTACAGAGCGCTCATGCGCACTGAGCACCGCGACCCCAGCTCCAGCCGCGGCGTTCGCCGCCTCCTCCACCTCCACGTGGAGACCACGGAGTCTGTGCCGGGGTTACCACCTCCACGTGGAGACCACGGAGTCTGTGCCGGGGTCGCCACCTCCACGTGGAGACCACGGAGTCTGTGCCGGAGTGGAAGGATGGGTGATTGAGTTGGTAAGTAAGTGGGTGGGTGAGTGAATGCGTGGGTGGGTGAGTGAGTGGGTGAGTGAGTGGGTGAGTGAGTGGGTCATTGAGTGAGTGGGTGAGTGAGTGAGTGGGAGGATGAGTGAGTGGAAGGATGGGTGATTGAGTTGGTGAATGAGTGAGTGGGTGAGTGAGTGAATGAGTGAGTGGGTGGCTGAGTGGGTGGGTGGCTGAGTGGGTGGGTGGCTGAGTGGGTGGCTGGCTGAGTGAGTGAGTGGGTGAGTGAGTGGGTGGGTGAGTGAGTGGGGGGGTGAGTGAGTGAGTGGGTGAGCGGGTGGGTGAGCGGGTGGGTGGGTGAGTGAACGAGCGAGTGGGTGGGTGAGTGAGCGAGAGAGTGGGTGGGTGAGCGAGTGGGTGAGTGCGTGAGCGAGTGGGTGAGTGCGTGAGCGAGTGGGTGAGTGCGTGAGCGAGTGGGTGAGTGCGTGAGTGATTGGGTGAATGAGTGGGATGATGGGTGATTGAGTTGGTGAGTGAGTGGGTGGGTGAGTGAATGAGTGGGTGGGTGAGTGGGTGAGTGAGTTGGTGAGTGAGTGGGTGGGTGAGTGAGTGAGTGGGTGATTGAGTGAGTGGGTGGGTGAGTGAGTGGGTCATTGAGTGAGTGGGTGAGTGAGTGAGTGGGAGGATGAGCGAGTGGGTGAGTGAGTGGAAGGATGGGTGATTGAGTTGGTGAATGAGTGAGTGGGTGGGTGAGTGAATGAGTGAGTGGGTGGCTGAGTGGGTGGATGGCTGAGTGGGTGGCTGGCTGAGTGAGTGGGTGAGTAAGTGGGTGGGTGAGTGAGTGGGTGGGTGAGTGAGTGGGTGAGCGGGTGGGTGGGTGAGCGGGTGGGTGGGTGAGTGAACGAGCGAGTGGGTGGGTGAGTGAGCGAGAGAGTGGGTGGGTGAGCGAGTGGGTGAGTGTGTGAGCGAGTGAGTGAGTGCGTGACTGCGTGAGTGAGTGGGAGGATGGGTGATTGAGTTGGTGAGTGAGTGGGAGGATGGGTGATTGAGTTGGTGAGTGGGTGGGTGAGTGAGTGAGTGGGTGATTGAGTGAGTGGGTGGGTGAGGGTGAGTGAGTGGGAGGATGGGTGATTGAGTTGGTGAATGAGTGAGTGGCTGGGTGAGTGAGTGAATGAGTGAGTGGGTGGCTGAGTGGGTGGGTGGCTGAGTGAGTGGGTGAGTGAGTGGGTGGGTGGGTGAGTGAGTGGGTGGGTGAGTGAGTGAGTGAGTGGGTGGGTGAGTGAGTGAGTGAGTGGGTGGGTGAGTGAGTGGGTGGGTAAGTGAGTGGGTGGGTGGGTGAGTGCGTGGGTGGGTGGGTGAGTGAGTGGGTGGGTGGGTGAGTGAGTGAGTGGGTGGGTGGGTGAGTGGGTGGGTGGGTGAGTGGGTGGGTAAGTGAGCGAGTGGGTGGGTGGGTGGGTGAGTGAGCGAGTGGGTGAGTGAGTGAGTGGGTGAGTGAGTGGGTGAGTGAGTTGGTGAGTGGGTGAGTGAGTGGGAGGATGGGTGTTTGAGTTGGTGAATGAGTGAGTGGGAGGATGAGTGAGTGGGTGAGTGAGTGGAAGGATGGGTGATTGAGTTGGTGAGTTAGTGGGTGGGTGAGTGAGTGAGTGGGTGAGTGAGTGGGAGGATGGGTGATTGAGTTGGTGAATGAGTGGGAGGATGGGTGAGTGGGTGAGTGGGTGGATGAGTGAGTGAGTCGGAGGATGGGTGATTGAGTTGGTGAATGAGTGGGAGGATGAGTGAGTGGGTGAGTGAGTGAGTGGAAGGATGGATGATTCAGTTGGTGAATGAGTGAGTGGGAGGATGGGTGTTTGAGTTGGTGAATGAGTGGGAGGATGCGTGAGTGGGTGAGTGGGTGGGTGAGTGGGTGAGTGGGTGGGTGAGTGAGTGGGTGGGAGGATGGGTGATTGAGTTGGTGAATGAGTGGGTGGGTGAGTGAGTGGGTGGATGAGTGAGTGCTGGTGTTGCTGATGCGGAGAGCCCTTCTTTTGTTGTATCTTCAACCCTCTTGTCCCGAGTCGCCTACAGCAGCCACTTCTCCACTGCCTGCGGTTAGCTCTGACATTTCCTCGCCACGTATCCGCAGTGATATCTGGCTGTCTTGCGGTGTCTTTTTTAAGGGCGTCTCGGCAGCGCCGCAGTTAGTTGGCCACCAGGAACACGCTTTTGCCCTCTTTGCGTTCACCGTAAAGAAGGATTTTTGGAAGCCGATTTTCTGGCATTCGAGTTACGTGTCCTGACCATTTTAACACGTAGGCTTTCGAGACCAGTATTATTCATAATAAAGGTTTTTGGTCTTCTTGGTTCGTTCTGTAAAGTCACGTAGAAGGGAAATAATAAAATAATACAAATAAAACATAATTAAATAAAATTCTCATGACGTTTCGGCCACAACACAAGCAGCCGTCCTCAGGTGAAGAAACAGAACTATCAGAAAGACAGCGCTTCAATGAACACTGATAAGCTTGGCAGCGTCTTTTAAGCTGGGTGGGAGGAGCAGAGCGCCTTGACAAAGGAGTTTACATATCAACAGAAGAATTTAGCATTGAAGTAGCTAAGTTAATGTGATAGATTAGCAGGGTGTTAAAGTCAGAAATTAGCATGTAACTGGGAGATTAGCATGATGTTAATGTGAGGAATTAGTATGTAACTGGTCATGGAAGTAGCTATGTTCAAGTCAGAGTTAACATATCAACAGAGACATTTATTACATTAACGCTAAAGAACTGCAACTACCCAACTATCATACAACAAACCGATGTGAAAGAACTAAATATAAACTACATCAATATAATCAATGTACTCAATATATTCTCCACTAAGCTGAGCTATTAACAATAAGTCATTATAAATTACACTTCTATGTTGCAAAAAATATTATAATATGCCTCCAACTAATCTTTTTATTATAAACTGCCATAGACAGACCCCAACATTGAATAATACACTGCGTTACTATACACTATACCTTAGATTATAATAATATTAGACTTGTAATATTACACTATGTATTATTTTACCAACCCTACTCTATACCACACTGCTGTATATTCACTATACAATTACGATACTATATATTACCAAATAAATTATATTAAACATAACACTGAAAGGTATTAAGAGATTAGCAGGATGTTAGGGTGAGAAATTAGCATGTAACTGGGAGATTAGCATGATATTAATGTGAGGAATTAGCATGTAACTGGTCACGGAAGTGGCTATGTTTAAGTCAGAGTTTACATATCAACAGAGGCATTTAGTATATTGACGCTAAAGGACTGCAACTACCCAAATATCATACAATAAACCGATGTGAAAGAACTAAATATAAACTAACATCAATATAATCAATGTACTCAATATATTCCCCACTAAGTTGAGCTATTAACATTAAGTAACTTGGTATACACTACACTATATAATGAAATATAAACTACATCAATATCATCAATATACTCAATATACGCTACAATAAGCTGAGCTACGAACAATATGTCATTATACATTACACTTCTATGTCGCAAAAATTATTATAATATGCCTCCAACTAATCTTTTTTCTTACATCACACGACAATACCCCGTACTATAAGCTGCCATAGACAGACCCCAACATTGAATTATACCCTGCGTTACTATACACTACCCTATACTTTAGACTATAATAATATTAGACTTGTAATATTACACTATGTATTATTCTACCAACCCTACTGTATACCACACTGCTGTATATTCACGATACAATTACGATACTATATATTACCTTATAAATTATATTAAACATTACACTAAATTTCGATTTAAAGCTTTCGTGACTGCAATGATTCATCTTCTTTGGTTCTTTCGGTAAAGTCACGTAGAATGAGAATAAAATAATAAATTGATAAAATAAAATAACACAATAATATTCTCACGACGTTTCGGCCACAACACAAGCGGCCTTCATCAGGTGAAGGGACGAGACTGTCAATTTATTATTTTATTCTCATTCTACGTGACTTTACCGAAAGAACCAAAGAAGATAAACATTACACTGTTTTACTATTTATTATTATGCAATATGCTATAAACATATCATTGACTGTCGTGTGAAAGGTACTAAGAGGCAGTGCCAGCGAATGGACTGCGGTCTGAAAGTCACCGTAAAACACAATTAATCAAGACCCGAAATGGTTTATCACGTCCTTCCAATGGCTGCTCAGCCAGAATCCATCTTCTCGGTTGAAATTGTCTCTGTGTTTGTATATGTGTATGGCCTCATGAACGAATCTCTCATGGTAGCCGGATGGCTTGCAGAGAACCTCCGTCTTGGAGAAGTCAATGTCATGTCAGCCCACTGAATTATAACAGTGATCTGCCACGGCTGAGGTGTTCGTCCTACCGTGTTTCAGGTCTGCTTTATGTTCATGGATGCGGTCTGAGACATGTCGTTTGGGTTCTCCAATGTAATTGCTACCACAGAGGCAACTTAGTTTGTAGACGCCCGGGTACTGTATGTCTGGAACCACATCTTTTACAGACGGGACCAGATCACGGATTTTATGTACTGTGTTGAATCGGACCTGGATCTTGTGTTTATTCAGGATTTTGGAGATCTTTTTTGTGACCCCCGCAATGTAGGGTAAGGTGATGGTTTTGCATGGCTCCTCAAGAGGATCCTTCTTCATGGTTGGCTTTGCTGATTGTGTAGTCGGAGTAACCATTAGCCTTGAGAGCTTGGTGTACGTGCTTGAGTTCACTGGCTATGTATTCCTGGTCGGATATGCATTGGGCTCTATGGTGCAGAGTCTTGATGAGGGATTTCTTCTGGGATGGATGGTGGTGGGAATCCGGTTTTAAGTAAGCATCCGTATGGGTAGCTTTCCTGTAGACAGAATGGCTCATTGAACCATCAGGTCTCCTTTTAATTAGGACATCGAAAAAGGGTAGCTTGCCATCTTTTTCGACTTCCATGGTGAATCTGATGGCTGGGTGTATGGAATTGATGTGGTCGAGAAATTGGTCGAGCCGGCCGGCCATGTGGCCAGATGACAAAAGTGTCATCCACGTGCCTCGTCCATAAGGTCGGGCGTAGAGTGGTAGTCTGGATGGCGTCAGTCTCAAATTTCTCCATGAAAACGTTGGCTACAACCGGAGATAGGGGGGAGCCCATTGGGGTGCCCTCAGTTTGTTTGTAGAAAGTTCTATTCCAAGTGAAGTATGTGTTGGTTAAGCAGTGTCTCACCAGGGGGCGGGTACATCAGTGTGCAATCCTTGATGAACCAAGTCTTCTTCCTAATTCACTTTGGTGAATAAGGAAACCACATCAAAACTGACAAGCAGGTCGTCTGGGGACATGGAAATACCCTTGATTGTTGATACCAGGTGAGTAGAGTTTAGTACCGCAGAGGTGGTTTTTCCAGTAAGGTTTTTGGGTTATTATAATTTTGTCGCAAACCCTCCACCACACGACACGGACAATCAGTAAACAATGTGTCCCGTTAACAAAACGCCAATTCGTTACTTCTTCAGCCCACCGGTGTGTTGAAGAGTGAATCCACAACATTTACAATTTGAGTAGTACGACGTTTCGCTGGACATTACATCCAGCATCTTCGGGAGATTTGCCGGAATAGTGAAGCCACGCACGTGCTTCCGGTCTGCAATAGTGCAGGATGACGTCATCATTGTTCAACCCCATCAGGTATCGAGATCAGAGGCAGAGGTGGGGGGGTATTGTAATTACATAATAGACGAGGGGGTGGGTGGCCAGCAGCACGCCCGGCCGCCTTTGGTAAAGTCACGTAGGTATAATATAAAATAAATCACGACGTTTTGGGCGCAACACAAGCGTCCGTCATCAGTTGGGAAAGTACGGTCTGCTGCTGAGTCAGACTTTTATTTTATTTTCTAGTTGACTTTACCGAATGAATTCCTGCAGTCACGAAAGCTTCAAATAAAGATTAGTGTGTATTACTTAAGAAAACGCTTCCAGGCTGCGCTAAGTCTGTAGCTATCAGAGCGATTAAAATGATTTGTCAACTGAGAGGAGGCATGAACTGTCGCCTCTACGCTGAGACCCCCCCCCCCCCCGCTCTCGCCAGCACCTCGGTGCTTGGAGTTCAGTCTTGCCACTCGATCCTCATGATTTGTTTCAAATGTCTCAGCGGTAGGCGCGTTAGTTTATTCAGGCGTCGTCTGTATAGTGTCACGTGTTTCTACAGGGTCGATTAATGCAGGAATTACCACTCCTCTTTTAGACATTTACTATGGTTAATATTTTAATACCATGCTGGGACCAGCGACGCTTATGTCGGTGACGGAATGTCTTAGACGCAGCTCTAAGGTGCAATGGAGATCTCGGTGTCTGCAGAGTTGAGACTCTGCGCCTCCCAAGTGAGCTTCACCATTTTGTCCGTTTGCTGGTTGGAACAGCGACTCCGTGTAACTCGTGTTGATTGTTCGCGCAATTTGTTTTCCCACAGCAGCAGAACGGTGGGCGATGTCTTGAATGTCACTCAGGTTGTGAGCAATGAACTATTGTCCTCGGCAAAAAACTAAGTTCCCGGACACGCTGTTCTCCCACTTTGGTGTGAGCGTGTAGCCGGGCCAGGTTAAACAGCTTGCCGTCGCTCCGGGTTCGTACATAAATGCCGGTGCTGAGATTTACAGTCGTGGCTGTGAGCGTTGCTGCGAGGAGAGCGAAGGGGCTGGGGGCCAGCGCACGTCCCCGTTTCACTCCATGGCCAAATGTGAAAAAGAGGGTCGTGTCACATTTCCTACCAGTCACGTTGTCACGAAACGGTCTGATGATGTCCACAAAGTGCCCTGCACATCCTACAGTCTCTTAGAACGTCGTGTTGAATGCCTTCCAGAGATCTTGGTGCTGCTCAGCCGCCTCCGCTTGTATCTGCCACAGGTGCCAAATCATTCCGGAGTGTCCCGCTCAAGCCCGGACAGGTGGACAGCGCCCTTCCAACCGGGCTCGGCGCGAGCCCACGACGCCGAGGGGCTTCCTTTGCCCCCCCCCCCAAAGTTGCATTCCTCGACCACGTGACCCAATTGTTTATTTAATTAATTGCCCCCCCCCCCCCAACCTTCACAGACCCCCCCCCCCTACACCCCTCCCCCCGTTCGCAGTGTAGGAGCCTCACCACATTGACATTGACACAATCAATGTCCACTGACAGACACGCATGCTAATCCACTGCTGGACGAGTTCTCTCCCCGGTTACGGTGGGAGGCGCGAGGTGTACAACCACACATCACCGGGCTGGTCGGTGAAGGCGGGGCTCATAGGTAGACGTGGGAAGGGAGGCGGGGGCGCATAGCGGTGCAGTACAACGATGGGTGTCACGTGTACAGCTGTAACAATCCTCCTCGTGGCTCCGTTCGGAATGCACTGCGTGGGGGAGGGGGGGGGGGCTTAGCCGGGGATCGAACCGACGCCCACGTGGTTCTCAGCCCCTGGGGCGAGGTCACTGTGGTCGCCACAGTCGATAGAGGTGCGGGTGGGGGGCTCCTGATTAGCGGGGGTGGAGGGGAGGGGTGGAGGGGAGGGGTGGAGGGGTGGAGGGGTGGAGGGGTGGAGGGGAGGGGTGGAGGGGAGGGGTGGAGGAGGGGAGGGGTGGAGGGGAGGGGTGGAGAGGAGGGGTGTAATTAGGGGAGAGGGTGGACAAACGCCGCACTGCTCCCGAGCCCCCCCCCTTTCACCCCCGCCCCTACAACGCCCCCCCCCCCCCACACGCCCCCCCTTGCCCGAGCTTAGCCGGGTTGTAAATGATTTGAGTTGAAGCAGGGCTGGGATAGGTGAGTGAGCGTACCGGTGAGTGTACAGGTAAGCGGCATAGGATGAAGTCGACGGGTTAGTCTGACGGCGGGTGGCCAGGTGGTCAGCAGTCAGCCCAGGTGAGTTCACGCGTTGAGTTCTAAAGTGATTGTACAGGTGAGTACCCAGGTGAGCGATCGCCCGGGTGAGTGAGCGCCTCCGTCTATGGGCACAGGTGAGCACACAGGACAGTGCCCATGGGAACGAATTTCCTGGTGAGTGTAGACGTGAGTCTAGAGGAGAGGTTCGAGGCGAGTCTGGAGGCGAATCTAGAGGCGAGTGAGTCTAGAGGTGAGTGTAGAGAAAAGTGAGTCTTGAGGCGAGTGAGTCTAGAGGCGACTGTAGAGGCGACTGTAGAGGCGAGTGAGTCTAGAGGCGAGTGTAGAGTCGACTGTAGAGGCGAGTGAGTCTAGAGGCGAGTGAGTCTAGAGGCGAGTGTAGAGGCGACTGTAGAGGCGAGTGAGTCTAGAGGTGAGTGTAGAGGCGAGTGAGTCTAGAGGCGAGTGTAGAGGCGACTGTAGAGGCGAGTGAGTCTAGAGGTGAGTGTAGAGACGAGTGAGTCTAGAGGTGAGTGTAGAGGCGACTGTAGAGGCGAGTGAGTCTAGAGGCGAGTGTAGAGGCGACTGTAGAGGCGAGTGAGTCTAGAGGTGAGTGTAGAGGCGATGGTAGAGGCGAGTGAGTCTAGAGGTGAGTGTAGAGGCGAGCGTAGAGGCGAGCGAGTCACCACCTGTACGTGGTGGTGAGGCTGGCTGAGTCGTCCTCGCTGCCCGGCAGGGCCCTCCCGTCCTTGAGCCACGCGTGGCCCAGCACGCGGAGCCCCGCGGCCGCGGACAGCTCGCAGCGCAGGCTCACGGGACGTTGATCCTGGCCGGACAGCTGCACCGCGGGGGACGTCCTGATCTCGGGGTCTAGGTGGGGTCGGATAGGGCAGGGCCGGCGAGTAGGAGAGGGACGAGTTCAAGATGGGGCTCTCGGGTCGCGCTGGTCGGTTGGAATTAGTGGAAGGAGACCCGTAGCCAGTGCCGGATTATCTTCGTAGCAAAAGTAGCTACATATGTTGTAGCTACGGGCCCCGCACTTTCAAGGGCCCCGCGCTAAATGCTTTCAAGCTATCAATTCCGGTTCTGTGATTCTGTACTTGCTCTATTACTATAGTACTATACCGCCTTCAACGTTTATGAACGACTGGGTATTTAAGGTTAGCGATTTGTCGTGTTATCTGGTTGTGTAGCAAATGAAAAAAATACATTTTACGGTGCAAGTAAAAAAATTATGTTTTAATATTTGTGTTTTTTAATATTTAGGGCCCCTTTATAACATGTGCTACAGGCCCCGCACTCGCTTAATCCGGCACTGCTCATAGCGCGAACCGCAGCCGTAGCGAGAGGCATGATACTGGATGTGGTGTGCCGGTACGCGGGGTGGGGGGCTAATCGGGCTGCGAGTTGGTGAAGCTCCCCCCCCCTCCCGCGGGGGTTTTGGCCGCAGATCAACTCGCGGTCGGTTACGCGCGCGACGCGAACGGACACACCGAGTGGTGTCAGCGAGCCGCTGGCAAGGTCGGCGCGGGAGTGCCACGTGGCCTTCACGGCGTGACGCGGGCAGAGGGAGAAGGCGAGATGACGATGACCCAGTGAACATCGAATGTTGAGCCAACGTCGGACCAACGTTTCTAACAAACATGCCAACGTCGGGCTAACGTTGGCATGTTTAGTAGAGATGTGGCGAGACACAACCACTCCTGGGCAGCGTGCAGGGCTGTTCCTGATGGGTTTAAGTACTGCCCCCCCCCAAACCCCTCCCCCCGTGGATGATACAAGAGAGGAGGGGGGGGGGGCGATGGGGGAGACCCATCCACCCTTGCGACCGCATAAAATTAGAATTTAAACATTCATTTCGTTATCACACTGCCACGATCTGTTTGGAGGAGAGAGGGGAAAAGAGCAAATTTTGGGACTGTCCCCCGCCCCCCTCCCTCCTCTTGCCCCCCGGGCAGTTTCTGGATCCACCCCTCTCCCTACCCCCCTTCTAGAAACCAACTCCCTCCCAACCACGCCATCCCCTTCTTCTCCACCCCCTCCCCACCAACCCCCCCCACCAACCCCCCCGCCGGAACGTACGGGCGATGATGCCGATGGCCGCCTGCGCTCGCACCCATCTCGGGATGGGGAGGGTCTCTCCGCCGCGGGCGCCCGTCCCGGCCCCGCGCGGGCGGTTCCTCCTGGGCGCGTTGCTGGCGCGGCACTCGTAGGTACCCGCGTGGCGATGTGCGAGCCCCCGCAGGGTGAGGCCGCTCTGCGCGCCGCGGGGACCGTACGCGGTCGCCAGCGACACGAGGCCCCCGCGGTCTCCGTCCCACAGCTGCGAGAAGGTCCGGCCGTGGTGGCGTTGCCGGGGGCGGCGGCGACCACCCGCGGCCCCCCGGGGGTCCGGAAGCCCCGGTGGGCCCAACTCGCTGGGGTCGCGGTCGACGTCCGTCACGGAGAGCCAGGGGATGAGCGGCAGCGACGATGACGACGCTGAAGGTGACGACGCTGAAGGTGACGACGCTGAAGATGACGACGCAATATCTTCTTGCTGGGTCACCGTGGTGGCTTCTCTTCCGAGAGCTTTTTCTCCATCAACGTCATTATCGTCATCAGATTCATCGCCATCACCGTCGTCGTCATCTTCATCGTTGTCAACATCTTCATCATCATCATCACTACCACCACCATCATCATCTTCATTGATCATGTCCCGCTGGGCCGGGGCGAACCACCACTGAACCTCTGGGGTCGGGACTCCAACCACCTCGCAGTGCAGGGTCGTGGTCCCCCCTAGCAGCAGCGACTGGGACAGCGGGGATCTCACGAAGCCGGCTTCGGGGGTTAAGGGTCAAGAGGTCGGGGTGAACGGGCATGGTGGGGGTCGGGGGTGGCAGGGTCAAGGTCATCGTGGCCAAAGGTCGAGGAAGGTTCACCGGGAGTTCAGGAGGATCACGGGGTGGGTCGGGGTCGTGGTGGTTGATGGCCGTGGCAGTGAGGTGCGCGGGTAGGGGATGATAGTGGTGAGCGGAAAGGTATAGATATGGGTGTTACAGGTGCACAGGCAAGGGGTGATGCAGGTGAGTCAGCAGCAGGTATAGGAAGGAGCAGACAGGCAGAAGAGACAAGATTAGTTTCATAAAACAAGTCATTAAAAAATTATGAGACGATGACCTAGGAGTTGAAAATGGGTTCCTAGTGGCGCTGATAAGTGGCTATGACACGGCCATTATGAGCCCCTTGAGAGAGCCCCAAACCTAGGGCTTGAACCTTCCTGGCGGTGTCGCAGTGCCTCTGAAATGGCCATTGTGAACATGCCCTCATGAACACACACCCTCACCCAGTGCATGAACCCATCATTTCAAGCAGTGCTGGATCGATGCCTCTAACGCAGCCAATGGGAACGTATTAAGACTGGCGTGATAACCCACGGGGTTTGACCAACTCAGATTCTCAACACCGCTGGCTTAATGACTCCGACACGGACATTCTGAACTTGGCAGTGGTGTAGTAACTACATTATCAGTGGTGTAGTAACGACATTATCAGTGGCGTAGTGACGACATTAACAGTGGTGTAGTAACGACATTTTAAGTGGCGTAGGAACGACATCAGTGGCGTAGTGACGACATCAGTGGCGTAGTGACGACATTCTCAGTGGCGTAGTGACTACATCAGATGCGTAGTAACTACATGATCAGTGGTGTAGTGACGACATTAACAATTGCATAGAAACTACATCATCAGTGGCGTAGTAAAGATATCAGTGGTGTAGTAACGACATTAACAGTGGCGTAGTGACTACATTATCAGGGGCGTAATAACGACATCAGTGACGTAACGACATTATTAGTGACGTAGTAACGACATTATCAGTGGCGTAGTAACTACATTATCAGTGGCATAGTAATGACATCAGTGGTGTAGTAACTACATTATCAGTGGTGTAGTAACTACACTATCAGCGGCGTAGTGACTACATTATCAGTGATGTAGTGACTACATTATCAGTGGTGTAGTGACTACATCATCAGTGACGTAGTAACTACATTATCAGTGGTTTAGTGTCGACATTAGTTGTGTAGTAACTACATTGTCAGCGGCGTAGTGACAACATCAGTTCAGGGAGTGTGGCAATCGATCAGGTGGGGCCCCAATAGTTGATTTATCTCAGCACAGCCGCACGCTGGGGGCTGTTCTGTACCGGCGGCTCCTCTCTTGCCCTACTCCACATCATCGTGACGCTCACGGTCTCGAACATTTAACGCTGTAGGGGCGCTCTGTCTCCGCAAAATGCAGCCACTCACAGCTCCGTCGTAGTTACCTCTTCGAAATATTACGTTACGACTCTGATGAAATAAAATGAAACGTGGAACGTAATTGAAAGCATTTTCATAAAAAAAATACATTTAAACCGCGTTTTAAATAGGTTTGTGTTCTTTTGCACCGTTGTTGAAAACAAATCTCACGGTGGATGTGAAGGGGGGGGGGGGTGGCTTGGCCAGGCATTGCACCCCTCCTGAGCCACTACGCCCGCCACGTGCCTCCTCTGGAGGGTGCGGGCCGCTCGCGACGTTGCGGGGGCCTCGCGTCTCCGGCAGAGACGGCCGCGCGGGGATAGCGACGACAAACGAGCGAACGGACAGACGCAGCAGCAGCAGCAGCAGCAGTGAGATGTCGACTACCTCGCCTGGTATACAGGAGGTCGTGGGTTCGATCGCGAACCTGACGCCTGGATTTTTCTCCGTTTTTTCCCCCCTCCACATTTAGAATCAACATCGGCACGCGTTGACAGCCGGGGGTCGGCAACCATGCGGCTCTGGAACCGCATGAAGTGACTCTTTAGGGACCGCCTCGTTACGTTTATGTATTAAGGAACCACCGTCTGGTATTCACGTTGCATTGCGGCTCTTGATATACTATTGAGGTTTTTATACCCTTTGGGTCATGTAGATAGAAAAATAATAAAAAAATCTTCTTGCCTCAGCAGTCCGCCTGCTGTATTTTTTCACCTGAAGACGATTGCTTGTGTTGCGATGGAAACGTCGTGATTTTATTTTATTATTTTTCAAACTACATGACTTTACCGAAAGACCCAACGAGTATAAATTCCTGCAGTCATGAAAGCTTTACGTCAAGATTTAGGTTTTTACCAAATTCGATAAAAAAATGTCTCTTCTCGTTCGTATGGATAGAGTATTTGGCTGCTATACATTTCCACGTGATAAGCCACTTTGTTGAGCTATCATTTGTGATAGCCAGGTCGTTTCTGTAAAATAACTATATAGTTCAGTGGGGCTTTACCTGGTAACATAAAAAAATAGTTTATCCTTCATTAAAACAGTTGTATAGTTTAGAGGCGACATGAGAGTCTCCTTGCTGTGTTAGTGGCCTCACAATGGCCGTGTCAGAGACTCTGAGCAAAGCTGTGGATGTTGAGCCGCCCCCAACCACCAACCATCCCAACCACCAACCACACCAACCACTAACTACACCAACAACCCCAACCACCAACCACACCAACCACCCCAACCACCAACCACCCCAACAGCAACAACCGTCATTCGCCACTAAGACGCTTGTGCCAGGCTATGTGCACCTTGAGGCCACGTGAAGTGTCGAACGCCCGCTGGCAGGAGGTCACGGAGAAGACCCAGGTGCCACAGGTCGACTGATTGAGACGACTGGCTGATGCACCACCTGCGCCCCCTACTGTGACAACTTGCTGCGCTTTAGCCACCCGGCGCTCCGCTCGTTGTTGTGAGCGTCGCTCCTCCGCCCTCCGTTGTTGTTGGAGGGCGACTGCCTCCAACTGCCCAGAGGCATCTTTCACGAGCCTCCTCCACAGAGGCCGATCTTGACACTGCTGGTACCAGTCATCGGCAAGTCCACTCAGCTCTACATCCTCCTGTACCACATCACTCCATCTCTTCTCTAGCCCGTGCTGCGCCCGTTTAGCCCCCTCTATCCGGCCGGACAAAAGCTGTTTCGGCATGCGGTGGCTGGGCATGCGGGCTACATGACCCAGCCAACGCAGCCTTGCCTGCCGATGGGACCGTGCCCAGATCTTTCAAGGATTTGTGAGCTCCTCACACAATCCAGCATGGTTAAACCCAGGATGGATCGTCGGCAGGCCAGCCTAAATATTTCCAATAGGCGAAGATGCTCCAATAGGGGGGTGCACGTTTTGCAAGCATAGAGAAGGGAGGGAATAACCGTGGCCGAGAAGACTTGAAGCTTCTTGCGGAGCAACAGACCAGGTAGCTTCTACACAGCATTACGCAACCGATGAAAAGATAATCTCGCTCGACTGATTCTGAGTGAGACCTCTGCTGTCAAACCGGAGGCGGTCAAAAGCACACTGCCCAAGTATGTGAAACTCTCCACTCTCTCCACAACTGTCCCATCACCGATTGGGAGTTTTGGGGGTGGAGTGCCTGATGGTACAAAATACTCAGGCAAGTGCTTAGTTTTGGTGGGGCTGATGGTAAGGCCCCACCTCTTAGCGGCACGCTCCAGTTTCAGCAGCAGCGCCTCTAACTCCTCCTCTGAGTGAGCGGCAATTACCAAATCATCGACATACATAACGTGGTTGACCAATAGCGAGCCATCCCTTGACCGCACCCGGGCATCGATCAGCCTCCCATTGTAGCTGTATCAGATGGACATTCTTCTGGTACAGCCATCAAAGGCTTCACGAACTACGTGGTCGAAAAATATGTTAAATAATGTGGGAGCCAGAGGACATCTCTGTCGCACCCCAAGGTGAACAGGGAATGGCTCCGACTCCCGGCCACGTAGTTTTACCCGAGCCCGCTCACCATCATGAAGGTCCTTAATGATCGTGAGAAGAGGGTCAGGGACTCCGAAAGCACGAAGAACAACCCAAAGCCCAGGCCTACTGATGGTATTGACCAGGTACAATAAAGCAGAGATGTAGGTCTTGTTGGATTCCTTACACCTCTGCTGTAGCAAATGGACAGAAAATATGGCATCTGTGCAGGACCGCCCTTTCCTGAAACCGCATTGGGGCTCCGCAAGCCTCTCCTTGCCTGGCAAGGCAATGTTGAATAATCCTTGCCAGGATCTTTCCCGGCACACTGAGGAGTGAGATGCCCCTGTAGTTGTTACAGTCTGTGCGGTCCCCCTTCTTGAAGAGGGGGACCACCAGGGCATCCTTCCAATTCTGCGGAACCCGTCCAGTGTTCCAGACTGTTGTTATGACGTCATGTAGGACAGTCTGTGCGAAAACGCCACCCTCCCTCAACATTTTGCTTGGGAGATCATCTCTGCCCGGTGCCTTTCCTGGTCTCAGACTCTGGATCACCTTTTGTGCTTCCTCAATAGATGGTATCTCAGCCAGCCACTCACAGGAGGTAACTTCTTCTTCCAATATTTGAGGCACCGCAGCCTCAGCATGGTCATCTCAACTTTGTCCCACGATGTTTTCCATGTCAAGGGATTTCCCCTCCCCCAGGACTTCACGAAAATGCTCAGCACATCTGCAGACCTGTTCCTGGGGGTCGGAGATTGGATCACCATTTTTCCCCTTATGATGGAAATAGGTGTGGTGCTGCAGGTTACTTTTTTGATGGAGTTAAATAGGGATTTGTGATCACGGGCCATTGAGGAAGACTCCATCTCCTCAGCAACCCGCGATCACCACCCATTTTTGCAGCGCCTCATGGCTCTCCGAACCTCCAAGCGAAGGCTGCGGTGAGCCTCCTCATTCTCTGACGTGGGATGCTGTAGACGATTAGAGTGGGCCTGTCGCTTTTTCTCAGCCATCCTAAACACCTCCTTTGTCAGCCAGGGTCTCTGGGGAGGTCTGGACCGCGTCCCCAAAGCAGCCATTGCATTTATCCTCGACATCTGGAGGAGTGGGGGACAATGCCAACCCCAGCCGCAAGCCATGGTGAAATTCTCGCTTGCAACTTTCATCAGCTAGCTGAGACCAGGCCACCTTAGGTTTGAATGGGGTCCTGGGTGTACACCCAACACCGGAGTGGAAGAATGGCAGGCGCATCTTGCAGATGACAAGTTGATAGTCAGAGGGCAGATCAGCTCCACGGTAGGTCCTGGTGTCAAGGACATGGGCCTGCATCCGCTGTTCCGTCACTATGTAGTCCAGCAGATGTTCTTGCTTGCATGATGTTATGTGGCTGCGCCGATGCCGGACCAGTGTGCTGGTAATTACAAGCCCATGGGCTGCACAAAAATCTAGCAGCCTTCTACCATTGTTATTGAGCTGACCTGGCCCATGCCTTCCAATCACTCCAGACCAGGTGCCAGCATCATGACCAACTCGGGCATTTAAGTCGCCCAACAAGATGACTCTATCCCGAGGGGCCACTTTAGCTAGCACCTGTGACAGGAGGTCATAGAAGGCATCTGACTCATCGGCCTTGCCTGCATCCCTCCACGGATGTTCGTCTTCAGTGGGGGCACAATTCACCACGACCAACACTCCTCGCCTCCGGTTGATGGGAAGGCGAGCCCAAAGTAACCTGGGGCTTACAGCTTCCCACACCTTACCGCCACGCTCCCATGCCCCCTTAATGATTTTGTTCAGAAGAGCCACTCCCTGTTGTTTTGTAGTCTCCTGACGTGAGTAGAGGACTGTCCACCCCTCAATGATGGCAGGAGCCAGAGCCGGTCCACCGGACCTCCTGAATACCACAGAGATCCAGGTGGTACCGTTCCAGCTCCTGACAGAAGAGTGGCAGCCTCTCCTCCGCAGTGAGTGTTCTAACATTCCACGTAGTCATCCGTAGTGGCTTTTTGTTGTTTTTGGAGGAGCCCTGAGGGTAAAGATTCAATCTCCTGACTCCGCCAAGTGGGGTTTGGCCAGGAGACGTCATAGACGCCTGTACCCCCGGGGCCTCCGGCACAAGCTTATCAATCAGATATTTTTACGTGGTTGTGTGGTAATTTATTGAAGGTGGAGGGGTTACCAGCCCCTCGCACCTGTCCAGAGCCCCCATTTAGCCGCTGTGGTGGTTACAAACACCCTGAGGGGAAAGGCCAATCGGAATTGGCCCTCCCACCCCCCCAGCACTGTCCACGACAACGTTGCCCTTCCGGCACCACGAGGAGGTAGGGGGTTGTTTTCTTTTTCACACAGACCCCTCAACCACCAACCACACCAACCACCCCAACCACCAACCACCCACCACCCCAACCACCAACCACACCAACCACCCCAACCACCCCAACCACCAACCACACCAACCACCCCAACCACCAACCACACCAACCACCAACCACACCAACCACCAACCACCCCAACCACCGACCACCCCAACCATCAACCACCCCAACCACCCCAACCACCAACCACCCCAACCACCAACAACCCCAACCACCAACCACCCCAACCACCCTAACCACCAACCACCCCAACCACCAACCACACCAACCACCCCAACCACCAACCACACCAACCACCAACCACACCAACCACACCAACCACCAACCACACCAACCACCAACCACACCAACCACCAACCACCCCAACCACCCTAACCACCAACCACCCCAACCACCAACCACACCAACCACACCAACCACCAACCACACCAACCACACCAACCACCCCAACCACCAACAACCCCAACCACCAACCACCCCAACCACCCTAACCACCAACCACCCCAACCACCAACAACCCCAACCACCAACCACCCCAACCACCCTAACCACCAACCACCCCAACCACCAACCACACCAACCACCCCAACCACCAACCACACCAACCACCAACCACACCAACCACACCAACCACCAACCACACCAACCACCAACCACACCAACCACCAACCACCCCAACCACCCTAACCACCAACCACCCCAACCACCAACCACACCAACCACACCAACCACACCAACCACACCAACCACCCCAACCACCAACCACACCAACTACCAACCACCCCAATTACCAACCACCCCAACCACCAACGACCCCAACCACCAACGGCTCACAATGGCCAACCACATTCCGTGAGCCAATCCGCAGCGAGCACAGCGTCGGTGGGTTCGGCGCTCCTCTATGTCCGCTCCGACGGAACACGCAAAGTACATACAGTGGACAGGGTTTATCCTGTCCGTCCGATAATGCCCGCAGCTATTCCGAACCCCGCAGGGGAGGCGGGGGGTGGAGGGTGGGGGTCCAACTTCGAAGCGGATTAGGGGATTAGCGCGGTGGCCCTGACGTCACTGCCCTTTCGTCTCGTTGTGCCCAAGACTTAATGAGCCATGTTCAATCCACTGCTGGCTGGGTGGAGGCTCCCCCCCCACCACCTCCTACCACGCTCCCCTCCCCCTATGCAGACGCCACGAAACCCGCGATGCAAACAAATCCATCCAAATCTTGCGCGCGAGCTCATCTCATGCAGAAGGACCGTTGCTCGAAACGTCACCTGTAATGTATATTTGTTTTTTATAAGGCCACACAAAATTGTATTAACGAGTGTGTTCAAGTTGTTGTTGTTGTTAATTGTGTTTGTGCACCATTACCAAACGCAGCAGCAACAGCATCATTGCCAAATCATTTGTCTCCCCGCCCAATTGGGATTACTCGGAGCACCACCAATCATCGTCACAACCTCGCAGCCCAGGCGCCGAGTCACCCTGTGCCGCACAGGGGGGAGACAGCTCGCCACGCCGGGCCCACGTTGACGCGTTACACCGGCTCCTAATCCTTATTTGGATCTCCGGTTGGCGCGTTCCTCCGCGCTGCGTCTCGGGACAGCTCCGAAGATTCGTCTCCTCCACGTGGAGGGGTAAGCGGCTCCTCGTGACACGTGACGCGTGGAGGCGAGTTGCCCCACTCATTGAACCACCGCTTTACGCCAAAGCTGCCACACGGGCAGCCTTGGCGTTCGCCCTCCACCCCCCACCCCTCGAATCGACGCCGCTGCTGCTGCCGCTGCTACCGATGATCGAACGAACTCCTCACCGTGTCACCCTCTCGTCCACGTACGGCGGGGGTTCCCCGTTGGACGCAACGTTGACTGGCCCGAGCGAGACACTGAAAGTGGAAACCTGTCCAGAATATTGCGTGCGTAGAACCAATGCTGCTGCTGCTGATCTCATCTGATTTGTATTCGTATGCAGAGCGCCTTCACTCAAGACTCTCTGCGACACAGCTTGCACAACGATGACAGAATGTCACGATGTAATCGACAGGGGCGTGCTACAAGGATTGAGGAACGAGCGCTTGGGGGATCACAAAAGGGCTACAGGGGAGGGACGGGAAGGAGTGGAGGGGCGAGGGGAGCGGATGGGCGATAGGGAAGAGGTAAGGCTTCAATAGAGGTACGGAAGGTTAAGGAGGTGGGCTGCTTCATGTACATGAGAAGTTATCAACTCTCAGAAGGCCGTGTGTGTGCAGCTGATGGGATGTGGAAAAAATACGAATTATTGTTTTATGTGGACAGACAAATGCGTGAATCATGAGTATTATCTGCTTATATATATGCCGCTATACGGTATAGAGGTTCCCCATACTGTGGTGTTCGCTCTAGCGAGCGCTGTTGTACACGGTGTAGAAGGCGGAGTACATTCTGTACTCCCTGTGGCCGGGGTGGAGAATTCAATCGACGCGGAGGAAGGTCCCAAACAGGTGAGTAAACACATGGGAGGACAGGTGAGTGCACACGTGGGGAGCACAGGTGAGTACACACGTGGGGAGCACAGGTGAGTGCACACGTGGGGAGCACAGGTGAGTACACACTTGAGCACAGGTGAGTGCACACGTGGGGAGCACAGGTGAGTACACACTTGAGCACAGGTGAGTGCACACGTGGGGAGCACAGGTGAGTACACACGTGGGGAGCACAGGTGAGTACACACGTGGGGAGCACAGGTGAGTGCACACGTGGGGAGCACAGGTGAGTACACACGTGGGGAGCACAGGTGAGTACACACGTGGGGAGCACAGGTGAGTACACACGTGGGGAGCACAGGTGAGTGCACACTTGAGCACAGGTGAGTACACACGTGGGGAGCACAGGTGAGTACACACGTGGGGAGCACAGGTGAGTGCACACGTGGGGAGCACAGGTGAGTGCACACGTGGGGAGCACAGCTGAGTACACACGTGGGGAGCACAGGTGAGTACACACTTGAGCACAGGTAACACTTGAGCACAGTCTCACCTGAGGACTGCCCCTCCGTGGACCAGGCCACGAGTGTGATCACCAGGGACAGAAGGAGGATGTGGAGGCGGTGGCTGCTGCTGCTGCTGCTTCGCGCCATCGTCTCGGTCCAAAGGGAGCCGCTCCGGTACCGCGCGTCTCTGCGAGTGCAGCTCGGCGGCGCGTGGGGTCCGGGGGTTCGAGAGGGAGGGGGGGGGCATGGGGATTGGGAGGATGGAGGGTGGGGATTGGGAGGATGGAGGGGATGGGGATAGGGAACAGTGGGATTTGAGGAAGGGAGGGGGTGTAGGTGATGAGAAGGAAGGGGGGAGGGTCGACGAGAGCAGGGGGATTGGGAGAGGGGTGGGGGATTGGAGGGAGGGGGTGGGATGGAGGGGAGGGGCTTGCGGGCAGCACTAAGTACCCACAACCTGTGAAGAACAGCTACTGCCCGCAACGTCGCCTAATTTTATATGTTTTTATTTTAAAGGAACGACCCGTTTTTATTGACGAGCGCATTTGGTGTTATTGGTGTGGCTGTTCGCCACTGCCACCACAGCTTCAGCAGCAGCGACATCAGAAATGGGACGCCACGGTAGCTATGAGATGTTAACTACCTTGCCTGGTACACAGGAGGTCGTGGGTTCCATCCCGACCCTGACGACGCCCGCTGCTGCTGCTGTATATTTGGAGTTTGCGTCTCTCCTTCTATCTCATCATCATCACGGTAGCTATGAGATGTTAACTACCTCGCCTGGTACACAGGAGGTCGTGGGTTCCATCCCGACCCTGACGACGCCCGCTGCTGCTGCTGTATATTTGGAGTTTGCGGTGTCTCTCTCCTCGTGGCCGCGTGGATTTTTCTCCGGGTCCTCCGGTTTTTCGCTCCACATTTTGAATCGACATCACCACGCGTTGAGAGTATTTCACTGCTCTGCATTTCCACACGATGAGCCACTTCGTTGAGCTATTAGTTGTCGTGACAACCAGGTCGCTTTCGAAAAAGATCTACACAGCTACAGTGGGGCATTACCTGGTAAAATAAAATAAAAATCTAGTTTTACAACTTGGTTCCGAGAGTTGAGTGCAGCGGAGTCGGAGCGTGGCCTGCAGTACGCACAGTGGTGATGGGGGACCTCATCTTGACTTCAAAGAATGTATCCCGCGCCTTAACCAAGGCCGCTTTATACAGAATGAACAACGGTACAACAAGTGAATGTAATGGTGGAGATGAGGTAAATGAAACAGATGAGCGGAAGCGATGGTGCCTGAAATTCGATGAAAGCGAAATTGATGACGGTTAACGATGATGAGGTGTGAAATGAATGGGGGGTGAATGAGCGAGAGAGCCGTGTCATGAGAATATGAAGAGGGAACAGTAATGGTGGCGGTTATGAGGGTGAGCTAGGGCGTCACAATAAGTGCGAGCTTTGAGCGCGGAGCGGAAAATTCGTGAGCGAAGGTGACCGCTTGATGTGGGGGGGGGGGGGCAATTTGTTCCAGTGCAGGGAGGAGGGGGGGCGAGAAGAGAGAGGAGTGAGCGCAAGAAGGAGGGACAGAGAAAAACAGCAAAGATTGAGAACGTGGAGGGCGAGAAGGCGAGTTAGAAAGATACAAGCGGTGCAAGATACACGGTGGGGCAAGACCATGAAGAGGATTTGTAGACCAGGCTGAGGAAATTGAAGAGGCACGCATCGATCTCCACCCGCCGTGCGTCAAACAACAACGACCCCGTGAACGGAGAGCACGATCCAATACACCCACCACGCAGTGCCGAGCGGAAGGTAACGTCATCACGGTCAGGACGACGGTGATGACGCGTCCTGCACGGGGCTCGACCAGGCCAGGGGAACCGGGTAGGGGCTGGGATCCACAGAACCGCGGGGAAAGGGGCTGGCGGGGTTGGGCGGAGTTAGGCAAAACTAGAGAGAGACACCGCAAACTCCAAATATACAGCAGCAGCAGGCGTCAGGGTCGGGATCGAACCCACGACCTCCTGTACACCAGGCGAGGTAGTTAACATCTCTTAGCCGCCGTGATGATGATGAGAGAGACAGAGACACCGCAAACTCCAAATATACAGCAGCAGCAGGCGTCAGGGTCGGGATTGAACCCACGACCTCCTGTACACCAGGCGAGGTAGTTAACATCTCCTAGCCACCGCGGCGAAGCCGACGCCAGGTCTGGGGAACTCTCCCACGCGACTCCTCGCAGCCCCCCGTCACTGTGGTGGCGCCCAGAGGCACCGACGGTGTCGCAGAGCGCCGCTCTGCGTTGGCTCCCAGCGTCGCGTAGCCCCTTGGGTTAGGGGTGGCGGGGGGGAGTAAGGGGAAGTTTGGACGGCTCGCTCGAGACTGGACTGCATCAGTGCGCACGAGAACGTGCGTGGCTTTGTGTGTCTGTGGGGGGCGGGGGGGGGAATATAAATATTACAGAGACATTGGCCGCCCTGTGCGTGCGTGTGAGCGAGCGAGCGAGCGTGTGATGCACGGGGAGCGGTGGTGGCGCAGCGGTTAGCGCGCCGCGCTACTAACCGGAGTTCGATTCACGCTCACGGCCAACGAGCGTGAAGATTGTCTGAACCGGTCCTGGGCCTCCCCTAGGTCGACTCAGCCTCGAATGAGTACCCGGTGCAGTTCGTAAAACATTGCCTCAAATGCGGCCGGGCGTGGTGCTGACCACCCACGCCATCGTGCGCCGTTCCTGCCTTTTTCAAAGGTGCCCGCGAAGCAGCGCTTGCCCGAACGTCGTCCTGTCCATGGCCCACACGGTGGGAAGCTAAACGTTCGCGAGCCGTGGCCCCGGCGTGCAGGGCGTGACCCCGACCGCGCGGGTGTTGGCGCCGCGAGTCGGCGCCGCGTGGCCGAGGTCGCGCGCCGCGATCCCTGTCGGGATTGGTGCCGCGTGCTCGCAGGGTCTGGGAGCGCGCGGCTAAGCGCATTGGCGTGGATCAGCGCGCGCACTGCCGTGGTAAAACCTCTCTCTCTCTCATCTCTCTCTCTCTGATCTCTCTTGCTTCGGGTCGCCCAGCTGCAGAGGTGGTCGTCATCCGGGTGCAGAGGTGGACGATACCACGACGCCCCTGCTGGCTACTCCACCCATGGCCGTTGAAACTCGCAGCCAATGCGGCGTCCGCACAATCACAGCTTAGGGGCCGTCCATAAATGACGTCACGCGATTTTGGGCGATTTTTGGACCCCCCCCCCCCTCGTCACACGGCGTCACAAAAAGTCAGACCCCCCCTCAAATATTACGTCAACAAAGCTCTGCCCCCCCCCCCAAAAATAAATCAAACATGCTTAAAATCGCTTTAAACTATTGTCATTGTAGTGCGTGTTTAATGTTGAAGGAGAAAACATCAAAAAGTATATTTATTTAAGTAGAACGTGTTGTCTTTCTTTTTTTAAAGTTACGCATTTTGATGTGACGTCACATTTCTCACCCCCCCCCCCCATCACACATCGTCACAAATGTCTGACCCCCCCCCCCCCGCTAGGTGCGTGACGTCACTTATGGACGGCCCCTTATGTCGAAAACTCATTTCTTTAGAGCTGATATCTTGTATTTAAGTTTTGTTGCCCTTCCCCGCAGCTCCGATTAACACGTACGGTGCGAAAGAAGTTCAACGTACATACGGCGTTAACAGGACGAGCGATCCTGAGTCTCCCACCCTGTCTCCCATGCTGGTGCCAATTCCCGAGTTGCATGACGAGTCGATGGGTTAAATGTGAGTCTTCGGGTCTCTGTGATTTGATGGCTTTCTATATTGCGCGATGCTATGCGAGTCTATAGGTTTCCCTGCGAGTCTACGGGTCTCTATGCGAGGCTATGGTGCTCTATGGGTGTCTATGTGAGAACGCACTGATGAAGCCACTGCCACTGCATTCCAATTTCTCAATGAATCCACATCCTCGTGCTCTCAATCACTTCGCCAAACCCGGGGCGGAGTTCGTAGCCTCAACCCAGAGCCACCACTGCGAGCTCTCTCCCTCCATCGCACCCACCACTACCACTCACTACTACCACCCACCACTCGCACCCACCACTACCACCACTCACACCCATCACTACCACCCACCACTAACACCACCACTCGCACCCACTACCACCCACCACTCGCGCCCACCACTACCACCCACCACTATCACCACCACTCGCACCCACTACCACCCACCACTCGCGCCCACCACTACCACCCACCACTCGCGCCCACCACTACCACCCACCACTCGCGCCCACCACTCGTGCCCACCACTCGCATCCATCCCTACCACCCACCACTCGCACCCACCACTACCACCCACCACTATCACCCAGGAAGCCACGCGACAGGGCCCGTGCGCGATCGTTTTTATTCAAGTTGCGATCACAAAACGTGAACCTTGTTAACGTGAACCTCGTTAACGTGAACCTCGTTAACGTGAACCTCGTTAACGTGAACCTCGTTAACGTGAACCTCGTTAACGTGAACCTCGTTAACGCAGCAGCAGGCAGCAGGGCCTGGAGACGGACAAGCCCGGCGCGAGGGTCAATCTGGAATCTCGAGCTCGCCTGAGGCTACGCCGCCTCAATCCTAGAAACTGGCGCACGGGAGCCAGGCTGGGTTCAGGGTCAGCGGCTGGGCTCGGGCACGGCTCTAGCCTCGTCCGGCCTCGTGTTAGCCCAGCGGTCAGGGTTCAGGCTAGGAATGGGGTCATTCACTCTAAGCTGGTTTAGCCTCGCTTTAGTCGGGGCTAAAACTCGGTTATAGCCACGACCCAGTTCGACTCGTGTGGGACCGAGTTTTGGTAAGGGGGGGGGGTTAGCATCAGGAAAAGGGTTTTTCAAAACCCTAAGCTGGTTTAGCCCCGGGTATGCTGGGAAGAGGGCTGGTTGTAGCCCTGGCCAGGTCTATCCGAGTATTAGGTGGGGTCACATTGACAGAGAAGTTAGCACCGGGGCTGTTTATAGTCGAATCGGACCCACGTTAACATCGGTCAAAGTTTGACCGAGGGCGAATGATACTTTATAGCAATAACCCAGATTAGCCTCACGTCGGGTTGACCTGGGGTTCGACTCCGAGCCAGGGTCCCTAGCCACAACCCCTGACCCCGGCCTGGCCTCGTGTCGGGAGACGCGAAGGGGGCAGAGCGAGAAGCCAGGTTCATCCTTGGCACACATCGGCACAGTGGGATACCGAAGACTCTCCCCGCCACCGCCGCCACTGCCGGGGACCCCTACACGGGGGGGCGGGATACGAGACCACTCCCCCCCCCCGCTCCAACCGAAAAATAAACAGACGGCAAAGGACCGGTGGCATCGTCACCGGTGACCGTGAAGGGATCTCCGAGCGAGGGTCTGCGTTGGCCGTCGACTAGAAACCACGCCGAGACGACGCAAGTGGGGAGGGTTGCCGCTGGCAAGGCAGCGGCGCGGGGCCCACGGGGTTAGGCCACGAGATGCGTTTACAAAACAACGGATCCGGTTAAAAACCACGCGGGCGACGGCGGTGGTGACGCTGATATTTAAAACGGTTTTGAGAACTTTAAAATAAAAAAGGAAGAGTTCCTGCTGGTTCGGGACCCGCATGCACACTGCTTCCCCTAGGCACTGTGGGTTTATATTGGTCTTTGTGTTTACTGCTGCCGCCGCTGCCGCCGCCACCACCACCTCTGCCACCAGCAGCCACGCTCAATCCACTGCTGCTGGATTGCTGGCCAAGCCACGCTTATTCCGGTGAGTGTGCCCGACGTGCTCCTAAGGACGTGCATCGTCGCGATTGAAATAAATAAAACGCCTCTCTTCGCGGGTGGCCGTGGTCAGGAGAAGTTGTGCGGAGCCGCTAATTTTCAACACCCCACCCCTCCCTCTTCAACCCGTCCCTTAACGGGGCGGCCAAGACGCTTGAAAAACCGAGCTCCCGACAACAAGGCCGAGAGTCCTTGGTGAGCCAGGGAGGTCCCTAATGGAGGTGCCCCTCCCAATGTGCAAAGCCCATCGGGGGAACGCTCAAGAGCTCAAAGGAACGGCACGGTACGTCGGCTACAATCACAATAAAAGAAATGGTAATAACAACAACCGCAATAAACACAATCGTGTTCGCGTTTTTCGCTCGCTGCGGTAAAAACCTGGAGCCGGGTCGGTCGAGCGAGGGGGCAGCAGCCGCGGCGACGCTGGGCCCTGCCTCGACACCCCGACAGCGAGGCACGGGAAATGAATGCTGGACAGGAAATTTTGGCACAAGTTCACCCGGCAGCCTGACTCTGTCTGCCTGGTGGACAGCACCTGACGGGGGGCGGGGTGGGGGTGTGCGCGAGGGGGCGGGGGGGGGGGTGCACGGTTGGGGGCGTGAACACAATTCGAGGTTTTCGGTGTAAAATCCCGGCGCCACCGCAACCCGTCATCGAGAACGATCTACGGCGTGAGAGCGCCTCACCCTGCCCACAATGCCCCCCCCCCCTCTCCTCTTCCTCGCTTTGCAGGGGGAAAGGGACCGCGGAGCGACGCTCAAGATGCCCGTCCGCCCCCGCTGACACGTGACCACGTTAACCACCGTGAGCGGCCAATCGGGATTGAGCGGGGTCCTCGCGCCGGTGACGTGTCGCCCGCGGTCCGGGTGGCCCGGTGAGGCCGGGCACCGCTCTCCCAGGGAGGAGGAGAAGGGGGAGGAGGTGGGTTGGGGGGGAGGGTGGCACGAGTGGGGGGGCGGGGGGGGGGGGCTGCTCAGGAGGAAATGGCGTCGCGCACACGCGACTGCAGAGCGTCGCACGTCTTCTTGGCGTCGCCCAGCAGCATGGAGGTGTTGGGTTTGTAGAAGATGGGGTTGTCCACGGCGGCGTAGCCGACGCCCAGCGACCGCTTCATCACGATCACCTGCACACGCCATCAGGGAAGGGCGGCCGTGCAGGTTGTCCCGGCGGCGAGGACCGGCGGCGGCAACGAGCCGTGGCGACCGTGTTGGCGGTGGAGTCTTGTGCCGGCGGTGACGGGGGGGCGCTCGCGTTTTTATGGTAGTGTCACGTGTCTGTAACTTTGATTACATTGAACTATGAACGGATTTATTAAGTAATTTGTCCGAGCCAACCTTTGTAACAGGACATTTTATTTAACACCGATTTGTGTTTGTGCATGGTTATAGATTTTTTTTTGTAATGCAATGCGGTTGCTTTTGCCCTACTTCATCGCTGTGGACGTGTTTTTACGCTCTAATTTTGGTGATTTTGGTGATCCAAATCACTGACTGAGACTTAGCCTGGTCTCTGCCCCCTTGGTTAAACAAAATCAACGACTGCACCCTAACCCAGAAACGGGGTCCGGTGTTGTATCATTGATGGCCATGTCAGTATTGACGCTCTTGATGGATTCAAAACCAATTTATTTCGAGATGCTTTTTGTGTGTTTGTTGTTCTTCCCCCGCACCTCCGATTAGCGCGGTTGGCTACGTACGGTGCGAAAGAAGTTCAACGTACCATAAATATTGGCACTCGGTCTAAACGTTCAGTATTCATGCATACATGTGTAAGCGTTGCTGCGCTAAGTGTCGGTATTGGGTGGTTGGGGTGGTGACACGATGTGGTGGCAACGAGCACCACCAGCAGGTGGTGGTGGTGACGCTGTGGAGGGGGGCTGCGGGCCGTGCGGTTACCGTACCTGCTTGGCTTTCCACACCTCCAGCACGGGCATGCCGGCGATGATGGAGTTGGGGTCTTCCTGCGCCGCCGAATTGACGGTGTCGTTGGCGCCGATCACCAGCACCAGGTCCGTTTCTGCGCGTTAGTGAAGACCGCTGTTAGCGAGCACTCGTTCAGGCCGGCACGGCACGTGAAAGGGGGTGTCGTGGACCCGCGTATGTGTGTGTGTACACGCGTGTGTGTGTGTACGCATCTGTGTGTACGCGTGTGTGTTCTGTAGTGCAGTGGTTAGCGCGCTGCGCTATGAATCTAGTGACATGGGTTCGATTCCCGCTCACGGCCAACACCAGTGACGATATTTGAACCGGTCCTGGGCCTCCTCTAGGTCGACTCAGCCTCAAATTAATACCTGATGCGATGTGTAAACATCATCATTTGGGAGACAAAGGCGATCGGGCGTGGTGTTGGCCACCCACCCCCTCGTGTGCCATGCCGGCCTTCAGAGGTGCTCACTAACAGCACTTGCCCCAAAATTCTGTTAAGGCTATACAGGGGACATTTGTCTTTGTGTGCACGCATGTGTGTATGCGTCTGTGTGTTCGCGTGTGTGTGTGTACGTGCGTGTAAGTGCGAGCGTGTAAGTGCGTGCGTGTACGCGCGTGGATGCACGTGTGTGTATAAACGGGTACATGTGTGTGCATGCGTTTGTGTATGCGCGTGTGTGTACAGATTTGCTGAGCATTTCTGTGAGGTCCTGGGGGAGGGGAAATCCCTCAGCCGGGAAAACATCGTGGGACAAAGTGGGGATGACCCCACTGAGGCTGCGGTGCCTCAAATATTGTAAGAAGGAGTCACCCTCTGTGAGTGACTAGCTGAGGTGCCATCCGTTGAGGAAGTACTGAAGGCGATCCAGAGTCTGAGACCAGGAAAGGCACCGGGCAGAGATGATCTCCCAAGCGAAATGCTATGGGAGGGTGGCGTTTGTGCACAGACTGCCCTACATGACATCATAATAACAGTCTGGACCACTGGACGGGTTCCACGGGATTAGAAGGATGCCCTGGTGGTCGCCCTCTTTAAGAAGGGGGACCGCACAGACTGTAACAACTACCGTGGCATCTCACTCCTCAGTGTGCCGGGAAAGGTCCTGGCAAGGATTATTCAACATCGCCTTGCCAGGCACGCTGAGGAGAGGCTTGCGGAGCCCCAAGAAAGGGCGGTCCTGCACAGATGCCATATTTTATGTCCGTCTGCTACAGCAGAGGTGTAGGGAATTCCAACCAGACCTATATCTCTGCTTTATTGACCTGGTCAAGGCCTATGATACTATCAGTAGGCCTGGGCTCTGGGTTGTTCTTCATGCTTTCAGAGTCCCTAACCCTCTGCTCATGATCATTAAAAACCTTCATGATGGTGAGCGGGCCCCGGTAAAACTATGTGGCCGGGAGTCAGAGCCATTCCCTGTTCACCTTGGGGTGCGACAGAGATGTCCTCTGGCTCCCACATTATTTAACATCTATTTCGAACACGCAGTTCGTGAAGCCTTCGATGGCTGTACCGGAGGAATTTCCAGCTGGTACAGATACAATGGGAGGCTGATCGATGCCCGGGTGCGGTCAAGGGATGGCTCCCTATTGGTCAACCATGTTACGTATGCCGATGATCTGGTAATTACTGCTCACTCAGAGGAGGAGTTTGAGGTGCTGCTGTTGAACCTGGAGCTTGCCACTAAGAGGTGGGGCCTTACCAACAGCCCCACCAAAACTGCCTGGGTATGTTGTACCATCGGACACTCCACCCCCACAACTCCCAATTGGTGATGGGGCAATTGTGGAGAGAGTGGAGAGTTTCCCATACCTGGGCAGTGCTCATGACCGGCTCCGGTTTGACAGCAGAGGTCTCAATCCGAATCAGTCGAGCGGCATTATATTTTAATCGGTTGCGTAACGCTGTGTGGAAGCTATCTGGTCTGTCGCTCCGCACGAAGCTTCAGGTCTTCTCAGCCACGGTCATTCCCTCCCTTCTCTATGCTTGCGAAACGTGGACCCCCCTAATGGAACAACTTCGCCGGTTAGAAACATTCAGGCTGGCCTGCCTACGATCCATCCTGGGTTTAACCAGGCTGGATTGTGTGAGCTCACAAATCCTTGAAAGATCTGGACAAAGTCCCATCGGTAAGCTCCTCCGGCAGGCAAGGCTACATGCCCAGCCACAGCATGCATAAACAGCTTTTGTTCGGCCAGATAGAGGGGGTTCAACGGGCGCGGCACGGGCTAGAGATGGAGTGATGTGGTACAGGAGGATGTGGAGCTGAGTGGACTTGCCGATGACTGGTACCAACGGTGTCAAGATCGGCCTCTGTGGAGGAGGCTCGTAAAGGACGCAACTGGGCAGTTGGAGGCAGCCGCCCTCCAACAACAACGGAGGGCGGAGGAGCGACGCTGACAACAACGAGCGGAGCGCCGGGTAGCTGAAGCACAGCAAGTTGGCACAGTAGGGGGCACAGGTGGTGCATCAGCCAGTCATCTCAGTCAGTCGACCTGTGGCACCTGGGTCTGCCCCGTGACCTCGTACACATCGCCTGGCACAAGTGTCATGGTGACGTCACCGCCACTTAGTGGCGAATGGCGGTTGTTGTTGTTGCGTGTACGAGCGTGCGCGTACGTGGGAAGTCGTCGTTGATCTCGTCCATCTCGAGCACCATGTCGTAGGGGACGCCGGCCTCGGCCAGCAGCACGTTGAGCTGTCCGGGCATGCGGCCCGCCACCGGGTGGATGCCAAACCTGGCGGAACAGCGCAGAGTTACACGGCGGTGTCACGGTGAGACAAGTCGCGGTATATCCCGGTGTGACACGTCGCGGTGTACCACGGTATTGGGTGGGCGAACGGGCAAGTGGTGGGCGAGCGGATGATTGGGTGAGCGAGTGGGCGGGCGAGTGCGTGAGCCTCTTACCGGACGTTCTTTCCGCTATCCTTTAGCATCTTCACGAGGTCGGCGATCGGGTACTGCGCCTTAGCAGCGCACAGGCCATAGCCTGCACGGGCACACGAGCAACACACATCAACATCACCACCACCATCCTCATCATCATTACCACCACCACCACCATCTTCATCATCACCTCCATCCTCATCAGCATCATGGGGCGGTGATGTTGCCCAACGGAGGCACGTTCCCCGCTTGTTGCAGAGGCTCGGGGTTCCAAGCCGGCAGGCCACCCTGGTTATATTGAAAGTGGATGTTAAGGATGCCCTGACATCGTTCGACACGATTAGGCCATTCTGTGCCGGCGTCAAGGTCCAAATTTTCCAAATTCCAAAAATCTCAAAGGCCAATTACTGAAAGATCAAACAAAGATCCCCCGTATAGCCTTAACAGACTGTTGGGGCAAGTGCTGTTAGCGAGCACCGATGAAAGCCAGAACGGCACTCGAGGGGGTGGGTGGCCGACATCACACCGGGCCACCTTTGTCTCCCTCGTGGCGATGTTTTTACACACCAGGTACTAATTTAAGGCTGATTCGACCTAGGGGAGGCGCAAGACCGGTTCAGATAATGATCACTGGTGTCGACTGTGAGCAGGAAACGAACCCGGGTAGCCAGGTTTGTAGCGCACCGTGCTCACCCGCTACAATACCCGCTATTGCTGCGGGTATTGTAGCGGGTCAGCCTCCATTTGCGGGCGGGGGAGAGGCCTCGTACCGGGCGTGATGATGATGTTGTTGGCCTCCTTGATGAGATCCACGGCCTGCTCGAGGTTCACCTCCGTGTGGACGCCCGTGATCTCCATCGGCTTCCCGCCCGCTGTCGCCGACGTTCCGAACCCGCCCAAGATCACGTTCGCCAGCGAGCGGTTCATCGCCTGGGCCGGGGCGGGGGGGGGGAGGCGGAGTGCGGGGGGGCACATGTTACCCCCGGCAACGGCGACGTCTACGTCACGCCGAACGGTGCGAGCGGGGGGGAGCTGGTACTCCCGCCGCGTCGCCGCACGGGAGGTGGCATCGTGGGAGATGGCCACGGGCACCGGCGGCGATCGCGAGAAAAGATCCAGTTTGGGTGTCCGTCGTGAATGGTCAAGGGTGAGCGAGCGGGGAAACCAGCGAGAGGGCGGAGCAGGCGAGCAGGCGAGCGGGGGCTACTCACCACACACATGATGTAGGAGAGGATGGCGCCCGAGGAGCCGATGAGGGCCCCCACGATGGTGAGGAGGTTGTTGTTGAGGAGGAAGCCCTCGGCGCATAGAGCCCAACCCGAGTACGAGTTGAGCACCGTGATCACCACCGGCATGTCCGCCCCGCCGATGGCGGCTGTCAAGGTCACGCCCTGTGCGCGGGGTGAGGTGGGGGGGCGGTAAGGTCAGGGGGCAAAGGGTCAGCGGTAATGTGAAGGGGGTGGGGGTGCAATCGGAATCAAGTTCTGCAAATAATCTATCTACGTATGTATGTATGTTGAACATCTTTCATAGCCAAACGAGCTAATCGGAGGTGCTGGAAAGGACAACTAAATACAAAAAGCAGTTCTAAAGAAATTCGTTTTCGATCTAGAATCCACTCCGTTGTTAGAACGTCGACTGGACACGATGCGTCAACGGGACACGCGGTGCCCCCTTCCTCAGTGAACGACGCGCTGCAAGGACCTGAAATTTACAAAATATCTAAACGTAAAGTTTAATTCCAGAACAAAGCGTGCACAGGACACCACCAACTGACACACAAATAACACGCATTGAACGTTGTGTTCACGAATGCCAAGCAAGAGTTACGATCTCATGATTGAAACATAAGCGCAAAGCACATTCATAAATACACAATACAATCAAAGTGATAGTCATAAATACATCATGGGTTCGTAAATACACAACAGGTTGGGGAGTAGGATACTGGGAAAATTCACTCTACTCCACATTAATAAATACACAACAGCTGCAAGCACAATGAATACTGCATGGAGAACTGCGTTCATAAATACACCATACGTTCATTCATACGGAACACTTTATTCATAAATAGGCAGTTCATTCGCCCACACTCGCTCATGAATAGGTAAAGACAAAGATCGTTCCTCTCCGCGTGGCCTTTAACAGATTGTTGGAGTAGGAACTCTTTTCCAGCACCGATAAAGGCCGGCAAGGCAGAGGGGGGTGGTGTGGCCAATTCCATGCTCCCTGCCGCCTTTGTATCCCCCAATGCTGATATTCACACACTGTACCAAGTAGTCATTTGAGGCCGAGTCGAGCTAGTCGACTAACGTGTGGAGGGCTAACGTGTGGAGGGTAAGGGTGGTGGGTGGAGTTGGCGGGGAGGGGGGGGCGGCAGTGATAGGAAGGGGAGTGGCCGGCGCCCACCATGATGGCGGAGAGGGCGGACACGGTGCCCAGGCAGGTGAGGCCCGTGGCGTAGCTGGGGTCCAGCATGAAGGGCACCAGGGTGCCCACGCTCGCCGCCATCAGCGTGGCGTTGAGGACGTGCCGGCCGGGCAGCAGCAGCGGGGCCGAGTTCAGCACGCCTGGCATGTGCAAGCAAAACACAAACACAAACAACAACAACAGTAAAGTTCACTTTTAAGGCTGCACCGCCGCCACCGCCGCAGCAGTGGCGGAGTGACTCAGAGGTACGAGGAAGAACCACAAAAGAGTGGGCCAGGCAGCCAAGTGAGCCGGTGCCAACATTTGCTAAAGCTCTGAGGCGCTCTATATTGAGGTGTTATCAGCCAATTAATGAGCGTTTACATGTGAAAGAAAACTGGAGCACTCTGTGAAAACCCACAAATGCGAAGGGGATACACTCCATCCCATATGGACGGAATAGGTGGAGTCCATATTTTTGCTGTACTGCCTTCTTCTGGCCAAGCCAGGGTATGGGCTCGTCCCCATAAGATCCGTACATACGCACACATACATACACGCACACACAAGCCGATTCTATTGCAAATTCTTTCTTGAAGGAACATTTTCCAGACTGAACCGCGCTTCGTGTGTGTGCACATGCGTATACACACATGTACACATAGCCTGGCACAAGCGCCGTGGTGACGTCACCGCTACTTAGTGGCGAATGGCGGTTGTTGCTGTTGTTATAGATGGGTGCACGTCACGGAACTGTCCCATGACCCTCCTGATAGGCGAGCCTTCCTACACTTCGCGTGGCCCTAAAGCGCACCCATCCTTGCGTAAACTCGGACCAGTCGGGGACCGAGCAAGCGGGCGATCGGGCAGGAGCTTCACGGCACGTGGACGCACCCTGCAGCTTGCCGTACGCCACGAGGGAGCCGCTGAAGGTGACGCCACCGATGTAGGTGCCCAGGTAGGCGACGGACTTGATGAGGCCGGCGGCCGGGTCGGTGGCGAGGTGCGGGTACTCGATCATGTACTCTGCCACGCACGTCAGCATCGCCGCCAGCCCCACCAGGCTGTGGAACGCGGCCACCAGCTGCGGCAGGTCCGAGATCTGGATGCGCTTGGCGATGGTCAGGCCTGGGGGTTTCCGCGTAGAAGAGGAGAAGGAGGCGGAAGGAGGAGGACAAGGAGAGAGAAGAGTGGGAGGGAGGAGGAAGGTGGGGCAGGCGGCGAGGAAGTGGGAGGGATGAGACGGTAAGCCGGAAGAGAGAGGTGAAAGTGGCATCGGGAGAGGGGAGGCACCACGCAGGGATGGGTGAGGGCGTGAGATTGTGGGAGAGGAAGAGGGGGATGAAAAGGAGGGAAGAGGAGAAGAGGGGAAAGGAAGAGACACGAAATTATGGGACCGGTTAGGATGCAAATAAAAGTGAGAATGCCGCTGAGATCTGAGGTTCAATCAGGATATCGACACCCGTGATTAAAATAGGTTCTCGAGTGTAGCAAGTTACATTTTTTAAAATTTAAAATCTTATTTGCAAGCGTATCCAGGGTGCTGACTGACACTTGCACAGTGCAACCGACGATGCCATCCGTGCGCTCACAACCAAAGTCAACTTGGGTCGTCGCTCGAATCGGCCGATTCCAGCTAGCGCGCAGTTGCACGGGGAGGCGGCACCACCGCCGTCACCGCCGGGCGCTGACACGACGATGCGACTGGCGGCATCTTACAACTTGAGAACCACGACGAGCACACGAGGATGAGTCCCCACTCACCCGCCCCGGGGTGGTGTACAGCTGCTGGGGGGGGGGGGGGGGGGGTGGGGGAGGGGCGGGGCGGCCTACGGCGTGCCACCGAAGCGAGCCGCGTTGCAGGGAGACGCGGTCACGGGCGCGCCAGCTCACCGGCGGTGCCCCCGAGCGCCATCGCGCCCGACATCTGCGCCAGCAGCTCGGGCGAGGGGTGCAGGTAGCCCAGCGTGGCAGCGAGGCCGCTGGCGACGCCGATCATGCCCAGCGTGTTGCCCAGGCGCGACGTGCGCTGCGTCGACAGCCCCGCCAGCGCTCCCACGCAGCACAGGCCCGAGCCCAAGAACATCATCTGGGGGGTGAGCGAACACAAAAACATACACGCACGCACAAACAGTCAGCAACACGGCCTCTTACGCAGCACACCGGATACTTATTTGAGGCCGAGTCGACCTAGGGGAGGACCGGTTTGGATAATTGTCACTGGTGTTGGTGGCCGTGAGTGGGCAATCGAACTCGGGTCGCCGGGTTCGTAGCGCAACACGCCAACCGCTACGCTAGGTGGCCACAAAGACAAAGATCCCCTGTATAGCCTTAAGTGCTGTTCGCGAGCACCTATGAAGGTGGCCACCCACACCCAAACAACAACAACAACCGTCATTTGCCACTAAGTGGTGGTGACGTCACCACGGCGCTTGTGCCAGGCTATGTGCACTTCAAGGCCATGTGAAGTGTCGGATTTAAAGCACGAAATAAATCATGAATTAAATCACACCCATACAAAGACAAAGATCCCCTGTATAGCCCAAACAGACTTTTGGGGCAAGTGCTGTTAGCGAGGAGCACTTACGAAGGCCGGCACAGTATACGAGCACAAAGATCCCCCGTATATGCTTTACAGACTGTTGGGGCAAGTGCTGTTAGTGGACACCTAGGAAGGCCGGCACGGCACATGAGGGGGTGGGTGGCCAATACCACACCCGGCCGCCTTTGTCTCCCTAGTGGCAATGTTTTTACACACCGCACTAAGTACTCATTTGAGGCTGAGTCGACCTAGGGAAGCCTTAGGACCAGTTCAGTTAATCGCACACACACACAGGCAGACAGACGCACACACAGACGCAGGCAGACGCGCACACACACAGGCAGACAGACGCACACACAGACGCAGGCAGACGCGCACACACACAGGCAGACAGACGCACACACACACAGGCAGACAGACGCGCACACACACAGGCAGACAGACGCACACACACACACACAGGCAGACGCACACACACACAGGCAGACAGACGCGCACACACACGGACGGACGCTGGGGCGCGTCACACCTGCTCGATGTGGTAGCCGCCGTGCAGCGCGGCTGCGTAGCCCCCAACCATGGTGGCTGCGGGCAGCAGGTAGAGATAGTTGTGCTCAGGGGGGTCTGTCGGACGCTTGAACATGTCCAGCATCCTCTGCGTAACAAGGAAGCCGCCTGCATGGGGGGTAGTGGATTTGGGGGGGTGGGGGGAGGACCGGAATGCAAGGGAGATTTTAACTTGCGTAATCGCTCTCATCGCGTCGCTACCACGGTTCCAGTTAGGCCTCGGCAAGGTAAGGTAAAAGGTAAAAACAACGAGCCTACTTTTACCCTACCTTTTACCCTGACCCCATACAAATTACCCGCTTACAGGGTAATTACTGGGGTGCTACTATACATGAACACGGTTTCTAACAGGTAAATGCTATTCATAATAAAGGTTTTTTTGGGTTAGATCGCGTTTATTTATAAATGTGTCGTAACCCTCCACCACCCGACACGGCCAATCAGCAAAAAAAGTGTCACGTTGACAAAAGACAAATAATTCACTACTTCAGCCCACCGGTGTGTTGAAGAGTTAATCCACATTTACAGTTTGAGTACGACGTTTCGCTGGTAAATACACAGAAGGTGTATATCGGATTAATTGTTCATGTGGCAGCTGCTACATTGGGCATACGGGACGTAACATCAGCGTAAGACTAAAAGAACATCAGAGAAATATTTAATTATCTCAAACACAACTGTCGGCAGTGGCAGAACATGCTTGTCAACAAGGACACTCAATTGATTTTGACAATGTTGCAGTGGTGTGTAAAACTAATTATTACTGGCAAAGACTAATTAGAGAATCCATTGAAATTGAGAGGAACAAGAATAACTTTAATCGCTCTGACAGCTACCGGCTTAGTGCGGCCTGGAAGCGAATTATTAAATAATACACATTACATTTAAAGAATTACTAATCTACAACTCATTACAAATCATAACCAATGACTGATTACTAATCGATTATATAATTACAATACCCCCCCCCTCCGCCTCTAATCACTGCACCTGATATGAGTTAAGTGTTGACGTCACCCTGCTGCTCTATATAAAAAACGGGAGCAAGCGAGGGCTTTACCATTCTGGCGAATTGCCCGATGATGCTGGATGTATTTACCAGCGAAACGTCGTACTCAAACTGTAAATGTGGATTAACTCTTCAACACACCGGTGGGCTGAAGTAGTGAATTATTTGTCTTTTGTCAACGTGACACTTTTTTTGCTGATTGGCCGTGTCGGGTGGTGGAGGGTTACGACACATTTATAAATAAACGCGATCTAACCCAAAAAAAACCTTTATTATGAATAATATTGGTCGCGAAAGCCTACATGTTAAACTGAGGTAAATGCTAGGCAGAACGCTTTATTCATCTAGAATATTCTCGATGATTCCAATAAAAAATGGAGGCCACGGACTGCGCCACGGAGCTTTTAGCGAGCGGTAAACAAGGTGAGTACCGGGTAATACTTCGCGCTACCTTTACCCTACTCTTTACCCTACTCTTTACCCTACTCTTTACCCTACTCTTTACCCTACTCTTTACCCTACTCTTTACCCTACTCTTTACCCTACTCTTTACCCTACTCTTTACCCTACTCTTTACCCTACTCTTTACCCTACTCTTTACCTTACTCTTTACCCTACTCTTTACCCTACTCTTTACCCTACTCTTTACCCTACTCTTTACCCTACTCTTTACCCTACTCTTTACCCTACTCTTTACCTTACCCCTCGGCATGTCGACACCTTTACCCTTTACCTGGACCCTTTTACCCGGTAAAAAAGGTAAATTACTTTACCTTGCCGAGGCCTAGTTCCAGTTCCCGTGAACTCCCCTCGTCATTTTGTCTCAACCGCAGCCACTACACTGCAGGTCACAACAACTCACTTGCGCTCACCCACCCACCCCCACACTCACCAATCCACCTCACTCATTCACCAATGTAGCCCACTCCTCGCCAACCCACCCACTCACCACCACAGCACGTCAGCTCACTTCTCTCTTTCTGCTTTTTCTCTCGCACGGCTCCACTCTGGAATTCCCTCTCCCGTCATCGTCTCTCCCCCCCCCCCGCCCGCACCACCAAAGCTCTCACAAAATGAATCTTGCGCTATTTAAATAAAACACGTTTATAACTCTTATCTCCTACAACTTTGATCGCGCTGTTTGTATGCGCCTATGGACCTGTGCTCCACAACTGCTTTGGGGGATGAAATATGAGAAATAGTAAGATAAGAAACGTCACATTTCCAAGTAAGAAAGCAAGTGCCCTTGGGCCGCACGTGCCGCTGGACGCGACAATAGGCTGGTGATGGACAAGGCTGGCGATGGAATGGCAGCAAAAGGAGAGAGCACGTCCCAGAGGATGACCACTGCGGAGATGGAGCAATCGATTCAGTTCGTGCGCAGGAGTGGTATGGATGGGAGTGACAGTGGAGCCGGGAGACACTGCGACAGCGTGGGGAGGCCTTCATCCAGCAGTGGATAAATGGCTGCTGTAACAGGTGAGCGAGATATACCACGTGCGTTAGAAACCCTGACGTAAAGGCTTTCCAAAACGTTGACCGTGGGCGGTGATGGGAGTTGACGACTGTACAATGTTGATGTGATGGCGGCGATGGGAGGTGATGACGTTGCGCGACGTTGTGCCGGAGATGTTGATAGAGGGTGGTGTTCGTGCCATGTTGATGTCATCACGGTACCGGCGATGTTGATGGAGGAGATGAAGGCTGCGAGCAGCGCTAGCGTCTGAGGGGTCCCGCTTGGCAGGAGCCCCCCACCCATCAGCATCAGACCCCCCACGGCCGTCAAACCTGCACACATCGGGAGGGAACGAGGTGGGTAGGGGGGCACAAGGGGGGAAGGGGGGCACAAGGATAGGTACTGCACTCTCCACGACCTCACATACTGCCTGAAGAGTGCACTGTTCTCCTGGTTAGCGTCATCTTAGGGTCAGGCTTAGCATTAGGGTCACGGTTAGATTAGGGAAAGGTTCAAGTCAGGTTAGGATTATGGTCAGGTTCGGATCAGTCAGGTTAGGGTCAGGTTAGGATTAGGCTCATCAGGTTAGGGCCAGGTTTAGGTTATGGGTGGGGGGGTTAGGGTTGGGATCAGGGTCGGATCACGGGGGCCTGGCGGGCGACCCCGTGCACTAGTCAGGCGGCCGGGAGAGGAAGTTGTCGTGGTCTGGGCGTGCGGGCGGACGGCGGTGCCGCCACTCACCGGAGATGGCGTTGGTGACGGACATGAGCGGCGAGTGCAGGGCGGGGGTGACGCCCCACACCGTGTGGTAGCCCACGATGCCGGCCAGCCCGAACGTCGTCACCATCTGGCTGAAGGCGGCGTTGGGCGCCAGCAGGCCCAGGCCCACAATGCCGCCCATACCTAGAGACGCACGCCGCCACCCTTCAGGCACGCTCGGCGTGGGGGACTCGGCGAGGGGTCGGGGCGGTGGGCGTGTGAAGCAGCGTGGAGTGGGCGGGAGGTGCGGCGGGCGCTGTGGCGTGCGAGTGTATAGCGGAGCAGGTCAATAGGTGCGGGGGTAGTTCCTGCGGTAGGCGTGCTGGAGGTGGTGTAGGGTGTGAGGATATTAATGGAGTGAGGAGTAGGTGTGGGGGTAGTTGTGGTGCTAGGTGCAGCGTGGGTGTAATGTGGTGTATTGATATATGTAGAAACTTATTTACCAACCGAGCCAAACGGAGGTGTGGGGGACGGACAACAAACTAAACACAAAAAGAAGTTCTAAACAAATTAGTTTTCAATGTAGATTTGGTGTGGGTTTAGTGTGGGTGTGTTGTATGATCGTATAGTGCAGGGGAGATGGTGTGCCAGCGGTTGGAGGGGGGGTGTGGTATGGTGTGACTATGGGCGTAGTTGCATTTCAAACAACTGTGTAGTGTAATAAAGTATTAAAGCTTTCGTGACTGCATAAAAATACTCATTGGTTTTTTCGGTAAAGTCACGTATGTAGAAATACAATAAAATTATATTAAAACAAAAAACAATCACGACGTTTCGATCACAACGCAAGCGATCTTCATCAGGTGAGTAACTGTGTAGTGTGTAGTGTGGTCATTGCTATGTTGTGGCGGCTCTGCAATGGTGTGAGCGTGGAGAGGTGGTGATTATTCTGTGGTGGCTACGCTGTGTTGAGGTGGCTAAGCTGTGCTGTGGATGCGCTACGATTATAACTGCACTGCGGTGTCTAAAGCTGCATTGCGGCGGATACGTTGCGGTTGGCTACGTTAGGGTTCGGGTGCGGTGATCCCGTGCGGCTCACCGCCTGTGAAGACGCCAGCCGATGAGAGCGTGCGCTGGAACGGGGTCGTGAGCGCGTCCTTCTCGGCCTGCAGCTCGGCCACCGTCTTGCGCTTCACGGGCGCGGAGACAACGGGGGCCGTCCGCGGCTTCGGAGCCGGGAACTTCGCTTTCCCGTCCTGTGCGGGACACAAGGGGCGGGGAGACAACGGGGGAACAGGGAGACACGGGAGACACGGAGAATTGAGAGGGCGGAGAATTGAGAGGGTGGAGAAACACAGGCAACGGAAGACCACCAGGGGACATGAGACTGAGGTTTACAGTAAGATTAAAAGTTTGAAACAGGTTATGTAAAATCATGCGTACACATTGGCTATGTGACACTGCAGTTTGCGCTCCTTCAACGAAGGAGGATAAGCAAAACGACACAAACTCTCTCTCTGCTGAAGCCCTCTCGTTGTGGCCAGCAGCAGACCTCGACATTGGCATCTAGCTCTTCAACATATTGCTGCCATACGCAAGAATGGAATAGAATGTAACACCTTCCTACATGCGTTTGTCGAAGGAAGTTTTCAATTAATTTAATTAAAAAAAACCGGCAGCTAGCTGTTTTTTCGTTTCAAAGTTTTAGGCAACCTGGCCTTGATCAATTTGATGTGAAACTGTGGCCCGAAACTGTTGAACCTGGATGGCCGAGTCGATAGCACAGTGCGCAATCCCTAGAATTGTGCAGACAAGATAACCAATGCGACAACGCAAACGCGAGGCGCAAGGGGGGCCCCCCCTGCTTGCGGGGGAGAGAGAGAGAACTGTGGAGCCCAGGTGGTGAGAGTAAAAGTGGAGTACAGGCATGTGGGGGTGAGGGGTGAAGCACAGGTGGTGGAGCGACGGGCGTCGCGTGCGGCTGGTGGAGTGCGAGTGGTTGAGCGGTGAGCAGCGGAGCAACGGACGGTGGAACGCGCGCGCTCGATCGCCACGTGGCAGCGGCGGCGGTGGCGGGCAACTCATAGCGGTGAGCGGGATGGCGACTCGCCTGCATGACGACCGTGCCTCGCACGATGTGGTCGAGCGTGCCGTGGTCGAAGTCGTCCGTCAGGTTGTAGTGGAAGAACTCCTTGTCGGGGCTGATGCCGCGCAGCAGCTTGATGATGTTGTTGGAGTAGAGGTTGCTCGCCTGCGTCGCCATGCGGCTCGGCAGGTCCGTGTAGCCGATGTGGGTCACGCCCTGTGGTGGGGGGGGTGGGGGTCAAGGCAGGAGAAGGTCGTGGGGTCAAGAGTTGGGTACGAGAGGACGCATTGATTCGCCGATTCCCATTGAGTTCTTAAGTCCACGATATAACACCGAGTCGCGTATCCGCCCGCGTCCTTGTGCGTCCCTGTCCCCATACGTCGCCATGTATCCCCCAGCGTGTCCCCGGCGTGTCCCCAGCCCATCCCCCAGCTTGTCCCCGCACATCCCCGTCCCCATGCATTTCCTTGCGCGTCCCCCCAGCACGTCCCCCGTCCCGTGCGTGTCTCCGCATGTCACGCGTGTCCCCGTGCGTGTCCCCACATCCCCGTGCGTAACCCCACACGCGTCCCCACCAGCGCGTCACCTTGTGGACGGTGAGCTCTCCCGGCGTTATCGTCTCGATGTTGCCGCCGGCCTCGGCCGCCAGATCGACGACGACAGAGCCGTGTTTCATCGACTCGATCATGTCGCGCGTGATCAGCACGGGGGCCTTCTTACCTGCCGACACGACAACGGGACGGGCGCACGGCGGCAACCCGAGGTTTAAAGCCCACCCCCCCTCAATGACAACGTTATGATGGTCAAAATTAAACAAACTATTTGGTGATGCTGCATTGGCAGTGGTGCACAAGCACAACTAACAAACAACTCAACACGTTCGCCAACAACACTGTGGCCTTAAAACACGTTTTAATAAATATTATAATCCGCGACGTTTCGGGCAACGGACCATCACGTGCTCTGAAGACGGGGATCTATTTGTCATATGGATAGGCTTCGCCACCTGACCATGTGAATGTGGAATTTCTTACAATTAGCTTTAGGGCTGTAAGCTGGGAATGGCTGCACCCCTCCCTCCGGACAGGGGCTGGTTTGGGTGGTGGTGGGGGGGGGGGAGCGGGGGGGGGGGGGGTGGGCTTCGTGACTACGACCACAGCAGCAATATAATCGTACACACATTGACTGAAGGTACTGAGTCACCCAAGGCATTAAGCAGTCTCCATACAAACGCAATAATAGATGATGTTTATTGTTATTCATGATCATGATCAATGGGCATATAGCCCGTAGGTGTCCACTGCACATTTTGCCATTTGAATCATTTTGCGGGACCCCAGGGTCCCGCAAAAATCAGGTCAATAATAATTATTATTTTTCAGTCCGCCCACTCGTGATCCCGACAGCAACGCGCCGCCCGCCCAGACTCGCGCCAACAAGCGCCAGCAGCAGGCGGCGATCGACACGATGGGCGCCACCCCACCGGCCAAACGCGAGCCCCGGGGGGCGTCCGCCGCGGTCGCGCACGGCGACGACGCCCTCCGGTCAGCCGTCGATCCTCGTCTTCTTTGCCAAGGCGAGCCCCGCCCCCCAGGCAGTGAATTTAACGTGTTTATGTAATTTTTCAACTTTTTACAAAACTTAGTGCCCCGAGTAGCTCTCGACGAGGCCAATCGATTGACACTAGTTGTGTTGTCGGTAAGGCGACAAGACTCGTGTCGCCACGTGGTTTTTCCCACCCCGGGGCAGCGATGGGACCCCGGGGTCTCGCCAATTGCTTCATTTGTTTCCACTTTCCTCTCTCTGTCTTGAGCCAAGATGCTCAAGTAGTGCAACAGAGTTGCTGGCACCAATCTCTCATGTTGTCATCAAGCCATTCTCTGTTCGGTCTTCCTCTATTTCCAGTTCCTTCTATTTTTCCAAGCAACACAATTTAAATGTTCCTGTTGTTTGTCCATCCGACATATGTTCAAAGAGTACTAGTTTCGTTCTCAGCATCAGGTATTATTCTATGTGCAACCTTCTTCTGACCTCTATGTTGGTCATTATGTGGGTCCGGCTTAGATTATTATTATCATTATTATAAAATAAATATTTTGGTCGCGTGCTTGGGCACCTGGGATGAGCGCAGTCGTGATGACGATATCCACGTCCTTGCACTGCTTGGCGAACAGCTTCATCTCGGCCTCGATGAACTCCTTGGACATGACCTTGGCGTAGCCGCCACCGCCGTCGCCCGACTCCTTCACGTCAACCTCCAGCGGCTCGGCACCCAGCGACTTGAACTGCTCCAGTGCCTCCACTCTAGCAGTACAAAGATAAAGATCCCCCGTGTAGCCTTCATAGACTGTTGGGGCAAATTCTATCAGCGAGCACCTATAAAGCCCGGCCGCCCTTGTCTCCTTAGTGGCAACGTTTACACACCGCACCAGGATATTCATTTGAGGCTGAGTAGATCTAGGAAAGGCCCAGCACCAGTTCAGATAATCGTCAGTGGCGTTGGCCGGGAGCGGGAATCAAACTCTTCATGCTGCAGCTCGCTAACCGCTAACTACCGCTCCCCACACAGTGACACACACAAAGACAGTGACACACAGACACGCACCACGCCCTCTGTCCGCACGCGGCGAAGTCGGGACGGGGACGGAAGCGAGCGGGGTGAGGAATCTCACCGGGTGTCGAAGCCACGCACGATGGCACCCATGGCCTTGGCGGCGCCGGCAGCAGCCAGGCCAGCCACGCCGCCACCGATGATAAGGACCTGCGAGGGACAGCACCACGCGGGGGTGGGGGGACGGGGGGGGCGGGGAGGGTAAACACGGGCACGTGTGGTTCGTATACAACTTGCGTGTGCACGATATGTATGTATGTAGAACTCCTTTTGTACCGTACGTAGTCAACCGTGCTAATTGGAGGGTTGGGGGAAGGACAACAAACTAGACGCAAAAATCAGTTCCAAAGAAATGATGAGGCTTCCTAATATCAGAAGGAAGAATGTTCCAGATGGCGGCAGAAGCGTGCATGCATCTATGTAAGCCAGGCGCACGTGCAGGAAACGCGTGCAGGTGTGCGTGCGTGTGTGCATGTAGATGTGTGTGTGAGTGTGCACGCACACAACAGCACCGCGGTGCTCTGTTTTTTTAGCCTCGGGGATGCGATGTCAATCTTCCCCCCCACCCCCCCCAACCAAGCCCGCCAATGGTTTTTCCCAAAGACCCCGTTATACGCGGGGCACAGGGCAACCTGACCACGTGATTCGAGGACACGCTGGACACAAGGTATGCATGCGGGTGCGTACGTGAGTATGCGGGTGAGTATGGGGGAGCGTTTGTGGGCGAGTTTGTGGGGAGCGGTAGTGTAGGGGTTAGCGTACTGCGCTGTAAACCCAGCAATCCCAGTTCGATTCCTGCTCATAGCCAATATCCGTGACGAATATATTAACCGGTCCTAGGCCTCCCCTAGGTCAACTCCGCCTCAAATGAGTACTTGGTGCAGTGTGTAAACATCGCCATTTGTGAGACAAAGGCGGCCGGAGTGGTGCTGGCCACCCACCACCTCATGTGCCGTGCCGGCCTTCATAGGTGCTCGGTAACAGCACTTTCCCCAACAGTCTGTTCAGGTTATACGGGGAATCTTTGTATTTGTATGCAGGCTGTGTATGGAGGTGCATAGGGGGAGCACCCACCTTGGCGGGCGGTACTTTCCCAGCAGCCGTGATCTGCCCGGTGAAGAATCGGCCAAAGTTGTTGGCAGCGAGAACCACAGCCTTGTACCTGGGGGTGGGGAGGCGGAGACGATTGATCAGTGGGAGTTTGCTCATACTCCTCTGCTGCCCCCATGGCCTGGAACTCCCTTTCCCCAGCCATGCGTGCTGTCGACTCCCTGCACCAGACGAGACTCTGTCCCAATCCAGGCTCAACACCTCCGCCCCTTTCTGCTTATAAAATAAACACGCCGCACTGTGCCTGCCCAGCGTCTCTGGAGACAGTTGGGGAGTAGACGCTATGTAAATACACATCGTTATGTGTGGCAGGGTTAGCGAGCGCCGCCGATTGCCAAGCCAGACATCGGAGTCATCCATTCATCGCGCATAGTCAGCGAAGGACCGTTGCGTCAAACGTGTGACCTCTTGCGACAGCATTCGTATAAACTGCTCTTGCTGCCATGCTGGTGTCTCGAGTGATTTGTTTGGCCCACGCATCACGGGGGCGACCACGAGGGCGACGCCATTCATTTGAGTGTCGCGGTCCACTTCGAACGTCGACTGCCAACCGAAATGTGAGATTTTACAGGAGCTTGCACGTAAAGTTGGGGGTAACGTGTCCAAAAAGTGACAGCCATCTCCCTCGAACTAAGCTCGCAGTCGCTAGGAGGCCAATCGCAGACGTAACGGTGACATTTATGACGAACCATCGGATGCCAAAAAGGCGTTTTTGGCAATGTACGTGGAAGTACTGCAACTGATCCAAGTCAGCTTGAAGCAATGTCCAGGCCTCAGAGAGAGAGAGAAGACCTACGGCCAGATAGTGAGATGAGACTGTCAGGGGGGATCGTGGGGGTCGCCGCGTGTCTACTGTGCAGCGGCTGTGCTTTCTGGAGGGTAAAATGCGTATGGTGCGGTAACATCAACGGCCTCGGATAGGATGACAACTTGATTTTGATGTCTCTCTGCATTAGGCTATTGGTCTCGGTGAGGCTATACTGGAGATCACTATTTCTCTACAGCATCTTCAGATGTGATTGCAGTCTAATGTCACGTAAATCCAAATGTATTTTTATTATTTAAGCTTGTTTATGTAGAAAAGCCTGACTGAGTCTTAAGACCCTTTTTGAAGAGGGTCCTGTCATGTTTTTGCATTAGTGGTGATATTATGTGCAGTCCCAATTGAAGAATTTTCAGTGTAGTTTATCAATATTGTGAAGTTTGACCATTACCAGAAACATTGTACTTTTTTTTCTAGCTATCGGAGGAAACCGGAGAACTCGGAGGAAAAGCATGCAGGACACGGGGAGATCATACAAACTCCACTCACTCACTCTGCAGAACAGGGGGAGAACATCAAACTCCACTCACACACTCTGCAGAACAGGAGAACACACAAACTCCACTCACACACTCTGCAGAACAGGGTGAGAACACACAAACTCCACTCACTCACTCTGCAGAACAGGGGGAGAACACACAAACTCCACTCACACACTCTGCAGGACAGGGGGAGAACATAGAAACTCCACTCACTCACTCTGCAGAACAGGGGAGAACACACAAAATCCACTCACTCACTCTGCAGGACAGGGGGAGATCATACAAAATCCACTCACTCACTCTGCAGGACAGGGGGAGAACATACAAACTCCACACACACACACTGCAGAACAGGGGAGAACACACAAACTCCACTCACACACTCTGTAGAACAGGGGGAGATCATACAAACTCCACTCACACACTCTGCAGAACAGGGGGAGATCACACAAACTCCACTCACTCTGCAGAACAGAAGGAGAACACACAAACTCCACTCACTCACTCTGTCGAACAGGGGGAGATCACACAAACTCCACTCACACACTCTGCAGAACAGAGGAAGAACACACAAACTCCACTCACACACTCTGCAGGACAGGGGGAGATCATACAAACTCCACTCACTCACTCTGTAGAACAGCAGGAGAACACACAAACTCCACTCACTCACTCTGTCGAACAGGGGGAGATCACACAAACTCCACTCACACACTCTGTCGAACAGAGGGAGAACATACAAACTCCTCTCACACACTCTTCAGAACAGGGGGAGAACACAAAAAACTCCACTCACACACTCTGCAGAACAGGGGGAGAACATACAAACTCCACTCACATACTCTGCAGAACAGGGGGAGAACACACAAACTCCACTCACACACTCTGCAGGACAGGGGGAGAACACACAAACTCCACTCACACACTCTGCAGGACAGGGGGAGAACATACAAACTCCACTCACCCACTCTGTAGAACAGGAAGAGATCACACAAACTCCACTCACTCACTCTGTAGAACAGGGGGAGAACACACAAACTTCACTCACTCACTCTGTAGAACAGGGGGAGATCATACAAACTCCACTCACATACTCTGCAGAACAGGGGGAGAACACAAACTCCACACAGAACCGCTCCCAAGTCGGGAAGTGAACCTGGGCGCTTGTTGCTGTGATGAGTTTCAACTGCGCCACCCTGCCGCCCACATTTGTATCGTAACTGCACCGACAAAGGTAGCGAGCAGGAATGAGCCGAATGCGACGTGAAGGCACCCAACCGCGCGCGGCCCTCTCTGTTTAACACAAACCAGCATCACCGCACGCGCGTACAATCTCTCCATCGTGGAACACCAACACAAAACATCGATACCTGTAGCCGACCTTGACCTGAACAAACTACAGCGCGCCAACTGCCCGACAATAATCGAACGCAAAGCTGTTGGGATTGTACCGCAGTAGCGTTCGAATCTCTGTGACGCCACTGCCCACACACAAAGATCCCCCCTCGAGCGAAATAGACTTTGGGGGAAAGTTTCGTTAGCGAGCACCTATTAAGGTCGACATAGCATACAAAAAAGGAGGCCTTGTGGGCCAGCACCATGCCGCCTTTGTCTCTCATTGGTGATGTCTATACACCACACCGGGTATACTCATTTAGGCCGGGTAGAACTAGGGAAAGCCCAGGACCAATTCGGATATTCGCCACTGACGTTGGCCATGAGCGGGAATTGAATTCGGGTCGCCGGGTTTGTAGCGTGAGCGGGCTCACGAGGGTTGTTACAGTGTGGGTCTTTTTACTTTGCATAACTGGTATCCTAGTGAAAAAAACGGTGACTACCGGCGCACCGCACATACAGAAATGTGCGAGGCAATACAAAAAAATAACGAGTTTACGTTCTTGACTGAGAAACAAAAGCAGCTGCCACAGAGGTGTACTGGTTTATCAGTGCGCTGGACTTTCAAGACAGAGGTCACTGCTTCGATTCCATCTCCCTGCACACCAGTGGAAACAACGCTGCAAGTTTCTCAAATCTTCCACTATCCCCACACAACTTGTACTTCCGCACAATCGACGAATCCGTTGCTCAGCCTCCACTGCAATCGGGAACCGATTCTGAAAACGGTTACCGGTTATCATTTATCAACCCGCGAGCGCCCTCCACCCTGGTCCCCCCACCCATTCCTCTCTCCCCCTCTCCTTTTCCTTTCCCCAGTGTACCTTAGTCATCTTCCTGCTTACCCCTTTTCTTCCACCCATATAAATCTTCATGCCCCCACACGTGGTCCCCACCTGGGTGAGACCCTTGTTGCGCCGAAATCGAATCGCCGTCCGCGGAATTTCTGTTCCCCCCTCCGTTCCGTGATTGGCGTTTTGTACCGGGCTCGCGCTGATTTGGAATAAAAGCACAAAACATAAAAACTGCGAGCGCCGACCACCGCTCCCGTCTCACCCGGCGATGTTGGCCATGGAGCTGAGCGCGTCGTATCCCTGGGCGATGGTGACACGCGGCACCTGGTCCATGGCCAGCACGCTGGCATGCCGCCCCGCCAGCAGCTTCAGCAGCTCGGGGTTCTGCGCCGGGTACACGAAGCTCACGAGCGTCGAGCCCTCACGCAGCAGCTCCGCCTCGTGCCGCCCCGCCTCTGCCAGCGCCACCGGTGCCCGCACCTGCGAACGCGAGCGAGCGGAAGGGCGGGTGAGCGGGTAGGAGAGTGAGGGGACGGGCGAGCAAGAAGGTGCGTGGGTAAGCGAGTGGGTGAGTGAGTCGGTGGCGCGAGCTTGGGGTGGGGATACGTTTCTCAGTGGGTTTACATTGGCTGTGTGAGATTTCTGAACGGGTCGTTTTATCTTAGTACAGGATGCCAAGAGCACAACTGGAATAAAGTTGGGAAAGACGAAATTGTTTCTAAATGGGTCGAAAGCCACCGCATCGGCAATTTTCTCAATTGCTGCAGGTGCAGATAACACTGTTCAAGTTTCAAATCGGGCCGAGGGCAATGACGCTTGATCTCACCCCAATCCCTACCAAAGCTGCTGCTGCTGCGCTTGACCAGCAGAGAGGTCGCAGCGCCCTCCACCACATCCGTTCACCCGTAACGATGCACACGTTCGCGGGAGACAGGACCCATGGCTGAGCCTGAGCCGCTGTCGACCCCTAGCCGAGACGGGAGGTCATTGCCGCATGCTGACCTTGAGGACAATGTCGGCTCCGAACGCGGCCTTCTTGTCGGCGATGGTGGCGCCGGCGGCGCGGTAATCGGCGTCGGAGAACTGCGCCGCCTCTCCGGCGCCGGTCTCCACGGCGACGTTGAAGCCCTGCTTGATGAGCGCCTGCACGCCGGCCGGCGTCAGTGCCACGCGCCGCTCGTTGGCGAAGATCTCCTTGGGCACGCCCACCGTGATCTGCGCGTACGGGATTCCTGCACATGGCGGGACGGGGGGGGGGGAGGAGCGGGACGGTCAGCTGGGGGGAGGAGTGGCGCAGCGGTTAGCTCACCAGCCGTCTACATTTCCACAGCCACAGTCAACATCAATGGCGATTATCTGAACCGGTCCTGGCCGTCCCCTAGGTCGACTCGGCATTAAACCGCCACGGGGGCAGAGATCATGGCCACGCTGCTGCACGTGGCTGCCTGTAACGCCGCGCTGTGGAGGCAGCAGTGAGGGTTGGTGGATCACGGCACAGATGGGTTGTGAAACTCCCTTCCCGTGGGTGTCGAGGAGGAGCCGTATCCCTGGCTCGCCAGGAGAAGGTAGTACAGCAAAGTGCAGACTGTCATCTGTTCCTTCTGTATGATGGGATGAAGTGCTGCTCCCTCACATGCGTGGGTTTTCCGCGTGTATAAAGACTCATTAACTGTCTGAAAACATCTTAATATACAGTGAACCGTCTATATCCGCAAGGATTACGTTCTTGAATATGCTCGCGAATGCGAATTATAAAGAATAATGTGCTTTTTTTTATTACCCCTTTGATGATGATTTGAATACTATGGAGGTGGTGGAGATGAATGCAGGAGGGAGAAGCAGGTGTTTGATAACAACTCTGCACAGCTGTTGTCATTCTAGCACTCGGGGCAGTGCTGCCCCGCAACACTTTCACCGACTGCCTTCGCGTTCCTTTTAATGGACCTCGCAGTCGACTCGTTTCTTCCAAAATGTATCGGCGAGTCCACTAAGTATGTATAAAGTTAAAATGCACAACAGCGAGTTCAGAGCGGGTTTCCTGCCAGGCTGAGAACAAAGCGGGCAGCCGAGGGGGCGCGCCCAATCTTCGTAGCAGACAGTTTCAATGTTACAACGTTCTGCACGCAACCTCCCCCGTGTCGGTGGTCTGGCACTACGTTCACTCGCGAATACTCGAGCCCGGCGGGTCGCGAATAGGGAATGAGTATACATTCAGTAACTCGTGAAAACATGCGAAACTCGCAAATCCAGAGCTCGCGCATCGTGACTGTTTACTTGATAGAGGATTGTAAAGCGGTGGCAATTGTTGGTGGCAGATCACCAACTGGCTGCCTTCCAGCCAGTCTGTGGTTCCTCAGCGACTATGAGAGATGCAATTTGCATAAACGATGACCCGACGCGATATATCGGACTGAATGAAAGCGGTGGTCTCAGCGATAAATAACTAAAATAAATAACTGCAGAGTTTTCATCATAGACCTAGTGCTTCCCTGAGATATAAGTCCGGGTCCTGGTCTACAGTGGAAAGAGGAGGCTCTCCTTAGTTGCACCCCAATAAGTAATATTTAAAAAAACTTTTCTTAAAACACGCTTTAATGAAATGTACCGTACTAGTAATGGAAGAACTCCACGAATCCAGGAAGTGGCCCAGAAGCTTGCCACAACGTAAGGGGCCGTGGCCAATTACAGCCAACGTCAGTTGAGCGTGGACAATTAGACCCAAGACGAAACATAACATAGAAAAAAGATTGTTTAAAATATATATTTTTTAATGATAGAATATAGTATTGTCATCAGTATGACATAAGTATACCAAGTTTGCAGTCAATACCACATTGGGAAATGGGTTAAAATTGAGTTACAGGATTTGAGGATACAACAACAACGACAACAACAGACAGAGTGAGTTAAATAAAAGCGTTTTAAAAAATCATTGAGCCCGATATTGAAGACAAAGCATACACTTAACATTGACACGGTGTGCAATATCCACTTCCATTCAAGCTGTAACAGAACACACACTTACGTTATACTAAAGCTGTAATACTATACTGGACTTAAGAGTGTGTGCCCTGTGCACTTACTAAATATTTACACTGCGAGGACAACAGAGCGACAGAGGCCCCCCCCCCACCCCCCCCGTAGTCTTAAGAGCCGTGGGGCAAGTGCTGTTCGCAAGCACCTATGAAGGCCAGCACCGCACACGAGGGAGATGGATGACCACCACCATGCCCCGCTGCCTTTGTCTCCCCAGTGGTCATGTTTTACACACCACACCAGGTACTCAATGAAGGCTGAGTCGACCTAGGGGAGGCCATGGACCGGCTCAGATAATTGTTACTGGTGTCGGCTGTGAGCTGGAATCGAACTCGGGTCGCCGGTTTCGTAGCGCAGCGGGTTAAACCGCTCCACTACCGCTCTCTACACTGAACACGAATACACCACCAAGAGCAGGCAAATAATACTCATAGCACGAGGCTTTGCTCGACAGCAGAGACATTGCCAGTGACAGAACACATTTAAAAATAAAGCAACAGCTGTGGGGTCTGCTCCTACTGAGAATAACTCCTTCTTAAAACGCAATGTTCCAATTTACTACTATTATTATAATAATATCCATCATACCAACGAACAAAATCATAGCTTTTTTATTATTATTTTATACGCTTAATTTAACTCACTGTCTGTTGTCGTATCCTCAAATCTTGTAACTCAATTTTAACCCACTTCCCAATGTGGTATCGACTGCAAAACTTGATATGCGGATGTCATACTGATGACAATACTATATTCTATCATTAAAAATAAAATATATTTTTAAGCAATCTTTTTTATATCTTATGTTTTGGCTTGGGTCTAATTGTCCACGCTCAACTCACGTTGGCTGTAAATCACCACGGTGCCCTTACGTTGTGGCCAAGCTTCGGGGCCACTTCCTGGAGTCGTGGAGTTCTTCCATTACTCGTACGGTACATTTCACTAAAGTGTGTGTTTTAAAAAGTATTTGTAAATATATTACTTATTTCCAATTGTCTGCTCTCAGCACCTGCCACGTGATGATAATGTTATAAAAAAACAATAGACAGGTCTTGTTCACCCACACAAACAGAAAATAAACATTACAGGTCAAGCAGCCTTAGGGCCCAAGAGAGTGGGGACGACTCTCAACCGAGTCCGAAGGACACACGGAAGGGGCGAAAATTTCCTCCAGAAATAGAGTGATCAGGGGACTCCACCAAACTGTGAATGCGGAGCACATCACTGATGACTGCCCAATCAAAACAGCACGCGTGTTCTAGTGGAACCAGCGGACCACTCCACGGAGCTCCCCCAATACAACACGCGTGTTCTGGTGGAACCAGTGGACCACTCCACGGAGCTCCCCCAATACAACACGCGTGTTCTGGTGGAACCAGTGGACCACTCCACGGAGCTCCCCCAATACAACACGCGTGTTCTGGTGGAACCAGCGGACCACTCCACGGAGCTCCCCCAATACAACACGCGTGTTCTGGTGGAACCAGCGGACCACTCCACGGAGCTCCCCCAATACAACACGCGTGTTATGGTGGAACCAGCGGACCACTCCACAGAGCTCCCCCAATACAACACGCGTGTTCTGGTGGAACCAGTGGACCACTACACGGAGCTCCCCCAATACAACACGCGTGTTCTGGTGGAACCAGTGGACCACTCCACGGAGCTCCCCCAATACAACACGCGTGTTCTGGTGGAACCAGTGGACCACTCCACGGAGCTCCCCCAATACAACACGCGTGTTCTGGTGGAACCAGCGGACTACTCCACTCAGCTACCACGGATGCCATGAAATGGCTTACAACATAATGCAATTGTTGCATTAATTATTTTTTTCAACACCATACGAAAGAGAACGAAGATTGGCCCAATCATTGATAAATGGCTGAGCAATAATTGTTTACGGTGGGTGCAGAAAATATATTTTATAGCGGGCAATCCCGCAATCCCTGTACCGGTCTCAGCTTTTCCGAGTCTCGTTTTCCGTAGCAGGAAATGTGTGCTTAACGCAGCGCGACGTGCGCACAAGTTTCAACTTTCTGATTCTCGCCAGCCGCTCCACTAGAGTTTGCGGCCTTAAACAAACGTTTCTGGAGGAACTTGATTCAAAACACAGCTCCATCGTAATGAAACGTCAGGAACCCACAATCGAACCCAACCACAGAAGCGCACAATCAATAATTCTTGGCGCCGTTAATAACCTAAGCGGCGTGGCTTGTGGGGCCACGTGGACAAAGGGGGCGGCGTTGACCCACCGCGTGGCCAGACAAGCGAAAGCGAATGCCCACTCCTCACATTTCACCTGGCACCGCCACTGGGTGAAAGTTCCGCATTCCCACACACACCAGCGTGGCACACAAACGGGTGCTACAGCCCTCCCTGCGTGTTGTCAAGAAACTGCTGGGTGAGGGCCTCAATCACACCTTGCGGGTCGTGTAGAGGTTAAATGATCAGACCTCGCCATGATGGTCGGTGCGGGTTGGTTAAGTTCGGGAGAAAAGGAGTGGATTTTCCTGCGCTATGCTATAACAACCTATGTTACGCATGGCAGTGGTTGTCTATCCAAACGCTATCCAGCCTCAAGCCTGCTTGGCTTCCGAGACCTGACGAGGCTGGGTGCGCTCCAGGTGATTGGGCCATTGGCTTGTTTACGTACTTCATGTGAGAACACAGCTTCATTGACTTCAATAGAGCACACAGTGTGCATTCCGGGAATTTCATCACAGACCTGCGAGCAAACCGTGGCCTTTGCTCTAAGCACCAGTGACCCGAGTGAATCGTGGAGCGGTTCGGAGGGTCCCGGTGACGCCACTCGTACCTGTCCCGGAGGCCGGCGCCTGGCTCATCTGCGGCGCCTGGGCACGGAAGCATCGCGCCAGCTGCCTTGGGCGGACGCATCGGCGCAGGGTGGTGACGGTGCGGTGAGCGGCGCGGGTGCAACCGACACCCGGCACGCACAGGCGGCCGGTGCCGGCGAGTGCTGACGGGATGGTGCCGGCGCTGCGCCCGCAGGCCGCGATCCTCAGCAGGCACGCCATGATTCTGGCGATGACAAGAGTGAGACGGGAGATGGTCAGGCTGACAGAGACGTGAAAAAACGTACCAGGTTTACCATTACGTCGTTGGCAGCTCTGTCAACTTTCACTCCAGCTGTTTGCTCAGTTTTGTATCAATTTCAAGATTGTTACTCACTCTGTCTTCATGATCCTCCATTGACTCACTCTGCTCCCTTTCACACAACTCTATAACCTCTCCCCTTTCATCTCAATCTACTCCTGTCCAAGCACTCTCTGCTCCAGTAACCAAAGCTTTCTATCGAAGCTCCCGGTCATCTACTCCTCAGTGGGCAGTCACTTTTTCTTTTCTTCTGCCTCCGTGGTCCCCCTTTGCCCAGACATGCGTGCTGTTGACTTCTTGCCCAGCTCCAGGCTCAAGGCCTTCCTTTATTTGTCTGCCTACGATTGACTGCCTCGTCTCCCAAACTCGCATATTGACCCACAGACTCACAACAGAGAACGAAGACTGCCTCTTTCTCCATATAAAATAAACACATCCACTGTGTCTGTACACCATCTTGAGAGGCGGCTGAATTTAAAAATCCCTATAAATGCGCAATGCATTGTTTCGAAAATCACCTTGATTAACCTTAAAGTGGAGGCAAAAAAAGTTTGCAACATAGACAACAAGAGTGCAGTTACACACACACTTACAATTACAACTCTTTAGTTTCTTATCAGACGAGATAACCCGTTGAGAATGTAAGCATCTCAGTGTCAAGTGAGAGAAACCTGGTTCAAACAAGAACTCAACAGCGAAACAATCAACGGCACCCGCTCCTGTTCCAGAGCACAGCAACAGAGACCAGAGCGACCGACGGAGATAGGAGAGTGAGATGAAAGGGTAGAAGTAGGGGTGAGGGGAGAGGTAGGGGGAGCGCACAGAGGAGAGAAGAGTGACACGGGAGGGGGAGAGGCAGGAGAGCGTGTCGTGGGGAGTCAGAGTGAGATGAGAAGGGGGGAGGTGGGCAGGAGCGAGTGAGAGTTACCCGGCGGTTTCGGAGATGAGTGAGAAGAGAAGACGGGCAGCCGGTGGACAGGCCGAATGAGCGCACTGTACCGAGCACCTAGAGGGCACCGGAGGGAAGGTGAGAGGGGACGTCACTGCATCCCCTCTCTCTCAGTGGCCGCCGCCCCCCCCGCCCGCCACTTCACTGTACTCGCATTAGGGTGTACTTCTTCCAAGGGCAAGTGCCGGCTATAAATAGGGCGTGCAAAGAGTCGCGATAGAGGGGTGAGAGTGGGAGGGTAGAGCGGGGAGCGTGACGAGACTGGGGCATGGGCACGCGAGGAGGGGTGGGAGAGTTGTGGATGGGGGAGCAGTGGAGAGAGAGGCAGAGAGGTGGGGGGGAGAAGGGCAAGGGGGGGGAGGAAGGGGGGGGGAGGAGGGCCCTGTCATGAGAATCTTGCACGTGGCGGATGCTGCTGGTTTGGCTGTAGGTAATGGAAGCTGTGGTATTTGTTGAAAAGTGGAGATTATAGTAAAAAATGACGTGGAATGGTTTAAACTGCTCTTCTTATATAAAGTTTACATGTGTTGCACGGATTTATTTAAAAAATGGCACTCCTTCGTTTACACACACTGGAGTTTGCCGTTTCGCTGTACTCTGCTTATTAGGGTTCCGCCTGGTTATGTCAGGCCATCCCTTCATTTTAAGGAAGCTTGTACAACTGATGTTAACGAGTATAGGGATGAATTGTCCATATACGAATTAAGATACTTAATGGGTTAAGTGACAACTATTTACATGCTTACACACACATCTCCATAGTTTTGGCTCTGCTTCAGCTAAGTGACAACAAGAAGCCGACTGGAGAATGAAGAGATGTTAACTATCTCGCCAAGTATACAGGAATGCGTGGGTTCAATCCTGACGATGTCTGTATATTTGGAGCTTGCATGTTCTCCCCGTGGTCGCGTGGATTTTTCTCCAGGTCATCCGGTTTTTACCTCCACATTTTGAATCAACATCACACGTTTAGAGTATTTAGCTGGTATACATTTCCTCATAAGCCACTTCGTTGAGCTATCATTTGTGGCCAGGTCGCTTCTGTTAAAAGAGCTACATAGCTCAGTGGGCCTGACCTGGTAAAATAAAAATTGTTGAATACTTTAGTGTTAGCTTAAACTGAAAAATGAACTACAATGGATTGGAGGAAAATGAAAAGGCTCACCGAGTCTCATTACTCCCTTTGCAGGAGGGTCCTGCCAAGTATTCACAGTAGCGGGCGATGATTGCTGTGTATGTGCCAACAGATAAAATACTTAACATCGGCAGACGAAAAGAGAGGATGGATGGTGGTTGTTCAACAAGCAAATCAATCGAGTAAAGAGAGGAGTGCTCAGAATATGAAGAGAAGTCGACCAATAACAAGATGGTTGGCCCATTGTTCTCAACTCGTCTCTGTGACCCCCCTCCATGGAACAGCTTTTAATGATTCTCAATTAATCTCTTCTATTCACTTACAAGTTTTAAGCCACTGAACAAACGGCACGTAGGGAGCTGAGTGGCGACAGCAGAATTAACAGGACAATACCCCACCTCCTTCACATGTCTGTCTCTCCATGTAAAACAATTATAGTATATATTTTACACATCCCATCAGCCGCACAGCCTTCTGGGAGTTCACAATTCCAGGAACATTCAGTACAAGTAAACTCTGCACGGGGTTCGACACTGTGCGTCTCATCAGAAGGGGTCAATGCTGGTGTTAATGGACGAGGGAGCCTCTCTGCAGGATATGGGTCCTAGTTTGAGGCAGAAACGATATATCGCACATCATCACCGCTGTACAAAGCCATCTGCTGCGTCTGCTAAAGCTACGGGACTGGATAAGGGAGACAAAGAGCTGTGATGATGGCAACGTGGCTGTGTGGTTGTTTTTGGGGGAAGGCCCGTGGTTGTTTTCTCCCCATCACCATAGGCCCTCCCTGTTTGTCGTTCGAGTTTACTACAAGATTGGCGATAAGATCAATCGCGCTCTCTGAAGCACACCCATTGACATCTTGTCTCGTCCACACACAATCATTGGCCCTTTCGAGGCACGTGCTGATCCATGGATTCGTCAAATTTCAAGTCACTATTGCCGACCCCGCACAACGCAGGCATCGATCGTGATAGAAATATGTTTATGGTTAGTGGAAATGATAAGGAAACTAGCTAGCACTGCCCGTTCACTTGTGCGGGGTATAACTGCAGTTGATTAGAATAAGGATTTCTTGAGATTTTGCTTCCCAATGACACTAGCGACTGACGGACACACGTAACTTCATATCGATGACTGTGGCAGCGGAGCGATCTGAACCCGGCGACTTAAGTTCGAATCCAAGCCACGGCTAACATCAGTGGCGAGTGATTTCTTAACCCGTCCGTGGGACCTCTCCCTTTCACCAACCTCACATTGACCTGCGTGGTGAAGTATTGTAAAAACCCCTTCAAACAAAAGCGGATTTAGCATGCCTGCTGATGATGTCGGGATGGACGTTTCAAATACAGTATGACACATGAGCTGAATTCCGTTCTATCTGTTTAGTCGATTATAGCCTATTGAATTTCCAAACCAATTACTGTCCAGCGGGATTTAAGTCGTAGGCAAACTCTGGCCCAGTTTCGATCGTGTGGGTCTCATGACCAGTCAGGCTCCTATAACAAATGGCAACGGGATCGCGACTGGGATTCCCACGTGCAGGATCAGCTGGTGACCTCATCAGTGGGGTCAGCTCCCCCTCGTACCCCTCCACGTTCCCCTCCCCCACATCCCCCCCCAGACGTCCCCCCTCTTCGCCCCATGCCCCTCTCCCCCCACCCCCCACTAAGACGTCCCTCCTCTTACCCCTCCCCCACACGGCAACCAAACACACGCGATTGGCTCGCTCGGACGAGCCACGTGCCCGCTTTAAGCCAATCGCGTGGATGAGGGCTAAAAACCCGGGCCTTAACAAAAAGACCCCACAAGACTCTTGCTAGCGTGGCGTGTAAATAAAAACAAACGCTTCACTTATACACACGTTTTTTTAATTTGCGTAATTAACACAGCGAAGGCGCGCGCACTAATTGCTGCCGGCGTGCGTTTATCTCCTCAATGGGAGGTGGGGGTGGGATGCGGAGCGCGGGCGCGTGACTCACCGAGCGCGAGGCAGGAAGTGACGTCACAAACCGGCGCTCTGTATAAACTTTATTCTCACCCTGGCCGCCAAGGACGCTGGCGGTGACGTCGCATTTCTGAATAACTTTGTTTTAGCCACTCTCTCCCGAGCGGGTGTCACGTGGTTTACATGTTGTCGCCCCCCTCCCCCACCCTCGCCTCCTTCCCCTCCTCCACATGGCGTCTCAGCGGCCACGTGGTTTACCACGTAGGTAGAAAATAACGACGTTTCGGGCGCAACACAAGCGTCCGTCACCAGGTGGTGTTGCGCCCGAAACGTCGTGATTTATGTTATTTTATACCTACGTTACTTTACCGAAAGAACCAAAGAGTATGGATTCCTGCAGTCACGAAAGCTTCAAATCAAGACATTCAATTATCCATAAGTACAGGTTTTTTGGGGGGTTAGAGCGCGTAAATATATTAAATGTCGTTAAACCCGCCACAGCCAATTGTGATATTGGGTCGCAAAAGCCCACGTGTTAAACATTCAACACGTCCATAAATAATAGTGCCCGTGTGTGGCCTTAGAACAAAAACATAGGCGACGTTTCTGGCTATGGCCCTTCACAGCGCAGACAGGGGCCCAGCGAGCTGAAGTTCACTGCCTCTAGGGCGACGTTTCAGGCAATGGTCCTTCCTTGAAGGCAGTGCTGTTGACTGTGTTGAGGTGCCGTTGTTGCTGTTAACTTGTGCACCACTGCCAACACAACAGCAGCAGCATCCCCAAATCCAGTAACGTGGTTACCGGTAAGAATGTAGCGCCTCCAGTGGCTGCGGAAACTCGATTGCATTCGACAATAACGCAATTTAAAGGGCGACCTATGCAGTAGGCGACGCAAAGAGTGCAGTTTGTTGCTGGCCCGCTTGGCGTTTTTGGACTTTTTGTGTGCAAAGACTTCTGATGTCACGCGGGAAATCGATCGGATCGATTACCCCACGGAGTTCGATCCACAAAGAGGTTTCAACAACAACAAAAACCCTCTGGTCTGGCACCGCCGGCACCGCGTGGTGTCCATAAAGTTATCGCGCCGCGGCCAAGGGGGGCGAACCGCGAAGCCCCCTCTCCTCGGCGAAAACATCGATCCCTGCGCACCCCCCTTTCAGGGGTTCATGCCTCGTGCCGGTAAGACCCCCCCCCCTCACGGCAGGGATCCCCCTGACCACCACCCCCCTCCCCGAGCGCCGTTTGCAGAAGCGGGACCCCGACGAGGCCTACGCAGCCACGGGGCCTTCGCTCTTTCCTAGCAGTGTCGGCCGGGGTCCTTGCGCCCCGGCCCCGGTGCGAGGTGGCTCGAGCGCGGCCTCGAAAAGGACAACGGAGCGCAGCTCCTAACGCCGGTGCGCTTGCTCGCGTATCTGCCGCTCGGGGGTCCAGGGGACGAGGGGATAGTGATGGCGATGAAGGGTGAAGTCAGGAGTCGGGTGAGAAGCTGGGTTTGGGATCAAGGACCGCGAGAAGGGGGGGGGGGTGGATTATGGCGGTGTGAGACCCCCAAATGTGCTCGACCCGTCTCACGATATGCGCGTGTCTCTCTGTGTTGCGTGGGGAGCGGTGGTGCAACGGTTAGCGCACTGTGCGCTACGAACCCGACTGACCCGAGTTCTATTCCCGTTCACGACAAACACCCGCGACGATTATCCGAACCGGTCGTGGGGCTCCCCGATGTGTAAACATCGCCACTGGGGAGACAAAGGCGGCCGGGCGTGGTGCTGGCCACCAACCCACTCGTGTGCCGTGCCGGCCTTCATAGGTGCTCGCTAACAGCGCTTGCTCCTACAGTCTGTTAAGGCGATACGGGTGATCTGTGTATTCTCTTCTCGGACGATGTTCCTCTTGGTCGCTGTGTCTCTCTGTGTCTCCGTTCCCTATCATTTTCCTCCCGGGACCACGGGAAGCACAATAGAGTTAATGGGTGCTGATATGGGTTTGCTAAAGCTCGCGGTTCTTGGGGGGCAGTGGGATAGGGCTGCTGGGGTGATAGTGGGATGTGGGAGTAGTCGGATGACAACTTAAAACCTGTGGTCGGGAGCCGCTTGCACGCTTGCCGAGTCTGGAGGGTTGTCGTGTTGGTTGTAATGCATCTCTCGAGTGTACTTACGTTTGTCTCAGTGCCCGTGTCTCTATCGTGTCCCTCGTTGATGATTTACTTTGTGCGTCTCCGTGTTTGTTGTGTTCCCCTCGCCGCGTCTCTCTCGTTGTGTATGGCGCTCACCACGACCACCACCAATGTGCATCTCCGTCTCGCTGCGTGATCGTCTCGATGGTCCAAACATTAGCCAGGCCCTTCCTCGAGACGAGCTTGAGGTTGTGTTAATGATTATAACGGTCGTAAACATTTACGATCGGTAAGTAGTTCCATCACGACTCCTGACCGCGATTTTAAAACGATGTTTTATCACTAACTGAAGCATTGAACTCGGGTAGGACACAGAGAGACGGGGGTCCCACACGATGCTCCTGGGGAGGTTGGTAAGAGCTCACTGTCTCTGTAGGGAGACGGAGGAGGCGCGTGCAGCTGGGGACGTGGTGGACAAACAAAGGACTTGGGTCGAGCCATGGGCGACAGCGCGTGGTTGGAGAGATGTTCATTATTGAGACGTTTGGTGCCTTCATTGGAGTGCCACCCAGAGGATGGGTTGGTGATTGAGGCTCGGAGTGGTCCTTGAAGGACGTATTGACTGTAGCAAGGGGAAGAGGTAAAGCCAGATGGTTGGTGTGGTGGTGGCGTTGAGACTGTAAGAGGGGTCCCTGAAGGATGGATTGCCCTGTAACAAAAGAAAGACGCTCCAAATAGTGATGAGACTTATTAGGAGGTCGTTAAGATCACGTGTCGACTCAGCAATGGTTAGAGCCACATTGACATGCTAATCTCTTACGTTTTACGTACAAATTCCATCTCTAGCTCCGCCCACTTTACCTTGGGTTTGAGCCCACCTATAAAGCCTATATAACATCGTGTTGCAGCAGCTCTTTCTCCTGCGTCAGCAAGTTCTGCCTGCTGTGTTTGTCTCGCCTGATGACGGTTGCTTGTGTTGCGATCGAAACGTCGTGATCTATTAATTGTTTTTATCTACGTGACTTTACCGAAAGAACCAAAGAGAATGGTTAGAGGATTAAGTAGAAGGAGACGAGGTGCAGAGGCATGAGCGGCATTCGTCTGTGATCGAGTTTCCCGTCGGCACCCTCATCAAGGCAACGTGGTGGCGAGATGTTAACTACCTCGCCTGGTCGGATACAGGAGGTCGTGAGGTCCATCCCGACCCTGACGCCTGCTGTATATTTGGAGTTTGCATGTTCTCCCCGTGGTCGTGTGGACTTTATCCACGGGTGCTCCGGGTTTTCCCTCTGCATTTATAAACATTCGTTTAGAGCATTTGGCTGATGTAAATTTCCACATGATAAGCCACTACGTTGAGCTATCATTTGTGATAGCGAGGTCGCTTCTGAATAAGAGCTAAATTGCTCAGTGGGCCTTACCTTGTAAAATAAAAATAGTTTTATCGTTTTATAATTTCACGAGAATAATTACTTTTTCGAACTTTTACAGAAAACTACATCGCCCATCAGGTTATAAAACAGCCTGCAGAATGAGCTACCAAAGAACCAGTTCTGAGAACCTTAGAGTGGCTTCTTATCCTCACGCAGGGTGCTGCACATTCCCATTTTCAAATTCTTACACCTGCATGGCAGGCAAACTACGGGCGGCTGAAACCCAGATTCATGGCTAGGATCTTGGCGTTTGCAGCTCTGCACCGTGAGTCACCTTGCAACGTTCTGACCCTTGACCGTGACCTCATGTTGCAGAGGGAGTGCAGCTGGCGTGAGAGACGGGGGGCCCCTGGCGGCAGGGAGAGGCGCCCCCTCTGTATGGGCCTGCTGCTGTCTCGGCCCGCGGCACTGCTGAAGAGCAGGAAGGAAGCGAGGCTTCGCGCACCGGCTCCAAGACCCGGCCTCGCAGACCCCTACTGCCGCGGTCCCAGGTACGCATTCTAGAATCAATCTGTGCATAGCGTGAACTGCTCACAAATGGCAGAAAGGCATGACTCACATCCATATGCCACAGGGTGGCACGGTGGTGAGATGTTAACTACCTCGTCTGGCATGCAGGAGGTCGTGGGTTCGATCCTGACCCTGATGTGGAGTTTGTGTGTTCTCCCCGTGGTCGTGTGGATTTTTCTCCGGGTCCTCTGGTTTTTTTCCCGGCACATTTAGAAACTTGCGTTTCAAGTATTGGCTGTTATAAATTTCCACACGATAAGCAACTTTGTTGCGCTTTCATGGGTGTATCCAGGTCACTTCTGAAAAAGAGCTCTAGAGATTAGTGAACCTTTCCTGGTAAAATACGACCGTTTGTGTTATGGTCGAAACGTCGTGAGAATTTTTATTGTTTTATATATATTTTATTATTTTGTTGTTTCCCTTCAACGTGACTTTACCGAAAGAACTAAGAATATGAATTACTGCAGTCACGAAAGCTTTAAATCAAAAAGTTAAGTAGTTTAGTTTATCTTCTTTGGTTCTTTCGGTAAAGTCACGTAGAATGAGAATAAAATAATAAATTGATAAAATAAAATAACACAATAATATTCTCACGACGTTTCGGCCACAACACAAGCGGCCTTCATCAGGTGAAGGGGGCGAGACTGTCTGGTAGGACAGCGCTGGAGTGAGAGAGCCACGTTCAGATCACGGCTTTTAAGCTGTGTGAGAGGAACAAAGAGCCTTGACACAGGAATTAGCATAAAATTTAGCATTGAAATGGCTGAATGATTAGCTTGTGACTGGTCACAGAAATAGCTATGTTAAAAGTTAAAGCATACACATCCGCAGAGGCACCCATTGTTAAAAGGAATTAGCATAGAATTTAGCATTGAAATAGCTAAGTTAAGGCATACACATCCGCAGAGGCACCCCTTGACAATGGGATTAGCATAGAATTTAGCATTGAAATGGCTGAGTGATTCGCTTGTAACTGCTACAGAAATAGCTACGTTGAAGTCAGAGCATACACATTCACCGAGGCACTTAGTACAAATCAAACAGGAGAATTTAGCATTGAAATAACTAGGCGAATTTAGCATTGAAATAACTGGGTGATTTGCTAGTGACTGGTCACAGAAATGACTACACATCTGAGCTATTCACAGTACTATATAGTGAACCAATAAAAACTAAAATATAAATTACCTTCATGTTATCAATAAACTCTATATTCTCCAATCAGCTAAGCTACCAACCATAAGTCGTTATATATCACAATGCTATATGGCGAAAAAATGGGTGGATTCTTACCCTCAAATTTCCGTACCACGGATAGCTATGGGCCCCGTTCAGACGGACGAGTTCGTCCATGGTCGGAACAGAGGAGGGGGAGAGAGACAGCTGCGAGGCCCTAGTATGCTCCATGTTGTAAACCATACCATTAACCGTGGTGTGAGAGGTATTAAGAGGCAATGCTGGCGAAAGAGCTGCGGTCTGAAGGACATCGTAAAATTATAATTAATTAAGAACAGAAATGATTTAACACATCTTTCCAGTGGTTACTAAGCCTGAATCCATCTTCTCGGTTGAAATTGTCTCTGTGCTTGTATATGTGAATGGCCTCATGAACGAATCTCTCATGGTAGCCGGTTGGTTTGCAAAGAACCTCCGTCTTGGAGAAGTCAATGTCATGTGAGCCCACTGAATTGTAACAGTGGTCTGCCACGGCAGAGGAGTTCGTCTTACCGTGTTTCAAATCTGCTTTATGTTCGCGGATGCGGTCCGAGATATGTCTTTTGGTTTCTCCAATGTAGCTACTACCACAGAGGCACTTTAGTTTGTAAACGCCTGGGTACTGTATGTCTGGAAGAGCATCTTTCACAGATGGAACTAAATCACGGATTTTGTGTACTGTGTTGAATCGGACCTGGATCTTGTGTTTATTCAGGATTTTGGAGATCTTTTTAGTGACCCCTGCAATGTAGGGTAAGGTGATGGTTTTGAGTGGCTCCACAAGAGGATCCTTCTTCATGACTGGAGTGATGGCTTTGCGGATTGTGTAGTCGGAGTAGCCATTAGCCCTGAGAGCCTGGTGTACGTGCTTGAGTTCACTGGTAATGTGTTCCTGGTCGGAAATGCATTGGGCTCTATGGTATAGAGTCTTGATGAGGCAGTTCTTCTGGGATGGATGGTGGTGGGAATCCGGTTTCAAGTAAGCATCTGTATGTGGTAGTAGCTACATTGGAGAAACCAAAAGACATATCTCGGACCGCATCCGCGAACATAAAGCAGACTTGAAACACGGTAAGACGAACTCCTCTGCCGTGGCAGACCACTGTTACAATTCAGTGGGCTCACATGACATTGACTTCTCCAAGACGGAGGTTCTTTGCAAACCAACCGGCTACCATGAGAGATTCGTTCATGAGGCCATTCACATATACAAGCACAGAGACAATTTCAACCGAGAAGATGGATTCAGGCTTAGTAACCACTGGAAAGATGTGTTAAATCATTTCTGTTCTTAATTAATTATAATTTTACGATGTCCTTCAGACCGCAGCTCTTTCGCCAGCATTGCCTCTTAATACCTCTCACACCACGGTTAATGGTATGGTTTACAACATGGAGCATACTAGGGCCTCGCAGCTGTCTCTCTCCCCCTCCTCTGTTCCGACCATGGACGAACTCGTCCGTCTGAACGGGGCCCATAGCTATCCGTGGTACGGAAATTTGAGGGTAAGAATCCACCCATTTTTTCGCCATATAGCATTGTGATATATAACGACTTATGGTTGGTAGCTTAGCTGATTGGAGAATATAGAGTTTATTGATAACATGAAGGTAATTTATATTTTAGTTTTTATTGGTTCACTATATAGTACTGTGAATAGCTCAGATGTGTAGTCATTTCTGTGACCAGTCACTAGCAAATCACCCAGTTATTTCAATGCTAAATTCGCCTAGTTATTTCAATGCTAAATTCTCCTGTTTGATGTGTACTAAGTGCCTCGGTGAATGTGTATGCTCTGACTTCAACGTAGCTATTTCTGTAGCAGTTACAAGCGAATCACTCAGCCATTTCAATGCTAAATTCTATGCTAATCCCATTGTCAAGGGGTGCCTCTGCGGATGTGTATGCCTTAACTTAGCTATTTCAATGCTAAATTCTATGCTAATTCCTTTTAACAATGGGTGCCTCTGCGGATGTGTATGCTTTAACTTTTAACATAGCTATTTCTGTGACCAGTCACAAGCTAATCATTCAGCCATTTCAATGCTAAATTTTATGCTAATTCCTGTGTCAAGGCTCTTTGTTCCTCTCACACAGCTTAAAAGCCGTGATCTGAACGTGGCTCTCTCACTCCAGCGCTGTCCTACCAGACAGTCTCGCCCCCTTCACCTGATGAAGGCCGCTTGTGTTGTGGCCGAAACGTCGTGAGAATATTATTGTGTTATTTTATTTTATCAATTTATTATTTTATTCTCATTCTACGTGACTTTACCGAAAGAACCAAAGAAGATGAATCATTGCAGTCACGAAAGCTTTAAATCGAAATTTAGTTTAGTTTAATATGCATTGCGTGCATATATCATGCAACCATCACACTTTGTGAGCTCTCAGCTTCGTCCAGCCCACCAGTTTCGACAGAGCTGAACATGTGGTAAGATGATATTGTTGGTGGGTTTTGTCCGGGTACCCTGGTTTTTTTGTTTAAACTAAATTCTCAGACATAGGGCTTGTCTGACCATACTTCACCACACTGCTCAGTGCGGTGTTGTCCGCGACATTTTTTGATATGAACATATTGGCGGTACACGGGTGCGCGGTAAAAAAAAAACTAATTTTTTGCATCTTCTTTGGTTCTTTCGGTAAAGTCACGTAGAATGAGAATAAAATAATAAATTGATAAAATAAAATAACACAATAATATTCTCACGACGTTTATTATTGTGTTATTTTATTTTATCAATTTATTATTTTATTCTCATTCTACGTGACTTTACCGAAAGAACCAAAGAAGATGAATCATTGCAGTCACGAAAGCTTTAAATCAAAATTTAATTTTTTGCAATCCTTTATTTTCGCGCGATTCGTAAACCCCAATCAGAAAATCTTGTGGGGTGGCGGTGCGTCAAAATCAGTTCTCGTGATGGCAAAGCAGTCGGAAGACGAACGTTATGAGCAGCTAAACACGAAGCTTCACAGTCTGTTTCCGTATAGCAGCCAGCCTGATGACGATTGGCTCTGTGTTCCAAAGGCAGATTTGACTCGTGCCCTAGACTTGGTCGGACGGTTCCTCGATTCATTGATTTTTTTGGTGGACGGTGGCATCGAAAGATTATAACTCCTGTTACACGTTCGAATGGGAAAGCAGCTGCTGAATCTAAGGCAACTTCTGATGGAGTGCAGCTCACTCAAGGGTAACAGTGACATAGACTGTTTTATGAATACCGGTGTGTTATACTGCACCGGTGTACCGCCAATACGTCCACATCGACCTCCATATGGTGTGCTAACCCCTGCTGCCCCACCCCGTGGATGACACGAGATGACAAGCGACGGGGTTTGCGTGATGCTGACGCCGCGCCGACGGTGGCGCCGCGCCGACGGTGGCGCCGCGCCGACGGTGGCGCGCTGACGCCGCGCTGACGGTGCTGTGCTGACAGTGGTGCCATGCTGACGGTGGCGCCGCGCTGACGGTAGCGCCGCGCTGACGGTGGTGCCATGCTGATGGTGGTGCCGCGCTGACGGTGGCGCTGCGCTGACGGTGGTGCCATGCTGATGGTGGTGCCGCGCTGACGGTGGTGCCATGCTGATGGTGGTGCCGCGCTGACGGTGGTGCCATGCTGATGGTGGTGCCGTGCTGACGGTGGCGCTGCGCTGACGCCGCGCTGACGGTGGTGCCGCTCTGCCAGTGGCGCCGTGCTGACGGTGGTGCTGTGATGCAGGTCATGTTGTGGTGGCTTCGTGCCGTGTCCGGCACCGCTGGGCGAATCTGAATCGGAGGAGGAGGGAGCGAGCGGAGAGCCCTGCGCCGCGCACGCAGAGATGCCGCTGGCGGGCGGCAAGCGCAAGTGCAACTCCACCAGCAACAGCAACGTAAGGACCGCTGGGCAGGGGGAGGCGCACGGGGTGGGGTGGGGGGTCGTGGAGGCGGCGAGGTTTTTTCAAGATGGTAGGGGGCGGGTGGTGCTTCTCTCTTCCTGTCTCAGTTTTTGACAATGATTTAAATCAATAACAGGGCCTCGGTGAAGCTTACTTATGCAGTTGTTACCTGGGCAGGGCTGCCTGTTTAAGTAATCTATTATCGGTTTGGTAAACTCGACTAACTCGGCGACCTGGGATTCCCACTAATTACCAACATCGATGGCTAATATTTGAACCAGTCCTGTCGAGGCCTGCTCTAGGTTGACTCGGCCTAAAATGAGTACTTTGTGCGGTGTGTAAACTTCGCCACCAGAGAAACAATGTTGGCCTTCATAGGTGCCACTTGTTTAATAGCACTTGCCCCAGAAGTTGGTTAAGGCTATACGGGGGATCTTTGTCTCGCAGGGTGGGGATGACCCTGGCTCGCTGCCCTCCAGCAAGTTGCCCTGCCTCAGCCCGGCCCCCGGCGATGGAGTGGGACCGGCCGGTGACGGCCACGTCGCTGCGGCAACGGTTCCCACGGAAGCGGCCAACATCAATCGTCTACCCTCATCGATCCTCCTCAAGGTGGGCACGGCCGTGGGCAATGCTCCTTTTCCTTTCGCGTGTAGCCGAGGTGAAGAGCGACTCTGGAGACCCTTACCCAAGTGTGAACGCCACGCGACCGCTTCAGCTGAGGCTGAATGCACCGCTGTTGCTGCTGCTGCTGCCTCCGTTGCATTTGCACAGCCGGCAATGATGCGCGCTACGTTCCGCAATGCGACCTCGCGTTCGCTCTACGGTTGTCCGGGCTCGAGTTTCTGCTTGTGAAGGTGGCGGCCGTGCGAGTCACGTGCTCCGTAGCTGTCGGGGACGGGGCGGCAGCAACGCCCGGGCGCGTGTTGGGGACGTCGCCGTTGAGCCAGCGTGCCGTAACGCCGCGTTCTGCCCAGGTGCTGTCATACCTGTCGCTGATGGAGCGCTGCCTGGCCGCCTCGCTCGTGTGTCGCCTCTGGCGGGAGCTGTGCTCCGACCCCGAGCTGTGGCGGCGTCTCGACCTCAGTGGCCGTCAGAAGGTGACTCCCTTGCTCCCTCCCTCGCCCTCCCCCCTCGCCTACCCCCTCGCTTCTTCCCTTTCCTCCCTCCCTTTCCGATGGCGTGGGGAGGAACTTCGTTCAGCAGTGGATAGATCACGGCCGATGATGATGACGACGACGATATAGGGTACAAGCTAACGATGCATATGGTGAGAACGAGATGGGCGTGTGCGGGTGGGCCTTCGTTCGTGCGGAACGACGATGACGGCGTGGATGTCGCAGGTGACGGACGAGGTGCTGGCTCACGTGACGTCGCTGAGCCACGGCGTGACGCGCGTCTGCGTCGCCGACTGCCGTGCCGTCAGCGATGCCGGCGTGGCGCTGATGGCACGCTCCTGCCCGGCGCTGCTCTGCTTCTCGGCGACGCGCTGCAAGCAGCTGACGGACGCCGCCGTGGGCAGCCTGGCGAGGCACTGCCCCGCGCTACGCTCGCTCAACCTCTCCAACCTCGACGCCATCACCGACGATGCACTGAGACAGGTCGGGGGTCAGGGGACTCGGGGGGGGGCGGGGGGCAGGGTGCCTGGGGGGGCATAGGGTAGTGGTGAATATTTGAGTGTGTGGTTGTGACTTGGTGAGTATGGCGCCACAGTGGCGAGTTGTTAACTACCTCGCCTGCTATACAGGAGGACGTGGGTTCGATCCCAACCCTTACGGCTGTTGTATATTTGGAGTTTGCATGATCTCCTCGTGGTCGCGTGGATTTTTCTCCAGGTCCTCCGGTGTTTCCCTCCACATTTAGAAACATGCGTTTATAGTATTTGGCTCCTATACATTTGTGGCCAGGTCGCTTCTGAAAAGGAGCTATATAGCTCAGTGGGCCTAATCGTGTAGCTGTGACTACATGAGTGCATGGTTGTGACATGGTGGCGCAGTGGTTAGCATACTGCGCTGTCAAGCCAGCAACCCCAGTTCTTATCCTGCTCATAGCCAATATCCGTGATGAATATATGAACCGGTCCTGGGCCTCCCCTAGGTCGACCCAGTTTTAAATGAGTACCTGGTGCAGTCTGTAAGCATCAGCCCTGGGGAGACAAAGCCGGGCAGGTGCGGTGCTGGCAACTAATCTCGTGTGCCCTGTCGACCTTCATAGGCGCTACTCAATAACAGCACTTGCCCCAACAGTCTGTTAAAGCGATATGAGGGGATTTTTACCCTCTTCTGTGTACGTGGATATTATATCACAGCTCGGCGCCAGCTGTTCAGACCTGCGCGAGGTTCACCTGGGCCAGTGCTACCTGCTGACCGACGCCGGCATCACAGCGCTGGCGCGCGGCTGCCCTCTCCTCACCAAGATTTACCTGCTTGAGAATCACCTGGTACGGCGAGACAACAGCGCTACACGGCCACTGCAGAGTTGTTCAGGGGGCAGGGTGACTCGGGGCGGGGGGGGGATTGGTGGTCTGTGCTGGATACAATGAGCCAGAAACCCTTCCCCCCCCTGAGAACCTGGGTTCACACTCTGTTCAGGAAGCCGGGTCAGGTGACACGGTTATGTGGACTTACTGGATGTTGCCCTGAAGATGCTTGGCACGGTTTCAAGCTAAATGTAGCGCCTCCACTCGCTGCTAAATTTGGTTGTGACAATTTTTTCTCGCCAGTGAGTGAGCAGGTGGGCGAGTGACTGAGTGAGTGGGTGGATGAGTAACAATTTAATTTGTTTGGCTGTGTCGCGGGGTGGCGGCTTACGACACAAAGTTGGCCGGATCGTTGTGACGTTGGGCTAACCCGATATCATCGATTCTGAATCGTACTAATTGAAGCTGTTGGAGGCGTTGCGGGGAAGTACGGTTGACTGACCTGACACCCGAGGTGGGCGGGCGGTGCTTCTCCGGCCTCCAGGTGACGAACTCCTCCGTGCAGTGCCTCGCCGAGTGCTGTCCACGTCTCCAGTACGTGGGGCTCATGGGCTGCTCCGTCACCTCCAGGGGAGTGAGGCACCTTGCCAGGGTGAGCCTCACCACTCCGTCTCCTCTAGCCCCTCTCTATCCCCCGTTATTAACCCCTCAGTCCCTCTGTTCCCCCCCCCGCTAGTAACTCTGTATTGGGAAGCCACCGTAGCTGGCTCTTGTTAAATCTAGATTGAAAACGAATTTGTTTAGAACTGCGTTTTTTGTGTTAGTTTGTTGTCCTTCGCCCACACCTCGAATTGGCACGGTTGGCTACGTATGGTGCAAAAGAAGTTCAACAAACGTACATATCCCCCTTGTCCCTCTATTCCCGCTATCCACTTGATCCCTGTTAGCCCCTCTAGCTCTGCTATCCCTTCTAGCCCCTGCAGCAGCCCCACTCGTTTGTCCCAATGCTGCACAGCAGCAGTCGATGGCTGCGAAAGCCTCCGCCCCCGTCTGAAAATGCCCCTCCCCCCGTTTGCGAATGCCACCCCCCCCCCCCCCCCCCGTCTGCGTGTCTGCGTGGCACGATCCCATTCCCACACGAGCCCCTGCGTGGTTCCGCCCTCGTCGATCCCGCTCTCACCTCCTCTCTCTTCTGGTTGCCTGTCTCATCCCTCCCACTTCCTGCCCTCTCCTCCCACAGCTAGGCGAACTGGTGACCCTTGACCTGCGGCACGTGAGTGAGCTGGATGGGGAGACGGTGATGGCGCTGGTGAGGAGCTGTTCACGCCTCACCACACTCAACCTGTGCCTCAACCGCGGCATCGATGACAGGCACGACCGCACCACACGCACGACCGTACCACACGCACAACCGCACACGACACGCACAACTGCGACGCACACAACCATAACACCAAACAACCACAACCGCACCACACACACAGTAGCACGACACATACAACCACAACAGCACTTGACACAACCGCATTACATACACAACCGTGCCAACCACATTACACCCCCAGTCGCCTATACAGAGGCATATCGCACACTACCATCACACTACACCAACAACCGCAACGGCCGCTATTTGCCACAAAGTGGTGGTGATGTCACCAAAGCGCTTGTGCCAAACTTGGTGCGTGGAAGCTTGTTTCTGGCAGGAGGTCAAGGGACAGACCCAAGTGCCATGGGTTGATTTCACTTGAGATGGCTGGCAAATGCGCACCACCTGTGCTCCCCACTGGGTTAATTCGCTGTTTTTTAACACAAGTGTACATGCATATGTAGTGAGTTCAACTGAGTCGCAGACGTACTCTTGGAGGCAACACATTTTACACCAACAAACGGGGTAACTGCCCCTTAATAGAATAACAACCTATGGTGGCGGACCACCAGGCTAACTACACTAATTACAATGTAACTGGTGTAGTTAGCCAGGTGGTGACCACCAGGCTAACTACACTAGTTACCACGTGACTGGTGTAGTTAGCCAAGTGGTGACCACCAGGCTAACTACACTAGTTACCACGTGACTGGTGTAGCTAGCCTGGTGGTGACCACCAGGCTAACTACACTAGTTACCACGTGACTGGTGTAGCTAGCCTGGTGGTGACCACCAGGTGAACTACACTAGTTACCACGTGACTGGTGTAGTTAGCCAGGTGGTGACCACCAGGCTAGCTACACTAGTTACCACGTGACTGGTGTAGTTAGCCAGGTGGTGACCACCAGGCTAGCTACACTAGTTACCACGTGACTGGTGTAGTTAGCCAGGTGGTGACCACCAGGCTAGCTACACTAGTTACCACGTGACTGGTGTAGTTAGCCAGGTGGTGACCACCAGGCTAGCTACACTAGTTACCACGTGACTGGTGTAGCTAGCCTGGTGGTGACCACCAGGCGAACTACACTAGTTACCACGTGACTGGTGTAGTTAGCCAGGTGGTGACCACCAGGCTAGCTACACTAGTTACCACGTGACTGGTGTAGTTAGCCAGGTGGTGACCACCAGGCTAGCTACACTAGTTACCACGTGACTGGTGTAGTTAGCCAGGTGGTGACCACCAGGCTAGCTACACTAGTTACCACGTGACTGGTGTAGTTAGCCAGGTGGTGACCACCAGGCTAGCTACACTAGTTACCACGTGACTGGTGTAGTTAGCCAGGTGGTGACCACCAGGCTAGCTACACTAGTTACCACGTGACTGGTGTAGCTAGCCAGGTGGTGACCACCAGGCTAGCTACACTAGTTACCACGTGACTGGTGTAGTTAGCCTGGTGGTGACCACCAGGCTAGCTACACTAGTTACCACGTGACTGGTGTAGTTAGCCAGGTGGTGACCACCAGGCGTGGTGCCACACAGCGCTATCACTCAGCGCTGACCGAGCCCCTGTAGGGCCGGTACTACACCCACACCATTAGTGGTGTCCGCGATGTCGCTACACAGCACGCCGTGCCTCTAGGGCCGGCACTACACAGTGACATCCCGTGACGTCACTACACATAATGTGCATACACACGTGTGCACACACAGGTGTGTGGAGGTGATTGCGAAGGAGGGGAGAAACATCAAGGAGCTGTACCTGGTGTCGTGTTCCATCACTGACCAAGGTAATCCCCCCCCCCCCTTCCTCCCCTCCCTCACTATGGTGGGGAATTAAACTCTGATCAGTGTATGTGTATGTATGTTGAACTTCTTTTGCACTGTACGTAATCAACCATGCAAATTGGAGTTCCACAAATAAAAGAACACAAAGCAGTTATTAAGAAATGGGTTTTCAATCATGAAATTTTTTTTTAATCGAGAAAAAGTGCGCAAAGTGCTAACCGTTGCGTCATCGTTCCATCCCGTTCACGTCTCTAAGGGTTTGTGACGTCGTCACAGCCGTACGTCCGTCCGTCCGTGCACAGCGGCGTTGTGCGAGTGTCTGACAGGCCCCCGTTAACCTGTGAGTGCACGCTCTAATGCGGGCGAGACGACGTCCGTGTGAAGCCGTTGCTGATTTAAAATCTCTCGACAACAGTGCACGATGGGAAGCATTCACAGCATCCGTGCATGTGCACGATTATTTAAAATTCCTTTTTTTATTTCTTTTGCTCCCCCCTCCCCACCTTGCCCTAGCGCTGCTTGTGATTGGCCGCTTCAGCGCCAGCATCGAGACGGTGGATGTGGGCTGGTGCCAGGAGATCACGGACCACGGCGCCATCGAGATCTCCCGCACGAGCCGCTCACTCGCATATCTGGGCCTCATGCGCTGCGACAAGGTTACGCCCCACTGCCTCACACCACCCCCCCCCCCCCTTCCTCCATGTCACTCCATGGCTGCTGTAAATTTCAACACAATAAGCCACTTCGTTGAGCTATCATTTGTGACCAGGTCGCCTCTGAAAAAGAAGCTAAGAGGCTCCGTGAGTCTTACCTGGTAAAATAAAAAAGTTTAGTATGATTAGTTTTTTTGTGTGACTTGCTTACCTTTCATATACTTTTCACCCCAGTGGTGTTTTAGTATTGTTTATCACATTCTTACCCTGTGTCTCTACTGGACATCTGTGAAAAAGAGCTTTAAAGCTCATTGGATTCTTCCGGTATAAATACATATTCTGATTCTCTGTATGCTCCTTCCCACGCGCTCCTTCATTACACTCTTCGCGCTCCTGTTCTGTCCTCTCCTCTCTCCTCCTGTCCCTTAATTCCTCTACGCTATCGTTTCCTCCCCTCTCCTCTCTCCCAACTTCTCTCTCCCATTATTCATTTCCCACCTTTCCTATCTCCTCTCTCCTCTTATGTATTCACTCTGCCTTCTCTTCCCACACCGGGATCTCCTCCCCATCTTTTCCTTCTCTTCTTCTGTCCTCTCTGCTATCTCTCTCCCCTCTCACTCTGCGTTAACGTTGCCCCCTCTCTCTCGTCACCCACCCCCTCCTCCCTCCGGCGGGGCAGGTGAGCGAGGAAACGGTGGAGGAGCTGGTGCAGCGCTACCCGCGCATCGTCTACAGCACCATGCTGCAGGACTGCAAGCGCACGCTCGCGCGGGCCTACCAGCTCGGCTGGAAGCCCTCGGGCTCCGCGGGCTCTGCCCCGTGACCTCGTCTGCCCTCCTCCCCCCCCCGTGTGACCCAGCGACCCAAAGAACCAACACCCCCCCCCCCCCACCACCTCTCCGGCTTTACGGGGTCACGCCGCCCCTTCCCCGCCCACGACGCGTCTCCTCGCGCCGCGCCGGGGGGCGAGACGCGGAACCCAGAACGGACGCCGCCGAGGGGCGCCGTATTCCGGGTTGCTCTGAACGCCTTCCCGGAGAGGTGGACTCCAGCAGGAGCGGGAGAAGAAGGGTCTGTGTGTGGACTGTGAAACGTGCCGACTCGTCCGTGACGGACTCAGGATCCGGAGCGTGACGACTGCAAGCCACCTCGCGTTTCCTACCGGGGGCGGAGATGGGGGATGGGCGGGGGGAGGGAGAGAGAAAGTACCGGGACGGAGGTTTGCGAGTCGGCGTCCTCCCATCCCCGCGGTGCTCTCCGCTACAGGGTATTTATTAAGCAAAAAAATGTTATCGTGTTTGCTTTTAGTTCGTGAGTTTTGTTGAGACGATTATGGAATTCGCCGGTCTGAGGACTACCCAAGGCAGCAGCGGAAGAGCCTGGCGGAGGAGAGAGCAGGGTGGGGGAAGGGGCCTTGCAGGGGTGGCCGGCCGGCGGTGTGCATGCCGGGGACGCGCAGATGAACAACTCAAGAAGAAGCCATGGCACACTTTCAGGAAAACGACTTTTGACGGGGGCGACGCGCGATTAACTTTAATTGTTTTTGGAACGATGAAGCCAAATCGTTCCTACTCGAGCATCGCCCCACTTACACCCCCCCCCCCCCCCCGCGCTCAGGTGTTCATCCGGACGGTGACGGCGACAGCGACGAAAACGCTGAGCTGAGCGTCGTCCGAGCGTCCCCCCCCCACCTCCACCAGGACTGGCTAATGTCACCGCTCCACGACCGTGGCAACCCCAAAACATGCGGGGGCGGGGGGGGGGGTGTACCCCTACTATCCCCCCCCCTCCCACCCCAATAACATTGTGATGCTGACATTTTTTTATGAAAACCACGAAGCGATGAAACTTACGCTCAACGTTCGATCGCCGAGTTTGCATGTGTGTTCGTGTGTGCGCGTGCGTACTGTATAGTGGGGGAGCGGTGGTGCAGCATTTAGCGCACTGCGCTACGAACCTGGCGACTCGCGTTCGATTCCAGCTCACGGCCAGTAAGTGACGATTATCCGAACCGGTTCTGGGGCGTCTCCCAGGTCTACCCGGCCTCAAATGAGTACCTGGTGCGATGTGTAGATGTCGCTACTAAGGGAGACAAAGGCGGCCGGGCGTGGTGCTAGCCACACCACCCCCTCATGTACTGTTCCGGCCTTAATAGGTGCTGCTCGCTAACAGCATTTTCCGTAACAGTCTGTTAAGGCTGCATGGAGGATCTTAGTCTTTATATTTGTTATATGCGCGTGTCTGTGTATATATACGTATCGTATGGTATATATGTATACACACCTGTTGTGAGGGCTGTTATTAATATGGATCAAATGATCCACTGATTTCATCATTGAGATTTGATTACAGGAACCCTATTCATTTGTTTTTATGTTGTGGTGAATGTAGCAGCCACTAGTGGTTGCACGAGTCACATGACCCCTCCCCACTGTCACTACACGCGTCGGTCCCGACGCTCGCACGCACGATTTGACACACGCGTCGCCAGCCAAGGGACGGAGCGAGTCCGTGAGGACGTCCCATCGTCCAACAGGTGGAGCGAGCGGGAGAGTTCGGCTCCGTGTGGAATGGATCGTTACGTCGAAGGATCGCGAGAGGCAACGGCGGTGGTGGTGGTGGCTTGGGGAGGAGGCCTTCATCCAGCAGTGGCTTGGTCATGGCTGATGATGAGTGGTGGTGCCGATCGCTGTGGTTGATAAAACCCCCCCTCGTTATAATTAATAATCGGAGATTTGTTCATTGTTTTTGTAACGGGACCTGTTTGTTCGGCTCCCACTTTGACCTCCGACCCCGCTCGTCGCGAGCCGGGTTCCCGCGTTGCGCGTTCCCACTTGTGGGTTCCGTTTTGAACGCCGCTGCCAAAAACCAAAGAGGTGTCCGGGCGACCTTTGCCCATCGAGCCGCCTCCTCGTCCCCAACCGCCCCTCGTCGTTCCCCTCTTCCCCTTCGTAGCCCCTGTCTATGATGCCGCTGCCGATGATTTAACACCCTCCTCTAGGGGAAAGCGAGGTGGCCTTGTGGGAGCGAGCGCTGAGCTAGCCCTGGGCTAGGAGCGGGCTAGGAGCGACAATGCGCAGCTCCGCAGTGTTGTGGAGAAACTCTACGCGAGTTGAGCAGACAAGGCCGGACGGTAGAATCGGTCTCCGTCTCTTCCTCGATGGCGTTGGTTTCGCCCGGGGAGGGAGGGAGCTCGGTGTTGAGGTCGCTCGCTCTCCTCTTGCCCACCCCCCCCCCCGCCGTCCGTGCTGTCGATGCCCTTCCCCAAGGCTCAAGGTTTTCCTGTTTTGTTTTTCGCTCTGCCGATGACTGCCTGCCTGTCTGGAAAATAAACGCGCCCCCACTGTTTCCACGGCGCCTCCAGATGCCCGTCCTCGTCTACGCTCCCTGCGCTGTCAATCTCGAATTGTTGTGAGTGGCTAGTGGGTTATGGTCACTTGGAGGGCGAGTGACTATTGAGTTAGGGTCAGTGCGAGTGGCTAGTGGGTTAGGGTCACAGGGCTAGTGCCAGTGGCTAGTGGGTTAGGGTCACAGGGCTAGTGCCAGTGGCTAGTGGGTTAGGGTCACAGGGCTAGTGCCAGTGGCTAGTGGGTTAGGGTCAGGGCTAGTGCCAGTGGCTAGTGGGTTAGGGTCACAGGGCTAGTGCGAGTGGGTAGTGGGTTAGGGTCACAGGGTTAGTGCGAGTGGCTCGTGGGTTAGGGTCAGAGGGCTACTGCGAGTGGGTTAGGGTCAGAGGGCTACTGCGAGTGGGTAGTGGGTTAGGGTCAGAGGGCTACTGCGAGTGGGTAGTGGGTTAGGGTCAGAGGGCTACTGCGAGTGGGTAGTGGGTTAGGGTCAGAGGGCTACTGCGAGTGGGTAGTGGGTTAGGGTCACAGGGCTAGTGCGAGTGGGTAGTGGGTTAGGGTCAGAGGGCTACTGCGAGTGGGTAGTGGGTTAGGGTCAGAGGGCTCGTGCGAGTGGGTTAGGGTCACAGGGTTAGTGCGAGTGGGTAGTGGGTTAGGGTCAGAGGGCTAGTGCGAGTGGCTAGTGGGTTAGGGTCAGGGCTAGTGCGAGTGGGTAGTGGGTTAGGGTCAGAGGGTTAGTGCGAATGGGTAGTGGGCTAGGGTCACTGGGGGCGAGTGGCTCGTGGGTTAGGGTCAGTGTGAGTGGGGGTGCGAGTGGCTAGTGGGTTAGGGTCACTGGGGGCGAGTGGCTCGTGGGTTAGGTTCAGTGTGAGTGGGGGTGCGAGTGGCTGTAGTGGGTTATTGGTGCTACTCGTTAACAGCACTTGTCATAACAGTCTCTCGCGGCTGTACGGGGATCTTTGTTGTTAGCTTTGTGGTCTGAGCAGGGAGCTCTTGACCCGCTAGGGGGCCACACTTCCCCGGTTACAACTCGCTCGGAGCGGCAGCGCTCTCGTGCGCACAGACCCTCTCACTCCACTGCTGGATGAGCACAGTCCCTCTCACTCCACTGCTGGATGAGCACAGTCCCTCTCACTCCACTGCTGGATGAGCACAGTCCCTCTCACTCCACTGCTGGATGAGCGCCTCCTAACGCCGTGGGGGTTAGTTGACCATCATACTTGAAATACGTCGGGCAGCGGCGGGTCGAGGAAGGCTTTGTCGCAGAGAAGTTCAGTGCACACAGTGCCGGATTAAGCGGGGCCTGGAGCACGTGTTATAATGGGGCCATAAAAAAACACGTAAATGTGAAAACACATTTTTTTTACTTGCATAGTAAAGTAATTGTATATTTTCATTTTCTATAAGCCAGATAATACGACAAATCGCTAACCTTATAAACACCCAGTAGTTCATAAAAGTTGAAGGCAGTATAATACCTTAGTAATAGAGCAAGTGAAGAATTACTTAACCGGAATTGATAGCTTGAAACATTTAGCGCGGGGCCCTTGAAAGCGCGGGGCCCGTAGCTACTACTACATGTGTAGTAGCTACTACACATGTAGTAGTAGCTACATATCTAGCTACTACATATGTAGCTACTACATGTGTAGTAGCTACATATGTAGTAGTAGCTACTGCTACACACGTAGTAGCTACTGCTACACACGTGTAGCAGTAGCTACACGTGTGTAGCTACACGTAGTAGCTACTTTTGCTACGAGGATAATCCGGCACTGAGTGCCCCAATGCATTCATTGCACAGCCCTCTGCTGCCCAACACGTGAGCTCTGTAGCCTATAGCACCTGTTACGCGCTAACCAGGCTTGCCACTGCTTAGCTTATGAGATATCTCGCCCGATAAAATGTGTTTTTTTATATACAGTACATATTTATTCTTACACTTGTTTGCCCAGAAAAAATAGCCTCACCTGATCGTCATGGCTCATTTTCAGGAGGGTCCTGCCACGTTTCCGCCATAGGGTGGGATGATTGCGATGCATAATGCTGATTCGGGTGATATTTTTCTTTTACATTTGGCAAATGTTGGAGAAAAGTGTGGCGAGTGGGCGGGGGCCATGAGGGGCGGGGCCATTGTGAAGCCACACCCCCTAACACTCCTCACCCCCTCCCCTGTGGCTCGGGTCGGGGGGTCCGAGTGTGTTCAGTGCTGAGACTCATTCCACGCAGTTCACCACCCACCACCACCGCCAACACCACTGTCACCGGTGACTCCAAGCCCGCTACGCACCTGGCGCTTTGCATCGAGGGAACACGGGATTCACTGGAGCAACCTCATCGCAGGCAACATCAACACCATCATCAACAACATCACCACCAACATCAACAACATCACCAACAAACAGCAGCAGCAACAACATCCAAAAAACAAGCAACCAGGAAGGCTCGCGCACCTGCTCGCTTCCTCGCCCCTCCCCCCTCTCACCTTAACCCACCACCACCCTCCACCACCCACCACCACCACCTTCTTCCTCGCCCGAGAAGACTGGGGGGGAGCAGGCGTTGTTGCGAAGAGCTCCTCGCGAAGACGAACGCACCGGGTTGGATTCCTCTACCCGGTGGGTCCAGCGCGTCTGGATAAGCAGTGCCAGGTCGGCTCGCTCGTGCCACCCCATCGGTCCCAGGCATGCTCGAGCGAGGCTGAGCGTCGAGCGGTGGACGTGGTCGACTCAAAGCGACTCTGGGAGACATGGGGGGCCAGGCTGCAGGAGCGAGGATGATGGGGCCGGGAGAGACTCGGATGTGGTGGCTGCTGCTGGCGGTGCTGAGTCAGGTCGCGCGAATCGCGGGCGCAGAGAGATTCGTGATCTACTGGAACGCGAGCAACTACAGGTACACTCACCTGTACACTCACATAGACACTCACCTGTACACACGCTTGCCTGTACACTCACACACACACTCGCCTGCACACTCACCTGTACACACACTCGCCTGCACACTCACATATACACTCACCTGTACACACGCTCGCCTGTACACTCACCTGTACACACACCCGCCTGTACACTCACATACACACTCACCTGTACACTCACCTGTACACACGCTCGCCTGTAGACTCACATACACACTCACCTATACACTCACCTGTACGCACGCTCGCCTGTACACTCACCTGCACACTCACCTGTACACACGCTCGCCTGTACACTCACCTGCACACTCACCTGTACACACGCTCGCCTGTACACTCACATACACACTCACTCACCTGTACACTCACCTGTACACACGCTCGCCTGTACACTCACATACACACTCACATACACACTCACATACACACTCGCCTGTACACTCGCCTGTACACTCGCCTGTACACTCGCCTGTACACTCGCCTGTACACTCGCCTGTACACTCGCCTGTACACTCGCCTGTACACTCGCCTGTACACTCGCCTGTACACTCACTCACCTGTACACACGCTCGCCTGTACACTCGTATATACACTCACTCACCTGTACACACGCTCACCTGTTCACTCACCTGTACACTCACATACACACTCACCTGTACACACGCTCGCCTGTACACTCACATACACACTCACCTGTACACACGCTCGCCTGTACACTCACATATACACTCACCTGTACAGACGCTCACCTGTTCACTCACCTGTACACAAACAAGTGTCGCTAAACACGAGAACACACACGCGTGTGCGATCACGTGAACACGCATGTGCAAAGGGCAACGCACCAGCATTCACACGCACGCCTGTGAACACATTTCTACACACGTGCACACGCGCACAACAATCAACGTGTGCACACTTTGAGCCTGGCTGTGCTGTTGGGGCAATCGTTGTTAGCGAGCGCCTATTAAGGCCGATCTCATCATCATTATCATCATTCAGGGGTCGCTAAAGCTGGATGCGGCTTCGTAAATCCGCATTAATGACGGATGGACTTATCCCGGAATGGGAACGCGGAGCTTCCGCCACTCGATGTGCAACGGCGGGTTGTGTTATCGCGACGGCGGTAATGATGAAGTTGTGGGGTTTCGTGGAAGTTGGCAACTTCGCGGTCGAGTGAGTGTCTGAGGCCAGTCCCACTGACGTTCTGGAAGGGCTGCAGCAGCGGTCGGCAACCTGCGGATCGGGAGCCGCTCTTGAAGGACGACTGCAGGGCGCCTCTTGGAATCTTGACTTGGGGGCTTTCTGTTTTTACCTCGCCGAATTTGAACAAAAATGTCTCTTCTTGTTACTTTGGTTGCCGACCCCTGAACATGGGAGTCCAGTTTACCATGGGAGTCCAGTTTACAATGCGAGTTCAGTTTACAATGCGAGTCCAGTTTACCATGGGAGTTCAGTTTACCATGGGAATTCAGTTTACCATGGGAGTTCAGTTTACCATGGGAATTCAGTTTACCATGGGAGGCCAGTTTACCATGGGAGTTCAGTTTACCATGGGAATTCAGTTTACCATGGGAGGCCAGTTTACCATGGGAGTTCAGTTTACCATGGGAGTTCAGTTTACCATGGAAGTCTAGTTCACCATGGGCAGGAGTCGGCAAACTGCGACTCCGGAGCCAGCATGCGGTGGCTCGTTAAGGACTGCTTCGTGGCAGTCGTTAATCGAGTGAACCACCGTCTCAGACGTCTTCACGTTGCGTTGGGGCTCTCCAATTGTCGCCATTGAGTGTTTCGCCGAATTGGAACACACAAACACACACAATGCCTTTTCTCGTTATTGTTGGTTGCTAGAGCCATAAGAGCCGAGTCCTCCTGCTTTAGAGCAGGGGCGGTCTGTGTAAAAAACAAAAAAACCTTCCTCTTAAGATATGTTCCCCTACAAGTGAAGACACGGACGAGGAGGAGAGTGGGAGGGGGTGGGGGGTGGTGGTTCCCCTCCAGGACGAGCTCCACATGGCCCGCTCGAGGTGTCGCCTACCGTAGAGTGTGACGCTGAAGCCGACAGAAAGTGGTCAAGGTTTCCTCTGCTCGTCCAACGGGTCCGTACGAGCTCAAACGTACGGAGAGGTGCGAATAACTCACGTGTAGCCGTGTGCATGTTGGTGTTCGTGAGCACCTATTAAGGGCGGTGAAGGGGTGGGTGGGGGGGCTCGTATCACGACCGGCCGCCTTTGTCTCTCCAGTGCTGATGTTTGCACACCGTACCAGGTACTTATTTAAGGCCGAGTCGACCTAGAGGAGGCGCAGCACCGATTGGTCGTGAGCGGGAATCTAACTCTGGTCGACGGGTTCAGAGCGCAGCGGACTAACCACTGTGTATCTGTGTGTATCAGTGGACTAACCACTGCGTATCTGTGTGTATCAGTGTACGAGTGGTGGACTAACCACTACGTATCTGTGTGTATCAGGGTACGAGTAGTGGACTAACCACTGTGTATCTGTGTATCAGGGTACGAGTAGTGGACTAACCACTGTGTATCTGTGTATCAGGGTACGAGTAGTGGACTAACCACTGCGTATCTGTGTGTATCAGTGGACTAACCACTGTGTATCTGTGTGTATCAGTGTACGAGTGGTGGACTAACCACTACGTATCTGTGTGTATCAGGGTACGAGTAGTGGACTAACCACTACGTATCTGTGTGTATCAGTGGACTAACCACTACGTATCTGTGTGTATCAGTGTACGAGTGGTGGACTAACCACTGTGTATCTGTGTGTATCAGTGTACGAGTGGTGGACTAACCACTACGTATCTGTGTATCAGGGTACGAGTAGTGGACTGACCACTACGTATCTGTGTGTATCAGGGTACGAGTAGTGGACTAACCACTGTGTATCTGTGTGTATCAGGGTACGAGTAGTGGACTAACCACTGTGTATCTGTGTGTATCAGGGTACGAGTGGTGGACTAACCACTGTGTATCTGTGTGTATCAGTGTACGAGTGGTGGACTAACCACCGTGTATCTGTGTGTATCAGTGTACGAGTGGTGGACTAACCACTGCGTATCTGTGTGTATCAGTGGACTAACCACTGTGTATCTGTGTGTATCAGGGTACGAGTAGTGGACTAACCACTACGTATCTGTGTGTATCAGTGTACGAGTAGTGGACTAACCACTACGTATCTGTGTGTATCAGTGTACGAGTGGTGGACTAACCACTACGTATCTGTGTGTATCAGTGTACGAGTGGTGGACTAACCACTACGTATCTGTGTGTATCAGTGGACTAACCACTACGTATCTGTGTGTATCAGTGTACGAGTGGTGGACTCACCACTACGTATATGTGTGTATCAGTGTACGAGTGGTGGACTAACCACTACGTATCTGTGTGTATCAGTGTACGAGTGGTGGACTAACCACTACGTATCTGTGTGTATCAGTGGACTAACCACTACGTATCTGTGTGTATCAGTGTACGAGTGGTGGACTAACCACTACGTATCTGTGTGTATCAGTGTACGAGTGGTGGACTAACCACTGTGTATCTGTGTGTATCAGTGTACGAGTGGTGGACTAACCACTACGTATCTGTGTGTATCAGTGTACGAGTGGTGGACTAACCACTACGTATCTGTGTGTATCAGTGTACGAGTGGTGGACTAACCACTACGTATCTGTGTGTATCAGTGTACGAGTGGTGGACTAACCACTGTGTATCTGTGTGTATCAGTGTACGAGTGGTGGACTAACCACTGTGTATCTGTGTGTATCAGTGTACGAGTGGTGGACTAACCACTACGTATCTGTGTGTATCAGTGTACGAGTGGTGGACTAACCACTACGTATCTGTGTGTATCAGTGTAGGAGTAGTGGACTAACCACTACGTATCTGTGTGTATCAGTGTACGAGTGGTGGACTAACCACTACGTATCTGTGTGTATCAGTGTACGAGTGGTGGACTAACCACTACGTATCTGTGTGTATCAGTGTACGAGTGGTGGACTAACCACTGCGTATCTGTGTATCAGTGTACGAGTGGTGGACTAACCACTACGTATCTGTGTGTATCAGTGTACGAGTGGTGGACTAACCACTGTGTATCTGTGTGTATCAGTGTACGAGTGGTGGACTAACCACTGTGTATCTGTGTGTATCAGTGTACGAGTGGTGGACTAACCACTGTGTATCTGTGTGTATCAGTGTACGAGTGGTGGACTAACCACTACGTATCTGTGTGTATCAGTGTACGAGTGGTGGACTAACCACTGTGTATCTGTGTGTATCAGTGTACGAGGAGTGGACTAACCACTGCGCCACCGCTCCACATAAGCACGCGCGTGCACAACGATCACACGCGCCACCACCGTTGGAGGTGGACTATGGACTCCTGCGATAGCCTTACCTGTGACGGCTCACCTGTGTGTGTGTGCATTCTGTGTGTGTGCATTCTGTGTGTGTGTGCATTCTGTGTGTGTGTGCGTGCATTCTGTGCGTGTGAGAGGATTATCGGTATGTCCATCAGTGTTTGCGTGCCTGTGTGTATCAATGTACGTGTGTGTTATCAGTATGTGCATGAGTGTGTGCGTGCCTGTGTGTGTATCAGTGTGTATGAGTGTGTGCGTGTGTTTACCCTATGCCCATGAGTGTGTGCGTGTCTGTGTGTGTGTTTGTCTATGTTATCGTTATGTTCATCAGTGTGTAAGTGTCTGTATTAGTGTATGAGTGTGTGTGTGTTATCAGAATGCCTATCAATGTCAGTGTGAGTGTTGTGTTATCGCGTGAGTGTGTCATTGTTATAAGTGGGAAGCACGTACCGCTACAAACCTGGCAACCCGAGTTAGATTCCCGTTCATGACCAACATCAGTGGCGAAATAAAAACTGTTCCTGTGTCTCGACGAGGTCGACAGAGCTTCAAACGAGTACCTTAACGCGATGGGTAATACATTAACACTGGGGATACAAA